CTGAAACAGGCCACCTGGATAGAGTTGGTAAAAATTGAATATTATGTTTTTGCTTGTAATTTTCAGTATTAATTTTCATTAACGATAATCTATTTTGATGAATAACTTGTAAATTCAAGGTAAGTATTGAGAATTGTGATATATATTGATCTTGAAATTAGATAGTCTCTCGATCAATACCTTTTTGAAAAAAAAGAAGGAAAAAACCGACTCTTTTGCTTATGTAAGAGTGATCTTATCGTCTAAACTTTGCAAAAAAAGGTTTCAAAAGAAAAAGTGAGTTTTTCCATGACGTATATTTTGCTTGATTGTCTGAAATTTTCCAGCTTTATGTAAATTTAGACATGGAATGATGAATGATTAATAACTTGACGTCATGTAAAAGTATCAGCCTTATCGTCAAAATTTTAATGCATTTTTTTTCTTTTATGCATGGGAAATATGCTGTAATTGAAATCTGGGTTGGAAGAGCTAAGCTTGAAGTAGTGCCCCATGTATCTTATCTTGTATAAAAGAAGAAATAAAGAAGCAAATATGTTGCCTACCATCCATTGATGCCAATCCAATTATTAGAATCATAAAGAAATGTGTGACGTGCAGCCTCCACTTCCAGGCAATAGAGCCAAGAGCTGTTAGCCCCCCAATCAAATCCCCCAAAAACTAAAAGAAAATAAAGAAGCACTAATAGCATATGTCTAGTGCCTTCTAATAAAAAAATTAGAGCAAAATTAGGGGATAAATATGTACCAATTCATGTTCATTTGGATTAGTTTGATCATTGGATTGTAAAAGAAAGGTGAATTATTGGGTGGGAAAAGGGGAAAAAGTTTGCTGATCTGCTATTGATGGAAATGCAAATATCTATCAACTGCAGTTCCACTCTATAACCCCATTCAAAATCCTAAAGAAATGAGTATGCTCAGCATGGCTCTTAGTTCCTATCCCTTGAGTCATCATATGAAAAAAAAAAAAAAAAAAAACAAATTCTGTCATGAGGACTTGACATTGCTGATGTTAGTAGCCATGTGGAAGATCAGCAAACATATATCCCACCTTCAAGTCTGGCAAATTTCTTTATTTTCTTGATGGGATTACAATATGTATAACTATAATCAAATCCTCCTTATCTTCATCTTTTATTGTTTCAAAAATTAAATGTGCAACAATTGTATTTAATCTCAATTCAAATTAATGTTATCTGAGGAAAATATATTTTAAGGGAAAAAGAAACATTTCATCTGGGAATGTTTCTAGCTGTGGTATTAAGTGCATTTCCCACTCTCCACTCAGCTGTAAGGTGTAGGGACACCATTCAATTTTGGCTGTAAGCTTGGGGACCTAAAAAAAGTGCCAAATTTGTGGAAGCAATGAGACCCAATTCTTTGAATGATTCATTAGACATAAACAAAAGTATATACTTACTGTACAAAACCAAGACTGCCTTGGCAAGAAAAATGTTACTTTTTTGCTTGAGATTGAGGAAAAGAATAGACGATCACCTCTTGTAAATTGCCTTATAATGACCGATGCATTTTCATGAAAATTCCCACAATCAAGTTCTCTAGAACGTCCAAATTTCCCTTGCCAAAAAACCTTTTCCTTTTTCACCATACCTAGAAGGAAAAATGCCCTGGTGGGCCATTTATACCATCTTGATTCTCTACTTTCGAGTCACTGGACACTATTGATAGGATCTGAGATTCTCCACTATTCAGATCTAGGAAGCAGTCAGGGTTTGATCTTTGGGTGTTGAGGTACTTCTTTACAAAGGTAAAAATTCCTTTAGGAATGAAAGAATCAATTCAGAAGGTATTAACTTCAAATTGGCAAAAAGTGGTCAGTGCATGCATTGAGACCAAAATTTAATTAAATTGATTCATTTAATTATTTTATAAAATAAATTTTAATAATTTTAAATTTTAAAATTTAAATTTTAGTGCCCGTAAAACCTTTCTTTTATTCCTGGCTTGCATACTCTTTCGTAAATAAAAAATACGATCAATGGATCGGCTCGACTAAAAGAAAGTGTAGTCTAAAAAAAAATGTCTTATTATATTTTATGCCAACCTATATGTTAGCATAACCGTACAAAATGAGTATTTAATCCCACATTACAAAAGAAGCGTCTTTTAGCAGTTATTGTTTTAATTAAAACAACATAAAACTTCCTTACCAGTTTACAAATTTTCATTAGAAGGTGAAAAATGCTCCCCATATCTCCCAAATAAAAACTCATTTTACCATTTAAAAAGGGAGGTGAAGAAAAAATTTCTCACAAAAAAATAAAAATAAAAGGAGAGAAAATAATCAGATAAATATCATACAACTCTAAAGAAAAATTTTTGCTTTAGTGTATTTAAGGACTTATACTATAAACACGAACATTTTTCGTATTATAATTTTTTTTTCAACTACCGATAATTTAAGTAAGTATATATGATTATATTCATATATATTTTACATGTATTTTATCTTTCACTATATTTTTTATTTATCCTATCGAATAAAATAATTTTTATATAATTTTTAAGAATTTAGCATTTCTAATGAAATGAATGCCAACAAGAAGTTCAATTATGGAGTAATTTAAATGTACTCAAATATTTTTGGTGCCCGTGAATCTCGTTTGTTTTGGCATTGAGCATTCAAGAGCGGAACAGTGGGATTTCGATGGACAATCCGAAGCTGAAGATAATTAGTAAACTACACCAGATACTGGAAAGAGGTGAGTTTGGCAGTAGCAAAATGAGATGAAGAACAAGGCACCTCGTCTTGTCTGTGGGCCTTAAATGCACCATTTGGAAACAAAACAAAACAATAATAAGTCAATAATAATTGTTAAGTGGTGTTATCCACATTCACATAAGTTAAGTTTTAAAATTTTCAAATTGATGCTTAACATAGTATCAAAACTCACGTTTTTTTTCATACTCCTTCAATTATCATGAGTTTGTCATGTAAATCGGCCTACAAATAAAGAAGTCTGCTAAGTGATATTATCTCGTATCTTTTTAAATCCTTAATTTTTTATGATTGTATATTCAAATTTGATTTCTCCATCTATAGTAAATTGATTTTGGATGATTAATAATAACAATAGTAATAAAAAGAAACTTCTTTAGCTCATTTCATTGTTCATTCACAATCCGGAAGAGCCAATACTAAAAGTACTAAACTGAAATGATGGAGTATCAAGAATGGATTGGCCTGGAATGAGAAAATGTCGTGCAACTTTTATTTCTTGCTCTTGACTTATCCTATTTTAGGCACCAGAAATTTTTGTTGTTATTAGCAAACTAATAGCACTAGTGAAAGCAAGCTTTGGCACATGGATTTGCATTTCCTGATCAAAAATCAAAATGTAATATAGAATCTGTTGAATTTTTTGTTGCAAAGATTCTATTTAGAACTTGAAACTTTGTTATGATTCATTGTGGATGTATTGCTCAATTTTGGCATTCATAATTAGGTGCCCCCAAGATTGTGTTACCTGATCTGCAGGTTAGATATGGCAGAAGGCCAATTCTTTTTGCATGCTTTTGCTGCAAAGATGTTACCTTTTGATTCTATTCTCTTATCTAGCTGGCTTCTTGTTTTTTTTTTAACTAATTAAACATCATGACTTGAATTGGAAGCATTTATCCAAAATGGCAAAACCCTATTAGGACAAGTTTAACTTAGTGGTAAATTAATTATGAGTTGGTTTTTGATATTGTCAATATGTAGAGTTTAAAAATTTTACTGGTAATAGATGAAATAATTTTTTTAATTAAAGGGTTTAAACAAATAGATTATATTTTTAAAAATTAAAAATTTATATTTTAGATTCAAATTTTCGCACAAAAGATTAAAATCGAATACATTTTTTTATCCAAAAAAAAAAAAAAAACAAAACTTTAGGATTCAAGCAATTAAAACCTTTTCCTCTTATCTTTCCAAAAGACTAATCCCTCTAGCTCAAGTCCAAAAAATAAAAATAGTAAAAAGAAAGATAGAGAAAACTGAAAAAAGAAAATCATATTTCATTTTTTATATAATTAATGAATCTCATATAAATTTATTTCATTAGATATACAAGTAAAAACCTTAGTTTCGAGTGGAATCTTGAGTTGTTCATACAAATAAAAGGGTACCCTTATTTCTTTTATATAAATATATATATATTTATGTATACCAGGAAATAATAATAAGATTAAGGAGAGACTATATGAGAATCTAAGGGGCGGTTACAAGTTTTATGGAAAAAGTATATATATATATATATATATATATTTAGTTTAAGATATATTATAATGACACAAATTCTTAATTCTAACAGTTATTAAGGTAATTAATTATGAGGCTAGCTATTGTGTAGATTGAAGAACTACCATTCTGATACTCTTGTTTTGGAATTATTGTAAACTTTTAAACAACTTTCAATGAGCTAATGCAAGTTTCTTTAATCATCTAATTGGAGTGACCTCAGCCCGATAGAAGTAACTAGTTTTGTTTTATATGAGCCAATTCCCTTTCTTTTTTTGGTTTAGTAAAACGAGAGGATTCGAACTTAATTCTAAAAAAAAAAAGTTCAACACTCAAAGATCCAAATTTATATTTAATCATCTCTAAATTATGTTGAAAAAAAAAGAAAAAGAAATCAGTGGCCAAAAGAAAGAGCTAATTAAAGCAATTTGTCGAAAAAGTAAGAGGAAAGTTTATTTTTCTTACATAAAAGTTTAAGTAAGGAAAAGCTAGTCTATTTTCAAGATCAAAAGTATCATGATTTAAATAAAGATTTAATCATTTGCGTGGTAAACGATAAAAGTGTGCTATAATGATTAAAGCAAGAGTTTTTTATTAATAAAATTATAATAAAAAAGTCACCTCTAATGTAACATGGTATTAAATTTAAATACTTGATTTCATTATTTTTTTTAGAGGTATCCGAATCCAACAGATGTAAGTAAAAGAGAAAAAAAAGATGGCAAAAGAGAGATAATCATAAAATATAGGCACGTCATTAATAATAAAAACATTAATTGAAAATGAATTACAGATTACATATAATTAATTAAGATTTGAAAGGGAGAGAGATGGAGAGAAAAAGATTCCACAGTGTTGACTGAGAGATAGAGAAATTGAAATACTTCGAATGTCAGAAGAGATAAAGTTATGGAAATTTTATTTTGCATGCATGGCTTTTTCAACCGGATTTGCCATGCAAACTAAACTACACGTAGCTAAGACAAACTCATTGGAACTCTTTTTTTATGGCACTTTGATCGGCCACTTGAATAATTTTAAGTTTTTTCATGTACTTCTAAACTCTGTTGGAAGCATCTATTTCCATGGTGTTTCGCTTAATATTTTGTGCTTCGACAACTCCGTTGTTGTTGTTTGTGCCAATTGGTTGAGGAGCTACAGCGTTTACATCTGAGCAAACCATCGAGCCTAGTTTTACAACATCAACTATGTGCTGATCTGAGAAATGAAGCTTTGGATCTTCCACAATTTTCTTGGGATGGTTTTTGTAGATTGCATAAAGAATCATTTGAAGAACTCCAAAGATAAAGCCAAGTACGTTTGGAACCTGTTGATTTTATGAAAGAAAAAACTATTAGAAAAGAAAAAGGTAAAAGGGAATGTCTAAATTATTGATAAGGTATTCAAAAGTTTATTGCATGGATGAGATAACGTACAGCAATGTTCATATCTTTTAACAAAAGGCCATAGAAAAACCACATCACTGCTCCTAATGTGAGAAACACTGACAAAGTAAATGGCATGTACTCGACACTCTTGGTTTTTATGACTTTTCTCTGTAAAAAAAAATAATAATAAATAAGTGAGTTTAAATTAATGATATAACATGGTGTACGAAATTAGTTAATTTAATTTTATCCTTACCACAATGGCAAGAGGAGCAACGAACACACACAAAGCGAAAGCCATGCAAATGTATCCAAGAATATGAAGACGGGTTAATGGATTTTGTATGAAGAAAGTTGAGAGAAAAATTACTCCGAACCCGAAAACATTGAACAGGAGGTTAAGCTTCACAGTCATAATCTGAAAATTTTCCCATTTGGAAATTGAATTATAATTAGAACAATATTGAAGTGCTTCAAGGAGGGTATAGGCTTTGTGGGATATACCTTTTCCTTCTTTGGACCATAGTAAAAGTAAGCAACAAGGTAAAACGTCTGAATGAAAACGCAGAAAGTGTTGATGGTTATGAGAAGCATAGCATCCTTCTTAAGCAGTGCATAGTAAATCCAAAGCATCGCACTGAAGAGTGAAACCACGTAGGGAATTGATTGGAACCCTTCCGATGTTTTCTTCTTGTATATCTGGTAAAATGTTGGCCTGGAAATTATATTGATCACCATCCATTAGATAGAGAAATTTGAAGGAAGAAATTCACTAAAAAAAGGCTGACAGGAGACTTACAAGGGAGCAAGGGAAACCATAAACGAAACAACGTTGCCTAAAATTAAACCAGGAAAAAAACATGGCAATAATTAGATAAAGAGAAAAAAATGCTCATGGAAATGTACATTAAAGGAAGAAGAAGAAGATCTCTATACCGAGGATGCCAAAAACGAAAGCCCAAGACAGGTGAAGAGCCATCTCTATTTGTATTAGATTTTATATATTGCGATTCCCTCTCTTTTTCTCTCAATCTCTCTCTCAAAAGAAAGTATGTTACTGTCAACTGAGGCTCTTACTATCTCATTACACTGAATCCCACACTATGCATCTCTCTCAGGGTCGTTATTTATAGTGAGGGTAAGGGTGGGACAGGACAAAGAAAGTGGGAGTTTCAAAAAAAAAAAAGGGTAAAGAATGAAAGATTATTGGGTTTTCTTTTCTGATTATTCCACCCTGGTGAACTTTGTACATTTACAGAGATGCAAACAGCTTTTCTGATTAACCTTCCCTAACCGCCCTTCCTATAGCTATAACTAGTACCTATTTAACCGACATAGGGCGGTTGATCTTCAATGCAAAGCTTCCCCATCTCCTCGTAAGCCCTACTTAACACTTCCATTTCCTAGTACATACACAAAATCCCAAGGGTCCCACCATGCCCCTTTATGATGTGTCGTCCACCTTAAGATCCTTTAAGGTTTACAACTCATCCTTCAGCTCACATTTTGGTTGGGAAGTTCCAGAATTTTTTTTTTACGAAAGATACTGCAGTTTAGAAGTAAGAAAGAATTAAAAGTTATTTAGACATAAATTTTAAATTTTTTAAAAGATTATATAAAATAATTAAATTAAAATTTTCATTTAAATTGTCGTGTTATTTTGATATGGTAATACTCTACTCACGCCTCCATACTCCAACTTGGATATGTTGCCATAACCAGTCGATCACATCCATTCATAGGTCCTGAACAACTTAAGTACGTATTATATGTTTAAATGATCATATATAACATAATCAACAGTCATAAAAATCATTGTGCACATAATTTAATGATATACATACAAAAAAAAAAAAAAAGTAGTGTAACTGTAAACATCATACAGCGATATACCACGCGCATTATTGGACACTTTTATTACCAAGGACGGCGGGTAATAATAACAAGAGGAGGCCTTGGGCCCCCGCACAAAATTGTTAAAAATCCCTTATTTTCTTAATAAATGTATGTGTATACTTATTATTTAATTTATGTATTATAATTTAAGAGATATTCAAATCACATTTATAATTATTTTTTTATTATATCCAAATATTATTATTTGTAAATTTTTAAAAATAAGAGGTTTGTTATAAGTTTTAAATTACAATAATGTAAACTTAATATAAATTAAATTAAATTTTAAATTTTTTTAATAAAATTTTAAATTTTCAATAAGTATCAAATGTTCGTGTTTTTTTTTTTTTAGTATAAAAAAAGATCATACCTAGGAGATTTAGAAGAAAAATTACAAGTTTTAAGAATTGAACTCTAATATTCTTTTTAACTTACTTCAGCTTTTTCTCTTCATATCATTTTCCACATTTATTTTTTCTTTAGATTTATATCTCATGTTGTTGTAATTTTTTTTCAACAAAAAAAATTATATTGGAACTACTTTATAAAAGGATAAAAAAAGCACTATAACTTTTAATCTCAAAATTTCATCATCATTTTTTTAAGAGCATATTTAGTTTTCTTATTTTGAAAAAATACTTAATGATTGATTTATTCATATCTCTTTTTTATTTTAATTTAAAAACTAACAAAAAAAACAAATTCCATAATTCACTGATAAATTATGTAATTAGTAATTTTACTATTAATTATAAATCCTGCTATTTTTAAAAATATAATATTGTCACAATAATATTTTTATTTTATAATTTTATGAACTCATCATGTTTTTATTAATATATTATTTGCACTAATAAGTATGATATAATTTTTTAAAAAACAAAATAAAATACAAGAATTATCAAATTTGTCATGTAGCATTAATTTTAATGTTCTCAAGAATTGTCAAATTTGTCATGTAGCATTAATTTTAATGTTATTACAAATTCGATCAGTAATTTTCACATTTATTTTCTTCTCCCTCTCGAGTAGAGTCTATACTTTAGACCGATACGATCAATGAATGTCATGTGAAACTAATAATGAAAGGTTGACAATAAGCTAATTGTCAACGCCCATGGGAATGATATATTATATAGTTCAGCTCAATAATGTTTCCTTTTGTTTGTATGGTTGGTTTCTTTTTCTAATATAATAGTATTTGTATTCTCGTAGCAAGTTAGTTTCATATTAAAACTAATAATTATCGTTTTTAAAGAAAATACTTAAATAAAGTTTTTGGGTGAAATTTGTAAATTTTTTTATTAAAGTGATTAAATAGAAGTTAAAATAAAAATTTTAAATTGATAAATTAAAATATTTTTTTATATAGATTAAGTGTGCACAATTTTAAAAGTTAAAATTTTTTTATATATTTTTTATATAGATATTTTTACTAAAAATACTTACAGAAATTTCTACAATTGAAACAATATTAATTAAATTTGAATTATAAATGATGTTTTCAGTACGTTTATATATTATTAATTTTTTAATTAAACTCTATCAATTTATCTAATTTAAAATTTTTTATTGGATCATTTTAACACAAAATTTCATGAATTTCACCTAAATTTTGATCTCATTTTTATTTCTCTTATATTAGCTAATTAATTATAATAACCATATATCAAGAAGTCAATAGAAAGAAATGTTTAAACAATTTTTTTTATTTGGATAAAGTTTAGTGGTAGGAACAGTACCCCATTTCTAAGTTCAGAGCAAGCCGACAACTCACAAAAATATTTATAAATGAATATTTTTGAGACTTTTTAAATTTATAAATCATCTATAAAAAAAGAATCGTGAAATTTAAATTTAGGTGCTTTACGTTCAGATTCTAACTTTTAACTACTTACGCCAATTTGGCAATACTTAAGCAAATTGCTAATAATGATTCATGAATATATACGATTATTGGAGGAAATGGAATCCCTGAAAGCTACTAACACAATACTGAACAGATATCCATACATAAATTCCTGAGAATCTAACCCACTTGCTCCTTGATCAGTTGTAGAGGGATCCAGAAGGGATGAAAGAAACCCCCATCAAACGGTGCAGAAACAAGCTCAACATCATGATGAAGGCAGAGATGCTGTTCTACCAATACAAGAAACAATCTTCTTTTTAATTTTTTTACCTTTCAAGTTCCATAGTTGACCCCAAGGCCAAAAAAGTAGTCGATGGCCATGGTTGCCCGAAAACCTTGTCTAGTTTTGGCATCACGTTGGTCACGTGCCACTCGGATGTGCTAGTAGAACATCGTTCCTTTTGTTCGTATCAGTTTCAGAATTTTGCTGGTTTAAACTTAAGACCATATACATTACCCAAAACATCATCCATAGTACATCACTCCCCACTTTAACAAACAAACAATCAATAAAGTAAGGAAATTTTATTTTAATATGATTTTTTTTTTGTTTGAGAAAAGTTTAAAAGTAAAGAAAGGTATTCAATTTTCAAAGTTAGAATAAACCGTCTAACTCATAACTCACAAGAGGATTTACAAATCTTTTAAAATTTTTTAAACTTATAAATAATTTATTAATAAAAATTTATGAAAATTTAAATTTAAATATTTTGCATTCAGACCCTAAATGGTAATTCATCTAGTACAAATTTTGGTAAATAAAAAGCAAAGAAAAGATTCTTAGGTGGCAGCAATTGTGGGTGTGTCAGCATGCGGGCTTCCTTTATTAGGTGTAGCTAACTATTTTTTTGTTTTTTTTTTTTATGGTTAGTCAGTGTATTTCAGACTATGCTAGATCTAATTTCTTTTTTAAGAGAGCTAAATACTAAAAGTGTATTTTTTTTCTCATCGATGTTATGCATTTTATTGTCGAAATGTCTGGCTATTTCAAACATTGTTGGATCTAATTTTATTTCTAAGGTCAGATCTTAATCTTAAGAGTGTATATTTCTATATTAATGTTATGCATTTAAAATTTTATTTTTAAAATATTTTTTACAAGATGTATGAAATCCTAGTTGAAAATTAAAAAAAAAATTCATGAGTATATTTTCAGGTGAGATTAGCTCGCATTTGATTAATTATGAAATAATGATGTATCCTCATGATTGGGGAAAATATTAGCAAATCAAGCCTTAATCAAGTTGGAAGGCCCACAATGAGGCACTAGTTAAATTAATTTTGCATTTGGTCCCAAGAATTGGGCAGGGCAGAAATAGAATAAGGATTTGTTTCCACTCTACACATAAGGTTAGAACTACCCACCACCCAAAAAGCAAAGGGGTAGTGATAAGTTCCACTTCTTGGGCTTTATGCCAAAGAAGGAAATGGCAGAAAAGAGGGAATTGAGAGAAAGTGGGATAGAAAGTGTTTGATTTGGTATATTTATTAAATAAAATTTTTTTTGGTACAAAAAATTCAAGAATAAATAAAGTGTTTGATTTGGTATATTTATTAAATAATAATTTTTTTATACGAAGGAAATGGAGAAAAGAGATAATTGAGAGAAAGTGGGATAGAAAGTGTTTGATTTGGTATATTTACTAAATAATAACTTTTTTGGGTACAAAAAAATTTAGGGATAGATAATTTGTTTAATTTTTTAAGTTAAGATAAGATGTATTATACTCGATAATTAAAAAAATAATAGTTACAAATCGTACATTCGAGATAATTTTAATAAAAAATTACTGGTTAAACTCAAATATAAAATCACTTATATCGAGGAGAATGATTTTACTAATTGAACTAATCTGTTGTTGGTATTTATTAAAAAATAATTTAAAGTAAATAAGTGTGGCATTGTTTATCCCAAATTAAAAGGCATAGGCAAAAGCAACATAATATATAATGGCATAAAAAAAAAAGAAGTCAAGTTGATAAATTGGTATGAATTTATCTAAATTTAAACATATCTCTTCTAGTAATATAATATTTAATTTGAGAAAAAAAAAGGCTTTGCATAATAATATTTCTTAATTTTTTAAAATTAAGGTTTAAAGTTTGAATTTTTTTATTCTCTTGTACTTTCTCGTATATATGTATAAAAAATTATATGTAATACTTAAATTTCAATACTTATAATTTTTCAATATTTTTTATATTGTAGCTTTTTATAAAAAAATTATAATAATTAATGCAATTTGAAATCTTTTTGTTTTTAACTCAAAATTAAAAGAATTTTGTCGGCATTAGAAATAATTGAGACACGTCGATTTTCAGTTGTGTGTAGTAGGAATAATTAATATATGGCTGTAGATAATTGTTATTAATTTATAGTATATTTACATGCCACTTGTATCCAAATTAAAAGGCAGTAAATGAAAAGGAAATTCGGAAACCCTAATCTATTAATAAACCCTTAAATCTAATAATCTATTATGAATCTATTACTTGACGGAGAGTAATCCTTGGGATCGATATTGCTATAAAATTTTGTAAATCTTACATTTTGGACTAACAGTTCCTATAAATTATTTATGATAAACATTATATTATTAATGTCGATTATTTTTTTTATCAATTAACATATTATTAGAGTTGACATTTATAAGTTGTAAGTTTAACACAATGTTTTGATAAATATTAATAAAAAAAATGAAATGAAATGAAATGAAAGTTTTTTAGAAGAAATGAAATGATATATATACCTCTTATTTGGATAATTAAAATTAATAAATGAAAGAAAAAAAATTTTAATAATTATTGTTTGGATAAAGAGTAAAAAAAAAAAAATTATTTATTATAATAATTTTTTTTAATTTTAATATTTCACTACTTATGATTTTAAAGCACTCCTGGATATAATAATCTTTTTATAAAAATAATTTTTTAAAACTTTTTTTTTTTTAGCTTTTCTCCCAAATTGAAGTATTAAAAAAGTGATGATTATAAGAAAAACCAAAGATTATTGAGTTTTCATTTTTTTTTCAAATTAAAAGTTTATCCAAACAAAATTTTTTTTTTTTATTTCCATTACTTTCTTTTATTTTTCTTTCATTTTCTTCCCCTTCTCTTAATCCAAACATAGTGTAAGAGAATTTATGAGCATAATATCATTTTCAACTAGGTAATTAGTAGGGTATGGGAGGTTGAGGGGTATATTAGAAATTTAAACAATATTATATTGTTAATTATAAGGTTAATATTATGAATGATTTTGAATTAAATATTTAATGTTGTATTTGAATTTTTAAAATTGTTAATGTGGTATTTAAATTATGAATATATTAACTAATATGAAATTTAAAAATTATTTATTTATCATATATAATTATTTAAAATTAATCACATTAAAAACGAATGCTACATTAATTAGTAATTATAAATTCAATAATTCATAATTTAATATTATATTAAAAAACTTTTAAAATTTAAACATCATATTAAAATTTTCATTATAATTTAACAATTTTGGCCTTTAATTATACGTAAAAATATTGAAATTTGCGTATGAATTATGACTTATACATATAATTAACAACCTCTGGCCCTTAATTATACATAAAATTATTGAGATTTGCGTATGAATTATCACTTATGCATATAATTAATGATGATTGAATTGTTTTTGTTTTTTATTCGTTGAAACTTAAAGAGTAATGAAGTCATTACGTACTACTTAAAAATGTACTATTGGCAATCGATAATTGCAATGATTGAAAATGTTGCTCTTAAATTTTAATATATTTTTAATTATTATTTATAATAATTGTTTAATTTAAATTTTTTTATTTTTTTAGATGATAATAAATTTTATTATTCCGAATTTTTATCATATGAATTTTATTACATCTATTTTTTTATAATTGTTATTTAATTAAATTTATTTTATTGTTTTATGTCACGACAGAAAAAATTATTATAAAATCTTTGTATTAAAATTTTTTTATAAAAATGATAAAAAAAAAAGGACCTGCCATGTTTATAACATAAAAAATCATTGGAATATAATGTCTTATAACATTTGCAACAATGTTTTACAATCGTAACTTTATTAACCTTCATTCAATATTTTATATAGGTCAAATTACATTAAAACTTTATGTATTTTACTAAAATTTAAATTTAATTTTTTTATGATAATTTATACAAATTTAATTTTTATACTATTTTGATTTAATGATTTTAATCCGATCATTAATTCAATAAATTTTATATCATTAAAATGCTAACGTGATCAATGACTTGATGACATGGATATTAATTTTGTTGACGCGACATTAACTTTATTAACATAACAACTTAGATTATTGAAATTAATTATTAAATTATGCAAATAATTTTTATACTTACATGAAATTTTCTCATACAAATTGAATTTTGACTATATTAGTATTTTTAATGATAAAACATTGATGAAGTTAATGATTAGATTAAAATTATCAAATTAAAATAATATAATGATTAAATTTATATGAATTATAATGAAAAACTAAATTATAAATTTTGAAACCTAAGGCATAATTTGACTTTTTATGCAACAAAAAAAAATCAAAATTCTATTATGTATGCAAGTTGGATTAGAATTGGGTTTAGATTCAAACAACAACTTCCAATATCGGGTTGGGCTAGCAAATTTGGATGGGCCACTACTTCTCTCAAAGAGAACTCTATCTATACCAACTTAATAATCTTTTTTTTTTCTTTTTTATGTATAATGCTCTTATTTATTTATTTTAAAGTGATCTCCATAATCTAATGTTGGATCCTGCCATATCTATCTCATTAAAACTAATTTTAGAAGAATTAAGAAATATTATTCCTCGCACAACATTTGAAAATCATAAAGAGATAGATACAAGCTCAAAAAAAATGGGGAAAACTTAAATGTAGATTTCCTTTTACATGTTTCAAATCATCGGAAAAAACCCATGGATTATCTCAAGAACATATGGCATGTCTCAGTTTTTAATTAATTATGAAAAGCATAAGCTAAACAAAATTTGTTTGGCAAGTTACTTTGCATGTTATGTAATAAAGAATTCTTACCTACTATAGCCATTTGATTTGTTGGTTTAGTGTTAGATTTTTAATTTCAGTAATAAAATCAAATTCTTCTGATAATTTTAATATAAAAAAATAAAAAATAAAAAATTGATCATTTATGAACCTTTGCATGGGGTTAAATTATTTTTTTTTGAACTTTCATTATGTACCATTTATACATATGTAATGTTATTTAATTATTTACTGAAAATAAATAAAAATAAGATAATAATACACATATGAAAGTAGGAACATGAATTATATCCATGATTATTATAATTAGCTCCATCGTTGGAGCATGAGTTAGGCTAACAAGTGATTACAGAAACACTACAGAAAATAAAAGCTTGAAATGTTGACATCTGCATAAAAATGGTACATCACAGTAGTACAAGTCTAGAAGAGGAGAGAGAGAAAGAGGGAGAGAACTGCATGCCTATGATACTGCATGTGATCACAGAGAGTGATTTGATCATGGACAAATCCATATCAAGCTTCAGCACAATTTCCTAGCAGTTGTTTTGAGTTAGCCAACTCCAGGATTTTCTCTCTTTGATCATGCTGATCATTTTGTAATTTACAGCTCATCCCAATAATTTTATGATCATGGACTTCCGGCTCTGAACTCATTTCCTGCACCTCAGAATTATTCATAGCTGTGCTCAGTTTTGTAACATCAACACTATGTTCTGGTATCTTGACATCCTCGATCACCACCGTCTTGTACTTCCTATATATCGCATACAGCACCATCTGAAGCAACCCGAAGACGAAACCCAGAACATTTGGGATCTGCCAAGTAAAATATAATAGTAATAATTAATTAGTCTGATATTGTTGTTGTATTTTTGGATCGATTTTGTTATAGTTCATTTGCTTATCAGTGGATCATCACCATCATCACTTACCGCAATATACAAATCCTTGAGGAATAAGCCATATAAAAGCCACATGATAGCACTTATGGTGAGCAACAATGACAAAGAAAATGGCATGAACTCCACACTTTTGGTACGTATAACTTGCTTCTGCAAAATTATATATATAAAAAAAGGGAAATTACTTGTTTTAACAATATTTAATCCAAGTAACAATATGTTTAGTAAGTGGGGAGTCGCATGAAAGCATGAAAAAGTAATAAGAAAGATAAATATATATATATATATATATAGTAAAAAGTAGAGATTTTTTTTGGTTTGGGTTGGATATATATTCTTACTATAATGCTTAGGGGAGCAGCAAACACACTTGTAGCAAATGCTACACAGATCCATCCAAGAAGTTTTACTCGATTCGATCCTTTTGCTAGAAAGTGGGAGAGCAATAGGATGGTGCAAAATCCCCCAAAGTTCAGCAATAGAAATATCCTCAAGGTAAACATCTGCAGCTCATTTTTACAATTTAATGCAAATTAAGTTAATTAAGAAAGAAAAGGATAACTAAAGAGAGGGAGATAAACTGTCTGGATCGATCCGAAGAGGAAATGTACCCTGGCTTGCTTTGTTGCATAAGCAATATACAAAAAGATGTAAATGGTCTCTATGACGCAACCGAAGGAGTTTATAGTAATAAGAAGGAAAGCTCCAGACTTGACAAAGGCGTAGTACAGCCAAAGCATGGCACTGAAGAGTGAAACCACATATGGAATTGATTGGAAACCCTCTGTCGATTTCTTCTTACAAATTCGGATAAAAGTTGGTCTGAAAGTAGATAATTAATTGGACAATGTTATATAAGTATATAGTAATAAAATAAACCATGAAAGCTCAAAAATTACTTTAACACACTTACAATGGAGCTAGGAAGACGACGAAGGAGGAAATGTTACCTACAACATATAAGAAAAAGAGAAAATAATCAGCTCTTTCGAGTTAATATTTCTCGCTCTTGAGCAAGTTTATTATAACATTGTGAAAGTTGAAGAAGATAAAGAGCTGATATACTGTATTTTATGTACCTAGGACACCAAAGATGAAAACCCATGGATTATCAGCAGAAAACATGCCCATCTCTTCAGTTCTCTCTATCTGTCTCTCTCTCCCAAAGGGATGATCAATGTAAAAACGGGGCTGCAACTAAAAAGCCCTAAACTTCTCTCACACTCGAGCTGGGATGAAAAAGCCAGCAAGGGGTCGTGACGTTTATATAGGGAAGGTGATCCATGACTGCTGCATGAAAAATGAATAGTTAATATGTAAGTACTACTTACTTTGGTTAGTGGGGGGGTCATGCACCAGACATGCCAACGCATTACCCATTGCACTCAGGTAAATTACTATTCTGTCAGACTTCCGTTCCAGACGCTCGTGTTTTACATTTGAGGTTGTCGCAAATAAAATTTACGATTATTAAAGCAAAGAATTCAGAATTGTACTATTAGATTCTATCACTGACGTCCCATTTCACCACCTATATACAGGTATAACATTTTTTTAGTAACAAATATCGCGGCACCTCATCAGTTCTAACAGACCATTTGTCAAGTAAAACCGGCAAATTAAACCCTAAATGCAAATCTCCCCACTTAACTACCTTTTAATATACGGAATTTCCATGCTGCCATATCGACTTTTGACAGGTGTAGCATGAGGCTGTTCTGCACTATTTCGCGCACTGATTTGTCGTAGAAAATCCTTAATATTTTCTCTGGCTTTGCTTTTCACCCTTCATGTGATGGTCACGAAGAGCAAAATGTTGAACTGCTATTGCGCTCTATCTCATATCTTTTGACTGTATCACGCGTGAACAGGGGAATCAGCTTCTCATCGTTCCAAGTGGAGGAACTTCATTTCCTGAGAGTTATATGTATCTACCATTACATATAAAAAAACTTCGCAATCCCTCAGCTTCGTTCTTTCATGCCAATATCTTGGGTTGTTTCGGACGAATAGAAGATCGAAAGCCCAAAAAAGTATCAAATTATTGTATGATCTTGAAGAACTCCTTTATGTAAAGATAGCCCTTGAAGTGGTAGGTGGAGTGTTAAAATATACTAAGCCACCTTAAATGATAAGATTCAGCTAAATATTTTATATCAATTTCCCTCCCATATCCGAATAATTAAGATTACCCTAAAGATTTAAATGACCACGATCATTGTTTTAAACATTATTTCGAATTCAGATATTTCCATCACTTAGCTCAGGTGATAACTTGCTGTGAAGTAAATGCGGGTACGAGGTTGTTACTTTATTGAACAGAGCAAGCAACTGAGCAGGGGCGGCTCATAATACAAGCCGCCCCCAGATTTTAAACCCTCCAATGTATAGATTAAATATATCTTGATAATTTAATTTTGTGTAGCATAGAAACATAAAGAAGTTCTGTGATAATTTATAAATTTATCTTTGTGTTGTATTTTACTTGTAGTTGGATGTTTTTCGGATAATAAAATTTGAATTTATATTTGATATATTATCGGTATATAAATTTTATATATTATCAATAAATCAGATGATAACACTTCATTAACAAGCAACTATTAACTTTTAAAATAAATGTATACAAATTAAATTTTTTTAAATAATTTACTTATTAATGAGGTGTTAGTATTTGATTTATTGACAGTGTATAAATTCTAACAGTATATCAAATATAAACTCAAAAAAAAAATTATTGGCAAAAAAAATGTAAATATATTAAATAAATTAAATTCATCCTCAAAACAAACATATTGATTTTTTTTTTTTAGCTGCCTTTAGTTTACTCTTACACATTGTGGTTTAAGAAGATTAAAATCACATGATTATTTAGCTATTTATTATACCAATTAATCATTATTTATAGATTAAATCCTTAAAATTAAATCACAAACGTGTCAATTCATTAAAATTTAAATTGACTTTTAAATTTTTTATAAGACTTTAAGACTATAATCAAGTACCAAATATGTGTTTCTTTTTTTCTTTTTAATCAATCACAACTTCTCTTCATAAAACCTCTACTTTTAATTTTTCCTTAAATTTTTTTCTCCTCCTATCATATATGTAATAGAATACATTAATAAAAAAATAATATTTAATATAATATTAATTGATTTCTTCAAAACTAATCGTCAAGATCTGTCATTACAGTTGAGAGGGAAAGATGTCCACATAACCTGGTACTTGCATGCTTAAAGGAACACAATTTTTCAAGTTCTAACGGCTAGCTAGAACAGAGTGTTTCAACGGGCAACAATCATTTGGAGGCTTCGTTTCTATAACTTTAGGCCTTTATATATTGATATTGCGGCTGTGCTTGAAGTTTAAATCTTTTGGTTGAGACTGAAACATGTGTTACAAATGATTATCAAAAAGTTTCTTTTGACTTCTGCAACAATAATTCATCTATTCTACGAGTGATTCTCGTTTCATACTTGCAAACATCGATTTTATATATATATATATATAGCTTTAGTTAGAGTGCATGATAGCTAGATTGGATAATGAAAACAATGAAACAAACGGTCATTATTTTCCCTTGGTGGAATATTACCTGACTTTAATTAATTAGATTATTAACTTTGATTTTGCTTTGACTGTACAAAACGTGTTTTCTAACCTTGTTTGGACCAATGTATGGCTGCCTTCAATATTCAGGTAAGTCAAGAAATGAATAATTGATAAATTATTTGTTTTTTTTATGATAATGTCGAATTCTTTACGCAAGTCCATATATCAACTGCTCAGAAGGCTGACAAGTCAATATAAGCAAGCTGCATCTGGAGGAAAGTAGAAGATTAGGCATTACTGTATCGGAAAAAATATTCATCCAAATGCATGCAGCCTTAGAGCTTTGCCATATGCATGATTGCTGCTTTTCAAGCCAAAAAAAAAAAAAGAATAAGTTCAAGAAAGTGAAGTTTAATAGGTCCTTCCTTTGTGTGGCATAACTCATTAACGTCGCTTAAAAATTTTCACACAAGTTTTATCCCATCAATATCAGTCCATATATATACATATTTTGCAAATTTCAATAATTATACATACTAATCATATATATAGTCCATATGCTATAGTAGAAAAAAGAAGACGATAAAGCCAGGAGTCCAAGCTTTTCCTTGGTTCCTCCAGTCCTTGATTAACTTGCTTCCAATAGTTAAAACAGCATCAAAGTTTAAAAAGAAGCCTTAAAACAGGAGTCCAAGCATTTCAGTGGTTGTTCCTGTCTAAGTTGGCTTTAATTACATAATTAATTCTTAAGTTTATAGTATAGTACTGCTAGCAATGTGAAATGCAAGTTCAATCGGATTCGGGTTCAGCTTGATTATTGGTGCTTTCCATGCTTTTATCATCATGTTCTAATTGAGGGTCATGCTGATTTTCATCTCTGACAACTTCAACATTACCGGAAACTTGCAGCGAGGAGTGGGTATTGGAAGCTTGTATCTGTTCTAAGTTCTTTCCATTCACAAGTGCTTGTGCCGGTTGCTTGATCTGCTCATTTTTTACATTGTTCTTGTACTTTTTGTAGACTACGTATAGTACCATTTGGATCATCCCTAAAACAACTCCCACTGTGTTTGGGAGCTGAAATTATTGATCCACAAAGGAAATAAAAAGGAAAAGAAAAGGAATCAGAGAAAAATTAATAATAAAATTAGAAATGAGGGCATGCAGGGCAGCAGGGGTTGATAAATATTGAAGGATTGTATTTCTAGGTTGAAGCCACAGTGTGCATGCATCTTATTAGAAATAAACAAATAAATCTTGATATATATATATATATATATTGTAGATTTTAAGCTGAAATATGGGTATTACTTACAGATATATAGAAGTCTTTTAGAAGGAGGCCATAGATCAACCACATAATGGCACTCAAGGTGAGGAAAAATGATAAACTGAATGGCATGAACTCCACGCTTTTGGTGTGAACGACCAACCTCTTAGAAATATAACAAACAACATAGAGTGAAAAGTAACAATAAGGCAAGAGTCATTGGGAAACCAAAGAGAAAAACGAAAAGAAGAAAGGGAAAAATCTGACCATTATGCTCAAAGGCGCTGCAAAAACACCTGCTGATGATACTACACAAAACCATCCAACAATATGGATTCGGGTTGTTCCTTTGGAGAAGAAATGTGTAAGAAGAAGGATCAAGAGAAGGCCTCCAAAATTGAGTAACAGAAGCAGCTTCAAAGTCCAAAATCTGCAATAACATATCGATTCCACTCTAAAGCTTCAATAAGATATTCAACGGGACCATGTAAACAAAATAGGCTATATGACTACTTAGTATATACCCTAGCTTTCTTTGGAGCGTAAATGATGAAGAAAATGATGTAGATAGTTTCCACAACGCAACCAATGGAATTGATGGTCATGAGAAGGTAAGCATTGGGTTTTAGTGTGGCATAGTATATCCAAAGCACTGTGCTGACTAGTGCAACAACATATGGAATCGACTGAAACCCTTCAGTCGATTTCTTTCTGTAAACCCGAACAGACGTTGGCCTGCAATTTAGAATATCGTCCGATTCTCATTTTATATATATAGGAAGTTTAATAAACATAATGGAAAAGGAACAAAAAAGAACACTTACAGAGGCGCAAGGTACACCATGAAAGAGAGGATGTTACCTAAATAAATATTCATGATTGTTGTGATCAGGTTCAGAACCAGGAAATTAAATGAGGATTAGATTTTCCTTTGCATGAATATATAATTTGCATATATTCTCGCCTACCGAAAACATATATACAAATACATGAACAAACATTAAGAAGATGCAGCCTAGATGAACACCTAAACTTTCATAGAGAAATAAAAAATAAAAAATAAAAAAAGCTCCAGGTTTTAAACTTTTAAGTCCATTTTTCTTTTCTGCATTTCATGGGTTTTTTAGTTTACTCATTTGACTCGGACTTATCCCTCCCTCTGGATGAGTTTACCATGGCATGCACCAAATGAATCTACTATACTGCACAAACCATCATGGATAGCAGGAAGGAGGTAATGCTTGGGATATGAAAGCTGGAAAATACCTAGAATGCCAGAGACAATTATCAATGGATGGTATGCCATTATCTCTTCTGCTCCAGCTCCCTCTTTCTCTGATACAAGGTAGTATTAGTTAGAAATAATAATAATAATAATAATAATAATAATAATAATATAATAATAATATTATTATTATTATTATTATTATTATTATTATTATTATTATGGAAGAAGGTTGATAATAAGTCAGGTAAAACTTAATCCTAGCTTCCTCTCAACCAAATCCTATAGCACATTTGGTGTGATATATTAATAGAGAGAAAAGACGGGTGCCTTCCATTTACTTAGTTTGTTAAAAGAAGACTGCAGGTTGATCTTAACCTCTTTGTTTTAGTTTTCATTTTAGTACAAATTTACTTTTTGCTTTTGAAAGCAAAGAGTACAAAAATACTTATTGGATATAAATTTCTTTTTAAAATTACTTGGTGAAAATGTGAATAGTATAATTAATTTAATTTAATTTCTATATGGAATTAATCTTTCATTCTCATTTATACTTTATTTTTTCAGAGGAAAGTCGAAGTTTAGGATTAAAAAATATTTTTAAGTGTTAAAAATTAAACTTTGATCCTATAAAATGAATGAATTTAACTGTACCATATTCATTCTAACCACACTTTATAAACAAATGGTAACCAGAGAAAAACTTACTTTTGTTCCAACCAAAGAAAAACGAGTCCAACCAAATTAGAAGGATTCCTATATGTAGGACAGAATTATCACAACCCCAATGGGGAAAACCTTAAAACCCATTTATATAGATTAACATTCCAACAGCCTAAGCCTTCATTCATATTGGGCTCCTAAGTATTTTCAAAGTTAAGATCCATTATCTGTATCTAATGGGTCAAATCTGAAAGAGCAAAATATCCAAAATGTGAACAAATGTTTGGTTAGTTTCTTTAGTGGACCAGAAGGAATATTATCTGAAAGAGGAATATGACGTGGAATTGTGGGTTAATTGGTTCATACATTAAGCATTGTTGGGCAAGAAAAGGAATGTATTCCTTAATATTATCGACATTTGAGAAAAGGTTTATCCTGTAAACTTTAGTTCCTAGAGATCCTGAAAATCTTGTTGCGTACCAGGGCAGGTGATTCTGCAATTTCAGGCAAAAAAAGAGGCTATGGGGGAAGAGTTAGATGTTAGCGGCCATTTTATGTTGACAATGACTCAGCCAGGAATCGGTGTTGCCAATCCTGGATGCTGTGTTAAACATAAACTGATGATGATCGATTGGCACTAAATATTAAAGCTTATAAAATAAACTGTTTCTATTTGTCAGAACGAATAAGTGCAAGGTTTAATCCATTTTGCATGAAAATCGTGTAATCCAATTGCACAACTTGGTTGCTTACGCAATTGTAACTTCAGATTGTTCTATAAGACTTCATTCCTTTCACTAATTCTAACCTTAATTAACTCTAACCTATTCTTTTGACTAGTTAAATTTCTTTGAACTTTTAACGTGTGAAAATTCATTAGATTTATATTATATTATTGAATATAATTCTCTCATCCCATAACTTTTAATCTTCCAAATCTAAGTTTTAACTTAATTTATGTAGTTAATATTAAAAAAATATTATCCAACAAATTTATGATTCAAATCTTAATACTTCAATCATCTTTCCTATCCCGTAACATCTTTTGTAAAAAAAATCTTAACCCTTTCCTCTTTCTTCATAATTCAAACTAAAGAGACAAATACTACTATCCTGATCTCAATGAGATTTTAATTAACTAATACTCTAATAGTGTATATATTTATTAATTATGCATTAATTAGATATAGTAATTCTAACACAATTGATGAATAAACTTAAAGATTAAGTTGATGTGCTTAGGCTGTTTTTGAATGACTCACCCTAAAATGACATTGGATCTTTTGTCGTTAAGCAGCATTTACTTTGAACTCTCTTGGCCAAGCCCTTGGTTTTGTGTGCCGAGCTGATCTAAGTAGCGACAAAAAGGATATATGAATTGAAAGAATGTAAACCATGTACAATAACCAAATAGAGAATAGCCCAAGCCATAGAAAATCCAAAAGAAAACAAAGCTAATTACCCATTGTCCTTATCATTAGAGGAGGAATTAATGCAATATCCATTGGAACAAAACATACAAAAAAAAAATTGAAATTTATCTCAATTGATTTATGTAGATATTATTAAAAAATAATCTTCAACAGATTTGGATTCAAATCCAAACATCCGTAAACCCTTTTTTTAATTCTTAAATTACAAATTTGTTTATACAAAAAAATTAAAGAAGTAATTAGTTGAAGTGATAAAATTATCTTGATATATATCACATATCTATATATTTAGAATAATTTTGATTTTAAGTGGCATAATAAAAGGTGAGAATCTTCCTTCTTTTTTTCATGTTGCTATTTGGTGTGCAATGAAACTATATATGCATCCATCACCAACCAATTTCTTTTTGCCGTCTACGTTTCAAATGTTTCACAACAAGTTTCAACGCCCTCCACATGCTACATCTGCCATAAATCAGGTCTTGCTTGATTATTGTCAACCTAAACAAATTGATGATTTTAGAACCCTAAAAAGAAAACTTTGAATCGCTCAAAACTTTTATTTATTAGGTAGCTGTGGCAGATGCAAGGATAGTGAAAACACACAATTAGTAAGGCATCTTGTTCGTTTTACTTGATTGATTATCGCCCAGCTAACATTTTAAATGTTGCTTTATCGCCACAGATATAGATAGAGCTCTCCTTTAATGTGGGTTTTTTTTTTTTAATTATGATAAATGGTGGCTTTCCTTAAAAAAAAAAAAAAAAAAAAAGGGACATGATGGCTGAATGACCAGTGCCCACTTAGTTTTCTTTTGAATAATATATTACTGAGACTCGTTAGCACGGGGGTTCCATGGTGTAGTGGTTAGCACTCTGGACTTTGAATCCAGCGACCTGGGTTCGACTCCCGGTGGGACCTATTTTGCCTTAATGAACCATTGGCCCATGTTTTTCCAACAGAATTGGATTCCTTTTGTACAGTTTAAGGTCCAATAAGATTCCGACAACATTGATTCCGATTAATTTTGGCCCACTCCTTAATAGAATCTGTACTCTAACTTAAGCAAATGCTAGCCATAAATCCACACCAACTTCTTTTATTTTTTTAACAAAAGCTTGTCAAAAGTTTTTTAATAAAAAAATATATATAAGTATTAAATTTTAAATATTAAATTTATTATATATATTTATTATAATTATATAAATTAATTGAATTAAAACTTTAAATGCAAACCTTTCTTTAACATATGTTTGTAGGTTTCAAATTGTAAGCTTTTTATATTTAACTTTTAATTACAAAATTACTTAATATTTATGAATTACTTATTAAAATTTATACTTACCAAATTAATTTATTTGATTAATACAAAACACAAAAAGAGAAAATTTACTTTAATCTCTCTCTCTCTCTCTCTTTTCTTTTTGGTTATCGGTAATTTTGAGTGGTTCTTGCTCCTCAAGTAGCAAGCTCTAGTTTTTTCCCTACTAAATTACTAACTACTCCATTCAGTTACCATCGATTTTAGGTATTACTATATTATAACGTTTGACCAAAATTAAAGTTAAATTACACTTGTAAGATTTTTTTTTTCCATATTTCAAAGTTAAAAGTATGCTACGATTGGCTTAGTTAGTGGGATGTCTTATCAACTTTGATTTATTGGGGTTCTTTCATAAAAATACAATTTGCAATATGATAAAGTTTTTTTTCATTTTCATTTTTTTTTTTGAAATGTTTAAAAATTATGTTTTATTTTTTTTAACATCAAAAACTTTTTTTTCATAATTTAAATTTATTTTGTATGATTTTTTATTTTTTAATATTAAAAATTATGATATTTTAATTTTATAAAAAATTAAAATTTAATATTAAATATATTAAAATAAAAAAAAATTTAACCTCCATAAAAATTAATACATGATAAATATTTTAAAATGAAAGGAGTACGAGATTTGTAAGATTTCATAGAACTTTTATGGGTTCATTGTGTTGAAGTTGCTGGCTGGCTGGCTGCACTTGTCTTTCCCCAATGTCAATGGTATATTTTATAGCATAAACAAAAAAAAAAAAAAAAACTTACACATGGAATAGGCAAATTTCAACTTAGGGAACATTGGTCTCTTCACGATTTAATCCAATCCCATTTGGAATTAATTTGTTTGTTTAAAGAAAGCTTCCCTCAAAATGAAACAAAATTAAAAAAAAAAATGTCATATTGTGTTTAAATTTGTTGCTTAGGATGCTAAACCCTTAATCATAATCATGACCTTGTCAAGTGGCATCAAATCCTCCCACTTAGGCCTTCACTTTGACTCCTTTTTTTAAATATTATTATTATTACTATTTGCCAACCCCCACCCCTCATTGCTTCTTCTAACCATTTCCCTCCATTTTTATTTTAGTGAATAGAAAATTAAATTTTAAATTATTTTATAAATTTAATGTTTCATATTTTTTAAAGCTAAAGAGTTAAAGAAATTAAAAAAATAATTTTAAAGTGTCAAAAAATTAAAAAAAAAATTTTGGATATAAAAAATAGTCAAAAATAAAAGGAATGACTACTTACAAAAAAAACAAATATTGTAATTTTCTATTTAATGCTAATGTAAAAAGAAAGATCCATTAATATAATTTTTTTTGGTCAATTTGGATTCAGTTCTCATGAAGAGTATTTCAAACATAAATCTCAAATGTATAAAAAATATATAAAAATATATTTTTAAATTATTTAAATAAAAATATATATTTATTTTATTAAATATATATAATTATTATTAAAATTTTAAATCATATTTATATTTTATTTTTATATTATATTCGTAGTGTATAACATTTTTTATGCGAGAGTGTCCCTCTCTAACTTCATCTAATTTGGCTTTGCCCTTCGGTGGCAGTACAAATTAGAAAAATGGATTAGACTAGAATAAAAAGAATCTTTAGAGCAATTTTGAAACTGTTGACCAGCTTGACGGTGGCCCATAGCCAACTAGACGGCGGAGGCTGATTGGCCAAGTTAGCCGGGGAAGGGAAGAGCATCAAAAGTAGAGAAAAGTCAATGCAAATCGTTGCCTTCAATATCAAAGAAATAAAGTATAAAGTGAGAACCCAAAGAAAAAAAAAAGCGACCTTTTCTAATTTGTTTGCTGCTTTTGGCCAAAAAAAAGAATCTTTTTTTCTTTCACAACTACTACTAGTCTTCAATTCTGAACCCAATTGTGAGAGGAAAAAGAAAAAAGATAGAATTTTTGGAAGATGAATGGTTTGCAGCCTCCATCTCCAGATTTGGCCAATGAAGCCAACCATGCCCCTGACGGTTTCATCAGAACTTATAAAGCTTGGAAGGGTAGCAATGTAAGCAAAAAAAAGGACTTCTTTGTTTGATTGGTTTGTTGATCAAAGATCTGAAATTTATGGTTTATTTGATGGGGTAAGAAGTTTATAATGGGGTTTTGTTGCTGTATGATGGCAAAGGTTTTTTTTTTTTTTTCTTTGTCTAGAGTTGTGTAACAAAAAAAAATGGTGTTTGGTTAATTGGGTTGTTTTGATTTTAGTTTTTTTTTTTTTTTTTATGTTGGTCCAATTATCTTGGGAGTTCAACAGGTTGATTACCATTTGCTAATAGGTGAATTGCTTTTGTTAGTGAGAGAAATGATTAAGCCTGAACGCAACTCTGAAATTTTGTGAATTAGTTGGGATGTTGCAATCTTTGGCCAACTTTTTTTTTTTTTTTATGAACAGTCTAACCCAACTTTAAGCACATGGACGATCACTTAAGTTACAAGTGTAAATCAAATTGTGAAAATAATTGTGGGAAAATTGACTTGTAATTTAAGTGTAATGCATTTGTTTTAACTATGGTTATGTCAATGTTTTCTGGGTGCTTTTTCTGTTTTACAGGTATTTGTTTTGGGGGGAAGGCTTATATTTGGACCTGATGTGAGATCCCTTTTCTTCACCATCTTCTTAATTGCTGCTCCTGTTGCTGTCTTCTGTGTCTTTGTAGCTAGAAAGTTGATGGATGACTTTCCTCATCACCTGGGAATATCCATAATGGTTGTTGTTGTGGCTCTCACTTTATGTGTGAGTTTATTTCCTTCCTAAAAACTATTATTTTCCTCTGCCATGCTTTTTGTCACTGATGTTCTGTGTCTAACTCTCCTTACAGTATTATTAACGTGATTTTACAATCTGCTGTCTGTAAAAATGATCATTAAAAGTCAATGCCGTCTTGCATTTGAATACAAGTTCTACCATGGTATGACAGATATCATGAATAATTTGAAGTTGCTACTCAATGTTGTATGCATTTGGAATGTTTTCCTCTAGTTATCACATCGAGATTCAATCTTATTCTCTTCATATGTTATAGGTGGATAATTATATAAATAGGAAGTTTATTTTGTATTCTCAAACCATATTTTGATCTTCAAACTTTTTCTCATGACAATTGGTTTTATTAATTATTGTAAAGAATGAAGTGCCAAAGAATTCCATGATCACTGCAAATCTGATGAGTTATGGATGCACTTTTGTCTCCCCAGGATATAATTCTTCTTCTACTAACCTCAGGAAGAGATCCTGGTATTATTCCACGAAGCTCTCACCCTCCTGAGCCTGAAGGTTATGAAGGAATTACTGAAGTTCGTCCTGGCCAAACTCCACCATTACGTTTTCCGCGTACAAAGGATGTGGTTATCAATGGTATAAGTGTGAAGATCAAGTACTGTGATACTTGTATGCTGTATAGACCTCCCCGATGTTCTCACTGTTCAATATGCAAAAATTGTGTGGACAGATTTGACCACCATTGCCCTTGGGTTGGTCAATGCATTGGACTGGTAATGCAATATTTTTTACATGATATTTTTTACTCTCTTCACCCAAACTAGTCGCAACAGCATTGCTATGTTTTTAGGAAACTTTTTTTAGTCTATTTCTTTATTTCTTTTATATCTGTTTAAAGCTCTTCTCTTTCCAGTCATTTGATATATCTACTATTGGCTTTTCCCGGCATGTTTGAGATTCTTTGCAATTTAAGAATAGTTCAATGTAGCTATTAGATGTATTGTTACATTCGCATGAGACTTGTATGATGATGATGATGTCTCTGAATTCCTTTTCTTATTGATTTGGTGCAGCGGAATTACAGGTTCTTCTTCATGTTTGTCTTCTTTACAACTCTTCTTTGCTTATATGTGCATGGATTTTGCTGGGTATATATCAGGAGAATCATGGATGGTGAGGAGACAACAATCTGGAAAGCAATGATTAAAACTCCTGCCTCCATTGTGCTTGTAATCTACACCTTCATTTCAGTCTGGTTTGTTGGTGGACTAACTGTCTTCCATTTGTACCTAATCAGTACAAACCAGGTAATATTTTTTTCCAGGTCATTATGCCATAGAAATAGCTAATCTAGCACTTTGAGCATGTGTTTGGTGCACAATATTATAATAGAATAGGATAAGATAATATTATGAATGGGATTTGATTAAATAATGTCATTTTATCTTGTGTTTGATATGTGCAAGGATTAAAATAAGATAATTTATTTGTTGGTCAAAATTATCCTTCCTCAAAGTTTATATGTAATTTTTAAGAGTATAATAGCACATGTAAATTCGATCTCATGCATTAAAAATAATGCTCTCCACTTTGAAAGGATTGAATCATCCTATACCAAGAAAATGATTAATCCCTTTTGTAATGCTATTCCTTTCCTTAGATGCAAATCAAACATAATATAAAATAATTATTATCTTATCTTATCCGTCATTTTATACACCAAACATAACTTGAATATGTTTAGACAAACATTATTTTTCTGGTAAATGACAGGAATACTTCCTCACATGTGACATGTAGTGATAAGTTTATGCTTGATTTTTTTTTTTTTAAGTTGTTTGTATTTCTTAGGCTTGTAACAGCAGGTTTTTGTTTTCTTTTGGCAGTCTACTTATGAAAACTTTAGATGCCAGTATGATCGACGTGATAATCCATTCAACAAAGGGGTCATTGAGAACTTCATGGAGATTTTCTGCACTGGTATTCCTCCATCCAAGACAAATTTCAGGGCAAAGATTCCTAAAGAACCTGCAATTTCACCTAGAACAGTGAGGGGAGGTTTTATCAGTCCAAACAAAGGGAAAGCCATTGGTGACATAGAAATGGGGAGGAAGCCAGTTTGGGATGAGGCTTTAGGAGAGATAGGTGATGATGAAGGACAACTCAGTGGTGACAGTACAGACAAGGACAGCAGATTGCCTGATGTCTCTCTCCATTTAAGTCGGATCCTTCCCCTAGAGAACACAGAGGGGCACGGAGTCATGCATCATCCTAGGCGTTCTAGTTGGGGAAGAAATAGTGAAAGATGGGATATATCACCTGGGATTCTTCCTTTATCCAGAGTTGGAGAATCAAAGAGGATGAATGGTAGGAACAATGCTGAATCTACAAATGGTAATCAACAATTTGAAACAAAATTATGAACTGTACATTAAACATGAGAAAAATATTATTAATTTTTTTTATGGATTTAAGAGAAGATGAAAATGAAAAGTGGCGTGGGTATGGGTTGGTGTTGATTGGAGACATGCATTTAGTTTGTTCATTTTCCACATGCTAAACCGTGTTGTAGTGTATCATTTGTTTTGTTAATACTAAGTCTTGGGGCTGTTTTATTCCTCCACGAAAGAAAAGAACCCTTCCATTAGTTGCAATATTCAGTCATGGCTTGTTGCTTTTTTCTGGCTGTTTGATTTAGCGGTTTCACTTCAGGGCTGCAAGTCATGGCTGAGTGTTCAGTTTGCTCAAACCGAGGCTTTATCCACTTAAGGATCGCTACTATGTGAATCACTTGGTGACCATGATTCGTGATAGCCCTTCCAAGCCTAGCTCGTGGGATTCTAGAGTTGCTAACTTAACATCCAAGTCTTTGCAAAAGGTTAAGATAAATTGGACCTAAGATTGGGCAAAAATGTACCAGAAATAATACAGCACAAAAGCCGTCCTTGTATAGGAATTTTAAAAGGAAAATACGAGCATCCGTTAAAAAAATGCAACAGATTTTCAGTCAATAATTAATTGTAAGGATACAAGAAAAGGTCACAACTTGTAACCAGGGCTGCAGGCAAGGTCTCATTACTGCATGGACTGAAAACGTTTCACAATGATACGGGTCATATCCATGTATCGTTGAGCACAATGAGAAAGGCAAGCTGATTCACTCGAGCTGAATTTGCTCCCAGGAGTACTTGTGATACACTTGTCCCAGCACACACTTGTAAGCTTTGCTACCATCTCATTGAGCATGGCTTTTTCCCTTTCTTGCTGTGTATAGCCACAACAAAGTAATCAGGAACCGAAAAAAAGGAAAAACTTTAAGCATCTCAAAAGTATTGGAAAGACCACATTCAACTATTGCACTTAAAAATTAAAGCAAAGGTACTCATACTATTTCGAAAATCATCAATCCTTCACAATTCACAACTTGATATCTATATTAATTATAAAATCACTGACAGAGATGATGTTACGAATCAATTGAGGAATTGACAAAAAATAAACTCAATTTCAACAATCAATAAAATCAATAAATCATCAAGCAAAGAGCTCTCCTTGCCGTTTCCAAGGTTAGCATGCTTTGTTTCAGATTTTCTTTGATACTAAAACCTTCACAAAGCAATAAAATCAAAAGCTCAACAGTGTTAATCCCATCAATTTAAAAATATTTCAACAATCATCAATCCATCGCAATTCACAACCTTGAGATATTAAACTAAAGACACTCTTGTGTATTTATCTCGGTTCCTTTACATGTTTTTTCCTAACAAATATGTTAATTTATCATTCACACAACATACCAGTAAATACTAAATGGATTCTGACTGAGTGCCCTAAGGACACCCTTTAAGGTTAGCATACTAAGTAATATCTTCTCCCGGCACATTGAAAATCAGCATATCAACTACAATAATGAGAGAACAATACTGCATATAGAATATTAACAAACCTTAAAGAGCACCATTAGGGCATTCGCAAGCAAAATCATACTAAATAACAAAACTAAAACCAGACTCTAGTGGTTCCACCTAGACAATAATACTCAATAACAGAGTTTTGATGCAAAACGCTGAAATTATTTTATAAAATGGATAAAAAAATTCAGTATATTAATTTCAGATAAAGTATTTGTAGCTACCAACCCTTTTTTAAAGCAAAGCCAAAAGATACTACATACAATAGCTAAGGGATATGTCATAAACCCATTAACCTAACTAAGCACCATGATTTCGCTTTAGATTTTCTTCTATACTAAAAACTTTACAAAGCAATTAAACCAAAAAGCCAACAGTGTAAAACCCATCAACTCATTAAACCAAAACAAAAAAAAAGAGTGAAATTTGGATGATAAGTTGACAGAAATCAGAGCAATTAACAGATTACTACTTTTATTTCAGCAATGAAACCAAAGATAAAAGAGAAAAAGAGAGAATACATTGAGGAATCGTTCCAATTCGACAGAATTGAGAGATGATGAATCCATTTGAAGAAGATACAGTTCTTTGCAATGGCAGAAAAATCTAAAACCCTAATTGAACCCAAGGACTCATACAAAAAAGCACCCAAAACCCAGGGAAGCTGTGCCGCATAAAACGCAAAGCAAAGAAATGTATTGGACCACCCGTATAACCAGTTCAGGCCCCTTAACCTTCCATCATGGGCTAAATCTGATCTCTTTTAAACCCAAACATCAGTTCCCAAATTGAACCTAAAATTTTGAAATTAAAAGATAATATATTTTATTATTAATTTAATTTTTATATTTAAAAAATTTGTTATTTAATGTGTTAATTAAGATTAACTTAATAATATAATGTATATATTTTTATATAATTTATATTTTAATTTTTTTCATAAAAAATATATTAAAATAAAATAAATTTCGAATTACGGTACGTGAATTATAAATATAAATGTCGGCATAAGATCAATTATTGAAAATAATAACCTAATGCGGCTAATTAAATGTATCAAAGAGTCAAACTCAAATTATAACTAAAATAATTCATTTGCTTTTGTTAGAAGATGAATTTTTGCAAAATTGAGATTCGATGCCCGTTCTTTATAATTTCTTTAACTTTTCGTCTCTCTTTGCATAAAAAAATTATATCAAAGAGCGCTCCCATCCATCCATAAATATTATAATAATAATGAAATATTTATTGAGATTATTAATAAGAATTATTTGATTGTAATGTAATTTGCAGTCGTGAATGTAATATAATTAAAAATGATGAAATCACATTTGCATGGAAAGTTGCTTTTGTGGCACTTTTTTTGCATGCTCAAAGGTGGTAAAATAAAACATGCTTAATAACATTTGTTGCTGTTGGTATGGAGCATTAATATGAGGTAAGAGGATACGTATGGGTAGCTTTTAATCTAAAGTAGGGGGCTGAGTTCTGATTTCCGAGTCAACATTGCGTGGAAAGAGCAAAGAAACATCTTCGCCATGAAGAAAAGCACCAACCTCCACGTCTTTCATGGGAAAACCCTACTACTTTGACAATTTCGCTTTGCTTTTTCTTTTTTCTTTTTTTAATCTAAAAAAAAATCTTTTTTTCAGTTTTTTTTTCACATTTAACCAATCTTTAAATCAACGACACAAAGTTTTCCCTCCAATACAACTTAATAAGATTGTGTTTGGTTTGTCAAAGATACTGAAAATTCCAAAAAAAAAAAAATCAAAAAAAATATATATATATATTTGAAATTGTATGTAGAAATCAACATCTAACTTACGAGATATTATCTTATTTAATTCAAAATTTTTATGATTTTATCTTATAAAAAATATATTACAACTTCTCCATTAAAACTTGACGTCTTTGTTAAGCACAGTCACAACACAAAACATACATAAAATCATAAAACCAATATCACACAAATGTTAGAATTCTAGAAATAACTCTCACTATGTATTACTTAGCTCATGCACAATTAGTGATTGCTCTGATACTATTTGTGAAGAATCATATCCTACCTGTGAGATATTATCCACCTTGACACAAAAATCTTATAATTATATCTTATAAAAGATGTCTCACAAATTTTGATTTAAATATCTATATATATATCATATTATATTTTTACATTTTTTAAATATAAAATTGAAGGCATCACATTATCAAAAATTAAATCTTAATTATTGAAATTAATTAATTGTTTCATTTTACAACAAATCACATAATTGTTGTCAAACAATATTTTGGATACTACGACAAAAACAATTCTACTTTCGATCTTCAAATATCTTTATTTTTTAATAAAATTTTCTTTAAATTCTTTTATTTTTTAAATATTATTTTTCGTGAATCAAACTGTTGCGCCTGAAGCAATAATCACAACAATACAGAAGCAATAGACAACAATCAATAATCAAATGCGCAGGAAAAATAAAGCACACCAAGATTTACGTGAAAAACCCTTCAGTGTAGAGGGAAAAACCACGGGCCACCAGAAAAAATCTTCACTATCAAATAATAGTTATACAAAGTTCTTCTCTAGCTAAAACTAGAGCTAATCAACAACTAGAGAAACAATTGGAAAAATCTCACCAAATAAGTGACTCAACAAATACACCTTGGATTTGTTCCTAGAGAGCTTCAAACCCGATATTCACCGTTCAGAATGTATAACTCTGAATCATAAACCTCCTGACAAGGTTCCAACTCAATCGGACCATAGATCGACTTCCGTTTAACCAACTCTCTCTTCTCTTTTTTCTCTCTCTGCTTTTCCTGGCTTTTCTTCTTTCTCTGCTTGGTTGTCGACACACACCTAAAACAATCCCACCTCTTTTTTATTAAGTAGCTAGGGTTCTGTGTAAAATAAAAGATCAAGGCCCATGGCCTTTACTTGGTCCAAAACCACTTATATGGGACTGGACTCCATTTTCCTAACAATCTCCCCCTCCAGCCCCATTAGGAGGAGATTCATCACCATAGCAGTTTCATTTGGAACTTACCTTGGCCAAGGAACTCATTCCGGTCAAGTTACTGCAAAGCTCAAGCTTTTTCCTCGAAAGTATCTTAGTCAACATATCTGCCACATTTTTATCAGTATGAACTTTTTTCAATAGCATCTGTTGTTCTTCAATCACTGAACGTAACCAATGATATCTAACATCAATGTGCTTTGTTCTAGCATGGTACATGATATTCTTACTCAAATCTAAAGCACTCTGGCTATCATAAAATACCACATACTCTTTCTGATTTAACCCCAATTCAAGAAGAAAATGTTTCATCCAAAGCATTTCTTTACATGCTTCAGTTGCTGCAATATACTCAGCCTCTGTAGTTGACAAAGCAACACACTTCTGTAACTTAGACTGCCAAGATACAGCTCCTCCTGTAAAAGTGAACAAATACCCTGAAGTAGATTTCCTACCATCAAGATTGCCTGCCATGTCAGCATCAGTAAATCCTTCTAGAATTGGTTGTGAAACTCCATAAGTCAAACACATTTTTGAGGTACCCCTCAAATATCTAAAAATCTATTTTACTGCTTTCCAGTGAATCTTCCCTGGATTAGAAAGAAATTTGCTCATTACACCAACTGCATGAGCAATGTCAGGCCTTGTACAAACCATAAGATACATTAAAGAACCGACTGCAGAAGAATAAAGAATACTAGACATAGCTAGTTGCTCTTCCTTAGACACTGGACAAGATTTCTTACTTAGATGAAAATGGTTGGCAAGTGAACTGCTAACTGATTTAGCATGTTGCATGTTGAATCTACCAAGCACTCGTTCAACATACTTTTTCTGTGACAACCACAGCTTTCCAGCTCTCCTATCTCGAATAATGTCCATACCAAGAATCTGTTTTGCTGGATCTAAATCTTTCATATCAAAGGACTTAGACAATTGTTCTTTCAACCTGTAAACCATACTAGCATCTTGTCCTACAATCAACATATCATCAACATATAATAATAGGATAATGAAGTTACCATTAAGGAATTATTTAACATACACACAAAAATCTGCTGCTGTTTTTTTATAGCTATGACTCACCATAAAAGAATCAAACTTCTTGTACCACTATCGCGGAGCTTGTTTCAAGCCATACAAGCTTTTTTTCAATTTGCAAACTAAGTGCTCTTTCCCTTTCACTTCAAAACCCTCAGGCTGATTCATATAAATGTCCTCCTACAAATCACCATGCAAAAATATAGTTTTAACATCAAGTTGCTCAAGCTCAAGATTCAAACTAGCTGCCAATCCCAGTACCACTCGAATAGAACTCATTTTTACAACTGGAGCAAAAATCTCATCAAAATCGATTCCTGGTTTCTGAGAAAAACCTTTTACTACCAATCGAGCTTTGTACCTCACTAGTTTGTCACCATCCTTTTTCAACTTGAACACCCATTTATTCTTTAATGGCCTCTTCTCTGTTGGAAGTTTAACAAGATCATAAGTATCATTCTTTCGCAATGACTCCATCTCTTCTTTCATTACTTTTAATCAGTGCTCTCTATCCGGAGTAGCTTGCACATCTTGAAAGCTTTCTGGCTCCCCTTCACTGGTAACTAAAATAAAATCTGAACTTGGATACCTGGTAGATGGCCTGCGCTCTCTAGTAGATCTCCTGGGCTGAGACTCTACATCACTTGATGCTGAAAAGTAGCTCCCCCTGCTCAACACTCTCAGGTAGAGAGGATTGTTCCCCCTGCTCAAAACTAATAGCATCTAGCTCATCACCAACTGTGGCTAGCTCATTCATATCCTCAAGTTCTGTTTCTAGCTCATTTTCACCATTTGTGGCTCTTTCTTGTGAAATCTCTGTCGGTGTTGAAACATCACACTCAACAGTAACTCGTGTAGTCTTCTCATTTTTCTCAAGGTCTGCTATAGTTTTTTTTTCATGAAAGACCACATCTCTGCTTCTAACTGTCTTTCTCTTTACTGGATCCCATACCCTGTAGCCAAATTCCTCATCACCATATCCTATAAACACACATTGTGTGGCTTTACTGTCAAGCTTTGATCTCTGCTCTTTCAGTACATGCATGAATGCTTACACTCAAAAACTTTCAAGTGAGAGTATGAAGCATCTTTTCTTGTTCACACTCTTTCTAAAATATCAAAGCCCAAAGGAACTGATGGTGACCTATTGAGTAAATAACAAGTTGTGTTGACTGCTTCACCCCAGAATGGCTTTGGTAATTTTTCCATCCTCAACATACATCTGACTTTTTCCACAATTGTGCGATTCATTCTTTCAGCTATACCATTATGCTGCGGTGTTCCAGGTTCTGTCCTCTCATGCCTGATCCCATGCTTTGAGCAATACTCTTCAAAGCCTTTAGATGTGTATTTCCCACCATTATCAGTTCGAATACACTTCAAGGGTAACCCTGTCATCCTTTCAACTATGGCATGAAATTTTTGAAAATACTGTAGTACCTGACTTTTGTATTTCAACATATACACCCAAGTCTTACGTGAAGCATCATCAATAAAAGTAACAAAATATCTGCTACCACCTAATGACTCAACCTCAATGGGACCACATACGTCAAAATAAATTAATTCCAATCTATTTTCTTTTCTCTGAGAATTTTTACGAAAAAAAACTCTATGATGCTTATCAAACAAATAATAATCACATGAATCGAGAGACATACCTTTGGTTAAGGGAATGAGAGAGTGCCTTGCCAAAACCTGTAACCCTTTTTCACTCATGTATGCCAGCCTCCTGTGCCACAAGTTTGCTGAAGCATCATTTTCAACGGTATTTACCTGGTTACCGTTCAATTACATTCATGTCTTATACATTGTACAGCATAGTTTTCCCCTTGTAACTACCATAGATCCTTTGAGAAGCTTTCATTGTCCATTCTTTTGTCGACTTTCATATCCCTTCTTATCAAGGACATTAATAGCAAGCAAGTTTATTCTCATATCTGGAATGTGTCTGACATCCTTCAAAGTCAACATGCAGCATGTACTAGTTTGTATAATAATATCACCAATCCTAACAATCTGTGACACACTCTTGTTTCTCATCTTAGTACAACCAAAGTCTCCTGCTTTGTAAGTTGTAAACAACTCTCTCTTAGGAACACAATGATATGCCACTTCTGTGTCAACTATCCACTAAATGTCGGGATCACTAACATGATTACAATCACCATGTGTACAAATCAAAGTAACTGAATCACTATCTGAATTCACTGCTGTAACATTGCCATAATCTGAACTCTTACCTTTCTTATCTTTTCGCTCTTGCTTCAAGATTCTACAGTTTCGTTTTATATGACCCGCCTTACCACAATGGAAACACTTCACTTTACCTCTAGACTTGGATCTATGTTTAGACTTACCACGACCTTTTGAGTCTTAACCTCTGTCGATGTTTCTACCTCTGTTCTCTGTGACCAGAGCTTGATTCCCAGGGTCTACATCTTTTCGCCTCGCTTCTTCATTAAGCATACTGTCCTTTACCATCTCCAATGTCACCTTATAATCAGGAGCTGAATTAAGAACAGTCACAACTAGAGTATTTCAGCTGTCTGGCAATGAACCCAAAAGAAATAATGCCTTCATTTCATCATCCATCTTAAGTTCCATAGTAGTCATCCGATTAAATATATCTTGAAAATCACTCAAGTGCTCTGTAATAGATCGTCCATCCCTGTACTGTAAAGTTGCAATCTTTTTAACAAGCATAACTTTATTCATACCTATTTTTCTCTCATACAATGCTGCCAATTTTTCTCAAACAATGTGAGCATCTGACTCCTACGCTACATGATGGAACATGCTGATATCAACCCATTTTCTGATTGTAGCCAGCGTCTTTCTACCTAGCTTCTTCCAGTTTTCATCTTTCATATCTGCTGGTTTAGTCGAATCACCCAATATTAGCTCATACAAATCTTTGTAGTATAGATGATCCTTTATCATAGGCTTTCAAATTGAATAATTTGATGCTGTCAATTTTATCATGAAACCTGTATCACCTTACATGATCTCAAACAGAATTTACTTCTATCCTGGGTTGCTTCTGTATCGATGTCTCAAAATAACTCTCGCTCTGATACCACTTGTTACGCCTGAAGCAATAATCACAACAATACAGAAGCAATAGACAACAATCAATAATCAAATGCGCAGGAAAAATAAAGCACACCAAGATTTACGTGGAAAACCCTCTAGTGTAGAGGGAAAAACCACGGGCCACCAGAAAAAATCTTCACTATCAAATAATAGTTATACAAAATTCTTCTCTAGCTAAAACTAGAGCTAATCAACAACTAGAGAAACAATTGGAGAAATCTCACCAAATAAGTGACTCAACAAATACACCCTGGATTTGTTCCTAGAGAGCTTCAAACTCGATCTTCACTGTTAGAATGTATAACTCTGAATCATAAACCTCTTGACAAGGTTCCAACTCAATCGGACCACGGATCGACTTCCGTTTAACCAACTCTCCCTTCTCTTTTTTCTCTCTCTGCTTTTCTTGGCTTTTCTTCTTTCTCTGCTTGGTTGTCGACACATACCTAAAACAACCCCACCTCTTTTTTATTAAGTAGTTAGGGCTCTGTGTAAAATAAAAGATCAAGGCCCATGGTCTTTACTTGGTCCAAAACCACTTATATGGGACTGGACCCCATTTTCCTAACACAAACAACGTATCGGTCTCATTCTAATTTATTAAACACAATATTCCATATAATGTACATTTATTTAAGGAAAAGCCAGAATAGCTAGAACCTGAAAAAGTCGAAAAGCTTAAATTAAATGATGCTCCTTTAGCAATGGAGTTCATGTTATTAACAACAAAAGATCGATGGAAATTGAAAGCCTTACTGACTGAAGCACTTATAAAAGAAGAGAAGAGGGAAATGAGATTAATTAAAAAGAAGCAAATTAAAGAAATAGAGCACTGGCGTCTAGTTTGAAACTTACACATTAAGTAACTTTTTAATCTCAACTGCTGCCCATGCTGCCATTGGATATTAATTATTAGCAAAGTAATAATATTGTTGGAACTTGCCAATTCAAACCCACAGAGAGTAAGCAACCTGGAACTGGATGGGAAATTAAGACCAGTCAAAGAACAAAAGAATATATATATATATATATATATATATATATATATATATATATAAACATTAGTTCAGTGGAATTGGAATCGACTCCAAAATTAAAGGTGTCCCATTCGAATTTCAACCGCAATCTAAAAAATCAATATATATATATATAAAAGGAGAGATATATTTACATCAGTATAAGTGTTACAATGTTTTTTACCTTTAAGTCAAAATGGCTAAGGATAAGTATAATGTATTTAATTTTGATCAAAAGATAAAAAAAAAATAGTGTAATACTTATATGGGTGTAAATATATATATATATATATATATGTATGTATGTATATGAATCCTCAAAAAAGAAGTGGTAAAAAAATTAACATGATTATAAAAGTATATATATGATATTGATGCTTTATAGTTTATTTGTTCTTATCTTTTACATCTGGATTAATAAATATACATATATTGAAAAATATTAAGTCCACTTGTAAAATTAATACTAAGCATATGGTTAGCTATTTCAAAGAACTAAAATAATAATAATAATAATAATAATAATAATAATGTTCACTTGGTAATTTTGTAACCCAAAGATAGTGAAACCATGTTTGCTACATGCTCATATATTGTTCCTAAATGATACATACCCGTTCTGAACTATATATTAAATACATACGTTTCAAGGGTAAAGATGGAGTGGAATTTTAGTAAAAATTCTAATTTGAAAAGACAATGTGTTATCTTTTAATAATAATAATAATAATAATAATATATAAATAGATTTTTTATATTCAAAATGTGATTATTTATATATATATAAACATACAAAGTTATACATGATATAATATTCATAGTATATTTTATGAAATTTCAAGTACAATATTAATAGTAAGTTTAAATAATTGAATAATATTAAATTTTTTATATTTAAAATTATCAGAATTTAAATTTTAATAATTAAAATTAAAAATTTAGTACTTTATTAACAAACCACATAATTATTAACAAATTATGTCGAAATTTACTTTCAAATAGAATTTTCTTTAAAGGACTTTGAAATTGAATTAAAAATAAATAATCAAATTGATATATAACCCTAGATATATGGGTGTGTTTGATAAATAAAATTATGATATGTTAAAATAAAATGATATTATGATTAGTATTAAATTAAATAATATTATACTATCTTGTATTTGATATATGTAAAAATTAAGATAAAATAATTTATTTATTAATAAAAAATATTTTTTCTCAAAATTTATATAATTTAAATTATTAATGTAATTTTTAAAAATATAATAAAATATATAAATTCAATCCCATAAATTAAAAAAATTCTCTCTATTTTATAAAAATAAATTATTTTATACCAACAAAACGGTTAATCTTCCTTATAATTATTTTTTAAAAATATAAATCAAATATAAAATAAAATAATTATTACTCAATTCTAACTATTATCTTATACATAAAATATAACCATATTTTTTTTATAACTTATGTCCATTTGATACGTAAACAGGAATGGGGTCCATTCTATCAAATTTAGAAGGGACCAAGTGTGAAATTTTGCATCTCAATGGTTAAAAGGCTATGGAGAATAGCTTTCTTTAATTCTGAAACCCTACAAGTTTAAGAAAAAGTGTAGCACATCGTAGGTGTAGTACCACTTATTTTGCTGTCAAACTCCGAGCATTTAATCCTCCATCTACATAGAAATGCATGCCAACATTAATGCTATATTTAGTTGTTTTGAATTTCGGATTTAACCTAAATTATTCGTTCACTTTTCAAATTTTGGATTTAACTCAAATAATTTGTTCACTTTATGAGGTGAATTCCATTTTTCTCTTTTTTTTTTAAATTTTTCGTTTATATATATATATATATGTATGTGTGTGATCACATATAATATTAACGATATTTTGATATTTTTAAATATAAAAAATCATATAATGCAAAATAAACTTGCCCATAAATCATATTTAATAATTCCAAACATTAAAAGAAAATGTCATTTACCCTCTATGTTTGAAAATGAATAAAGATGGCACCATTAGCATTGAAAAAGCACATGCTATTACCTATCTCTTTAAGAAAAGTTTATTTATTTGATTTGATATACTTTACCGAATCTGTCAATCAGGGCCCATTAATTTGTTTTCTTTCTTATTTTAGTTATAAATTCGCATTTGCCTCATCTTGAGTTGACAGAAGAAACTCTCAACCTTCAAGGGAAATCTAGGGCTGTTGATCAATTTCGAGATGAACAAGCAGCTCAATTTTGTTAGAGATGGAGTGACCAAATTGCCGCCTGGCTTTCGCTTCCAACCAACAGATGAAGAGCTTGTGTTTCAGTACTTGAAATGCAAGGTTTTTTCCCTCCCTTTGCCTGCTTCAATCATTCCTGAGCTTAATTTTTGCAATTATGATCCCTGGGATTTGCCAGGTTAGTGGAAACTGGAAAACTGTTCCAATATATTAGCTCTCACGTATATATAGAAGTTGCGTCTATCATTTGCATGCATTGTCACAGCATAATTGCAAGTTAAACCATGGATGGTTAAGAGTTAAGACATTGTTTGTATATGGAAATTGTGGAACAGGAAACATGCAAATAGTTCATAGTTGGACAGCAAATTAATTCTACTTGTTAACTTCTGTAGGTGAGTTGGAGCAAGAGAGGTATTTTTTTAGCAGTAAGGAAGCCAAGTATAAAACCGGGAACCGAATCAACAGAGCGACAGCTTCTGGTTATTGGAAGGCAACCGGGTTAGACAAACAAATCATATCAAGGAGAAATCAAATAGCAGGGATGAGGAAAACTCTAGTTTTTCACATGGGGAAGCCTCCACATGGGTCTAGAACTGATTGGATCATGCATGAATATCGTCTAGTTACTGTAACAAACAAAGATTGCAACTCTCCACTGGCAAAGAACCCAATAATCCAGGCAAGTCTAGATCATATAGCTACATCTATATATCCAATTTTCCAGCTTTTGATATATATTGTTTTAACTTCAATGGTTTAATTTAATATGTTCTGCAGAACTACTTGAATCATCACATGGATAAATGGGTTCTCTGTCATATATTTTTGAAGAAAAGAACTAAGAAAAGTACCGAGGAAGAGGTTATTCAGAGTTGTTGCAATGATAACAAGGAAGTGAAAAAAACTATGGCAGTGGCTGTTCATCATGAGCCAAAAATCTTTGATTTTATGAGAGAAAAAGCTCGCATAACAGATGTGTTATCTTCCTCGTCTTCTTCAAGTTCGATCAGTAGCAGTATCACTGAGGTTTCTTCAATTGGAGAAGAGAACGTTGAAGAAAGTAGCAGCTGCAATATTGTATTTTGAACATTATAAATTGTTAAAGCACTGATCAGAGCTAAAAGCATGTTAATTAGGCTGGTGTTTTCTCTCCTATTATGCTGTTAATATAATATATTGTTACGTAACCAAGTATTAAAGTGCATCAATATCGCCAACAGTCTCTTTGCTGAGTGATTAAAAGAAGAATAGTGATAAAAAAAAAGAGTGCATTAATATTGACTTTTGAAAACTATATATTATAGAATATAATATGATAAAAGAAAAATAATAGTAAGAAGAAAGAATCAGTCCTTCCAAGAACCTTTTATGAAAAGGTAATTCATTTTCCACCCCGGGAAAACGAAATGAGAAGGGAATAAAAGAAGCATACATTTATATATATGTAATATGTCAACTTTGCATAAAGAAGGGAAAAAATTCTTTGGGGATAAATTAAAGCAACAGAAAGTAAAAGGAAAGAGTATCTGATGCACATGGGATTCACTTCAGCTTCTTTCCTGATTTTGTGATTCTTAATAAAGAAAAAACGCCCACCACTTTTATTTGTGAAAGTGGATTCGAAGCCGAAAAGTATATAGCCGATTCAAGTTGAATTTAGCAAAATTATTGTAGTCCAAGTTCAATATATGCATGCATAACTTGTAAGTAAAGAAACCGGTTTATGTAATAATATTACTCATATTTAGATATTGCCTTCAAGAAAATGAAAAGAATATTACCGATCTATGAGCCAAATACTCATAGCTTATCCAATTATTTCTTGAAAATGAATAATAGTAGTCGTAGTACTGTTTATAATTTTAGAGGATATATACTTAGAGCAAAGAATACGTGTTTTGGAGAAGGAGAGCAATTTTTATTGAGCTTTAATATCAGAGTTATTATTCGTTTTGACTTGAATATTTCATAGTTTTATCTCATAAAAAATATCTCAAAATTTTTATTGTTATATCATAACATATTTTTAAAATATTCTAATATAAAATTAAATGTCATAAATTTTTCATGTTAAAATTTAACGTTCTTATTAAGTCCAACATAAAGTACGCATAAAATCACATAATCAAAATCATACTAAAGATAATATTTAATTTTTTTGAGATTTTAAAAGTGATTCTTACAGTGTAAAATTTAGTTTTTGTTTGATTAGTGATTATTTTAATAATATTTATAAAAATTCATATCAATCGTAACTGCGAGAAATTATTCATTTTAATTTAAAATTTTCATGATTTTATTTCATAAAAAATATATCACAAATTTAGATTTAAACTTTTACTTATGTATCATGATAAAATTTCAAAACAATTGAGGTGTCGTGAGTCCATTGGGACTTGGGGACCTAGAGATTGAATTCGTCTTCATGATGGTATTCTAATCTGCAACGTCAGCGACGGTCAAGCAGATCTTGGAGAGCTAAGTTTACACTGAAATATTGTTCATCCCCCGTGTGATTCGCAGATTTCTAGTGGAGTAGTGCTTCATTTGAATGATCACCACGCTATGGTGGCGTTGTTTCATCATATACTACTATGTACGAAATGAAGAATCTGGGTTCTGAGTTCTGACCTCTCACCATGCCAATAATAGCAAACGGTTAGTCACTTATCCAATATACAACCATATCAACTGTCTATATCTCGTCAAAGGTTGTTTCATGAAATAATATGTCATTCAAAGAAAGAAAAAAAAAAGAGTTGGCTCTTAATGAATTGACAACGTATAATCAGCATAGTAGCATGATAAAAATAGTAAATTTTCCATAGATTCAAGATAAGACCAAGCTATGAAACAAATAATCAAAGGTATATGTTGTTCTATTAACAACTGTAAATATAATATCAGAGTTAATACATTTTTCATGTTGTTTGCCTAACAACCTTTGAACCCTTTTATAAGTTCAAATAATCCTTGCCCTTCCAAGTATTGAAAAGTGGAAACCTTCCTTCCTTGACCATCCATTTGGCTTCTTGTCCCCATCTCTCTCCAGCCTGTGTTTTCCATCTTTCCTTTTGATTAATTAGTAATGGGGAGTAATGCGTCAAGGCCAGGCCAGCAGAAAATGGAAATGATGCCTAAACTGCCTCCTATCTTCAGCCGAAAGCTGGAGGAGATTAGAAGACGCAGGACAGGGACGACTCTTTCCAAAAAAAAGCTGCTCAAGGATGATTATGTGGATGACGGAAAAAGTACTGAATCATCCCCGGAGCCTGATGATGATAGCATGAAGTCTGCCAAGGTAGTACCAGAGCCAACCGTGCCTGACAAAATCTTTTCAGATAAGGAGGCTATAGCTCAAGAGAAAAGCGTAGAACAGGATAATAAGGATAATGACAATGCCAAAGATGAGAGGGAGAAGGTAGTAGAGGCTGTGGCCACCACCATGGAAAAGCTGGCCTTGGACGAAACAAAACATAAACAGGCAGTTAAAGAATATGGAAGGGATCACAATGAAGGCCCTCTTACCTTTCAAGGATCACCGAGTTTCAGATGTTACCTTACTGATGATGATGGTGAGTATTTTTCACTTTTCAGGAATGAATTATGATTCATTTTTATCTGTATTTTACATTCTATCAATCAATGCAATAAATGAGGCAACCGTATCTCAAAAACAGATTAGATAATATTTTCCACCTACCATTGATGCAATGCATACAGGCAAAGATGATATCAAGAACAGAAGGTCATTGAGTGATACCGATATCGAGGCTGCTAAGATTGTTGAACGCCAAAAATCCACTGAGGTAGTTAATGAGTTTCTGTAAAAAGGAAAAAAGAAAAAAAAAAAAAACAAAGGGTATCAAATTTTCTAGCTGGCATTGTCATTTACGTACATAAAAAAACATATATAGAGCATGAAATCAAACAAAAGCTGATATCTGATGAAATTCTGTGCGTGTTTGTTCTTACTTCAGGAACTGGCAACGAAGATGAAGAAGAGAGGAAGGAAAGGAATGAGATTTAGGAGGGTGATACCTACGGGAAAACCTGTAAAGAACTTCCTCAAAGTTAAATCATGCTATTATCCATCTTGTGGTGGTCACGAGATTTCTCGCCGTTTGATTGCTACAAAATCAGCTAGGTAGATTATTACGCTAAATGTAAATGAAGAGAGCTTATTCCTATCTCCTAAATCTTTTCCTTTGTTCTTTTACAATTTCTGTAATTTTAATCTTTTGCTAAAGTAGGAACTGTACGCGTCAAATAGTGAAACTCAATGTAATAGATTATACGTAGGGATATAAACAAATCCACAATGACCAAACTTTAATCTATTTATGGTCTAACTGTTTAATTAATTAGTCTTGAACAATTGTTCATAACCATTTATAAATTACTCGTCGGACGCCTTATTAATTTACATCTCAAGATACAAACAAATAAAAAATGAATGAATTTTTTCATATTAATATTTTGTTATTCTGTTTAGTTAATTAATGAACTTTAAAATATTATTCATGATTGTTTATTAAAATTTAATAAACAAATAGAAATTAAACCTATTCAAAAACTGTTCCTCGAAGTTCATCACCTCATAGGAATATGGAGCAGATAGCTTTTACAAGTTGATCATAGATGGAGATGTAGATTGAACTGTGAAAATATTCTTTTAGACATGAGACATGAGAGCTCATATAATGTCTTTCAGTGGCATGGAATCATAGATGCAACTGAGAACATTGTTTCACCTGATCCTTGAGGTTTTCTTCTCTTTTGCCTTCTGAATTTTACATATGAACAACAAAGCCGATGAAATCGTATAATATTTAATGAGCAATTTGGAGATTTCTTAATCCCATTCAAAGCCATTATGCTCAAAGCCGTGCAACATTGATAAATCTTTAGCATCAAGTTCTCTTGCATTATCTGTTCATTTATAAAGAGGAAGAAACTAGTACGCCTGAATACAATGGTTGGTCTAGCCTCGTGCATCTGTTCTAAAGCATGAAATCTGGAAAGACTCCTCCAAAACGAAGGAGGAATAACAACTTAAATGCTCATCATGCAAATATGTCCCACTCTTGCGCATCATGCAAACAAATGAACCCACCCTTGGGTTAAAATAAAAGAAAAAGGCATCGAATAGAAACATAGACAGAACAGGTTATAACAAACAGTACATAAATATATATATATATATATATATATATTATAGTCATCGCAAACCAGTTCTTACAGTTATATCAACATTAAGGTCACACACGAGCATATATTTCACAGGCTATGCTTTAAAACACATAAAAACTCGCGACAGAAAGAGAAAATAAAGGGAAAATGTGGGGTGGGATGAAAACAGCGCATACATGTAAATTCCAAAATATTACTAGTTCATACCATAACCTTTATTCATTAGATAAGGCGGCAGCAGAAATGAATTCCTCGTCCTCCACAAAAACTTGCAAATTCTTGGATTTCATCAAGAAATCAACTGCTTCTTCGTTGAATTTTAGAAGGAAGGCCAGTTTGATTAGCTCAGAGAGTGAACTAATCTGATCTTCCTTTTCCCAGAGTACCCCTTCAGCAATTGCTTCAGAAAAATAAGTAGCAAATTCAAGGAGATTCTTTTGCCCAGCAGACTCGTCCATCTTCTGAGTGAAAAGCTTTGAGCTCTCTCTGTCCCAACGTATCATTCGACTAGCTCTAACTTCTAGGGTTTCACCTGAAGATAACAACAAAGTATATCCCACTGCAACTGGTTCTAAAGTCTCAAGGACAGTGAGATTGAGGAGGCACTGAACAGCTTCATGCCTTTTGTCAGCTTCCATTTTTATGGAAGAACCTGCTAAAAAGCCAAGAATAAGCCGAACCAGCTCTTTTCCAATCATAACATCTCTAAGATTGACCTGCTTAAGTTCCAAGCCATTAGTCAAGGATAATTCTTTCTTCTGTACAATCTCAGAGATCAAGCGAACCCCAATTTTTCTGTATAATTCAAACAGCATAGTCCGAGGCAAAAAAGGCAAGCTTGGCTGAGGATACCAGACAAATAGTGGACGAGAAGAGGATTGGACAAAAAGATCCTTAAGTTGAAGGTCATCAGCAATAAACACATCATTCTTGTCAAATAACATAATCCCACCCGAACCTGAATCCACAGGAACCTTTACCAAACTTTCAGAAAGAATTTGCTCGTTCTTTGAACTCTTGTGCTGCATTACAAACCTCCAGAATGCACAACACTCGTCATGTGACAATCGGTGTCCTGAAGTTTCCCAACCCTTCCAAAGTTTGCAATAATCATCAAGTGAAGGATTTGATTTGACACCAAATGCACCAGAGAAAAACTGCAGCGGCACTTTGTTCTTATAGTGTTTCTCCAATACATTCAACTGCAAACCAAAGAGACCATCTTTATCATGTAGAACACATGCATCAGGTTTGACCCACCTTCCATTTTGATTTCCATCAGGGATCCAGATTTTCGGTGAAGCTTCACTATCAGGCACCCATTCTACTTTTGCCAAGAACTTGTATATTCGAATGATTGTGGCAAAATCAGATTGGAAATCAAGGTGGCTGGCTATCAATGCGCTTCCCCTCTTAATATCAACAGTAACTCCTATTGACTCTAGTTCTTTTCTGTACATTCTAACCTCAGAACCATAAAACCCTTCATCAATGAATGGTCCATCTGTTGGCTTCAAGTCTGATCTCCCATCAAACAATAAGCTATTACCTGGGCTCCTATAACCAGCATAGGTTTTCAACCATTTTTGTGAAACTTTTTTCAAAAAAGATTCTGAGAAGGTGTAATTCTTGTCTTCCAACAAAATTCCCATGCATTTGAGCAATGCAAGTGCAGTTGCGGGAGTACTTGGAGGAAAATAGAGACAAGAAGGCACAAACTTGACACCACTTTTGAATTCAACAACTACTCCAATGCTCTTCAACTCATTTCTATACTTGTGAATGTCCTTTCCGTAGTAATTGTCACTATCATCAATAAAAGGAAGGAGAGTAATTTGAGAGATGGATTCCCACATCGGACCAAAGAGGATGCAATCTCTTGGTGACCTGAAATCACCAAGCCGAGTCCGCAACCACTTCACTTCATGGATGCAACTCTTCAAGTCAGAGGGAAACTTATGGGATGTTCCCTTCAGTTGTCTATAGCATGACAGAAATGACAAAACATTATCTTTTGTAATAGAGGATACCGATGCCTGTTGCCTGAAACTGCTAGCAAAAGATTTGACTGCTGTCTCAAAATCCACAACAGCACCCAATCTCTTCAACTCATTTTTGTAAGAGGAGATGGCACTTCCATAGTAAGCTTGTTCAATTATTGGGAAAAAACCGAAAACCTGTAGAAGACAACCCCATTCATTATCAAATAGAAAGCATTCAGACGGAGGTTTGAAACCAAGATTTGTCTTCAAACACTTCACATTTTTGAGTGTTGTAACAAGGCTCTCAGATGAATTTGAATAATGCATACATTCCAGCAATAAAAGAAAAGCATCGGCTGTCAAAGAGGTCAAGCTTGAAGATGATTTCAAGTTTTCCATGACAAGCCTTCTGCTGAAGCCAACTATAACGCCAAGCAACCTGAGTTCTGTTTTGAAGCAAAGGATTTCGTCACCATAGAATGTTTGATCAATGAAGGGAACATCACATATTTGTATAGCTGTTCTCCATTCCTCATCAAACAAAACAGCTCCTACTGGGGATCTGTAACCATGAGATGTATTTAGCCATCTTCCTTCCTTGATAGAGCAGATCAAGTCATCAGGAGGGAGGAATTTCATCCTCAAATATCTGATGAGACCAAGAATGGAAAGCACACGATCTTTACTTAACATTGATGAAGACGCCAGTCTCATAAGATGCTTCCCAATAAATGCACATGCTTCTCCATACTCAAACATGACTCCAATTTTTTTCAGCTCCTCCATATACTTGCTTATTCTGTCTCCATAGAAGTTCTGATCAATTAGTGGAATATCAACAAACACGAATCCATTCTGCAAAATATTTCCCCATGAGGAGGAATAAAAAAATGATTGCGATGGTGGTTTGTAGCCAGAAGAGCCATTTATGGTGACTTTCAGCCAGTTTCCATTTTTTATGCTTGTCAAAAACTTCTCTGGAATTGTTGTTCCTCTATTTCTCATGTACTGAATCCAATCCAACATCAAGAAAGTGTTTTCCTTTGTAAGCGGTGAAGAGACAGCAGGAATGGCAGCATTAGGGGGCGATAGATAAGGGATATCTGAAACTGCAACATGTGATCCAAGAAACTCCAAGAGCTTCTTTTCAGGTGTGATTTGGCCAACAAAATTTCCAGGACGCAAGTAGTCTTCTCCTAACTCAACATAGCCTTCAGCTTTCAGAGGATTTGAACCAATCAAACTGGCCCATTTGCTTCCACTGGAAGGAACAAGAATCCTCCTCTTATCGGTCAGAGTCACATTACCGTAGTTATCCACAAGTGGCATGATGCCACACAAATAACGGACATCTGCTGCTACTACAAAGTCCTTCCAGAATGAATGATATAAGAAGTGACCATAGGTTATAACAAGCTTTGGCTTGCCACTGAGATGGTCAATAAGAGATGCTGCATACTGATATACACTTATGGCAACAACCTTCACCTGTTTTTCAAGCCATTCCAAAACTGTTTCTTTCTTAAAGCATGAACGAATGGCTTCTTGAGTGCTTTTGGGAAGAAAAAAAATGTTGGCAACACCTCTGAATTCCCTATTCCAATCAATCAACCATGAGACATGACAAAATTGACATGACCGGCATATTGCTCCCTGACTTCCCCGTGTGGATTCACTGATACTGCACAAAGACACACATCCACAAGAATCCACATATTTAACAAGTGGTATGTAACTGATGTCAGTACCATCGAATATGTTCTGCCAATTCTCAGCAAGGAAGAGAAGAAGCTCAAGATAAACACCCTCGGAAACTCCCAATACAAGATTAGAACTCTGGATGCACTTTGCATACCATCCAATGTTGACTGTTCGAACTCCTAAAAAGTTCAGAATGTGATCACAATCAACAATATCAAACGAAGAATGCAAGACATATGTCCCATGGGATGACAGATTATGCAAGCCTACCCTCTCCTTTCTAGCCTTCTTCACAATATCCCAGAAAGCAGGCATAATTCTGCCAACTTCACTGGGTTTATGAAAAAACTTCTGCTCCGTGCATGACTCATCACTTGGAAGAATATCTTCATCCACCAGTTTTAATCTTATAGATTCCCTAATGGCATTAAAATTCTGATACGAGGAACTGTTGACAGGCAAGAAAGTGAACATCCGGGGCAAACTAGATACTGGAGCCTCTTCTGTCATTTTCACCAGAGAGATGAATGCATTCACAAAAGCAGACGGCACACAATCAAGAATCCCTTGGTTCCATTTGTTGTCCAAAAGTATTGTTTCCCTTGATGATGACAAAACAAAATCTGCTTGAATTATGAAGGGTAAGTTGGTCACCATCTCTGTTGGAAGAAACGCATAGACCCCAGGTAAGGTCATTCCTCTATGAAGACGCTCTTCATTTGGAAAAGCCAATGTGATCACCAACTCTTCAACATCCATTCTCCTTTCCACTTTGTTTTCCAGCCTAACTGGAAACTTCTGCTTCCACATATAGTAGCTGCATTCTCTTCCAAACTTATTGCACTTTTCCTCAGCAGAAAGACGGAGAGTATAGGACTCTGCATCAATGTTCTTCCTCGTCACAAAATTAGTCTCGCTTGTAATAGCTATTGCACTTACAGTATTGAGCCTGGGATCCATGTTGTCTTCCCTCACAGAAAGACACTTGATCTTCGAAAGGAATAGCAATACTTCAGGATGAACACTTGAGAGCTGCTGCTTCACAGGCTTGACCTTGTCAGGCTTCAGGGGCAGGACAATTGTCGTGGTTGGAAGGGCAGAACATGAACCATATACCCTTCTAATGTCAGCAAGAGTTGGGTTCTCCCCAACCCACTCAGGAACAATATAGCCAAGACTGCAGTGGGGACAAGGCGCTTCATTGAACCGTATCTGATAGCCATTGCTGAATATGTAAGGCTGAGCACTGATCAGAAAGACACTCTTGAACCCAATTCCTGCAAAGAAAACATAATACATCTTTAAATAACAAGAAACACATAACAGTATGCTACTTTCATTTTTTTCATTGTCAAAGCTTCTTGGAAGTGATGACAATTCTTGGAAGTGATGACAATTCTTGGAAGTGATGACAATCTGCAGTTCCAAAATGTTGGTATCTTTGAAATTTCTTAGTATTAACTTTTATCCTTCAAACTCCCTATATTTATGAGATGTCCAAGCCTTGCTCAAAGCATATAAGCTATTTTACTTTGCTTTGACTTTCAGTTAATACTAGAACTTGGACTAGTCGAAGTGCTGGAAGTTTCCCTACATGTTTCGATAACCAACTTAGGCAACTACAAAAAGAGATATGTTTTTGTGTGTTGAGTGTGGTGGTGTGAAGAGTTGATGAGAGGAAAATGCAAACAGCCAAATAAGTTAAAAGTTAGAAGAGGCAAGCATACCTTTCTCCCCAATATAACCACTTTTCCTGTTGCCTTTCTTGGTGGAACGTCCAATACTGCAAATAGACTCTATATTTTTCGAGGAAAACCCCTTCTCGTTATTGAACATCAGCAATGTTGCAGGAGCTCCTGTAGCCGTGATGTCACGAGAGGTTATGACAAACTCGAGCGATGGGTCCACCCCTTCCAAGTACTCGTTGTCTTCAGCATTCTGATGATCAAAATTTCCTTACGTTAATAGACATAAGAAAACAAAAAACAAAAAAAAAAAACAGAAAATGAGGTTATAAAAAAGATTATAACCCAACATTCGACTAGGATTCTTACATGTTTTGTCACTTTCTTACCGGTGTAAAAATACCCTTTTATACAGCATTAACGTTTTTGTATTTGATTTTTGTTTTGGATGCAAAACAAAAATATTTCTAACAAAAATGGAGGAGAGACTAGAGAGTAGACCTGGATGAGTTCCATAAGGAAATGGACATCTTTGGTATAAAGCTCAGCAGACAAGTTCCTAACAGCTTGATGAAGGTCCTCAGTCAAAGGGTTGGGTTCTCCTCCGATTGAGAACTTTTTTTTTCTGATTTGCTCAATGTGTTCTCTAGGCGTAGCCATTGCAAACACTGTACTTTTTTCGGAGAAAAATGAAGGTAAGAAAGAGACAGACAGAGAGAGCAAAGCAAAGAGTGTTATGGCTTTGTTTCTCCAGTCAACTGAAGACTCCAGTGTATGGTGGAAACCCAAAGGCGAGGGAAACTTCTTAAAGAAGGAAACGCTTTAAGGAAAAAAAAAAATAGAGAGAGAGAGAATATGAAGGACGTGGGATCTGGGAACAGTAAATCTAATAATATATATAGTGTAAAATATTAAACTTTATATATTTATATTATATTTAAATATATATATTATAATTTATCTCAATATAAAATTTTAAAATATATTTTTTATTTTATTAAATTTGTATATAATAATTATTAAAATTTTAAATTATCTTATATTTATATATTTTATTTATATCATATTAATATCATTTCACAATTTATATTTTAAATTTTCACGTTTACGTGGAATTTGGGTTGGAAAACAGTGAGATGGAAAGTTAATTGTACGGAAAATATAGATTAAGTTCTTTTAAATATATTTTAATACATTTAATTATAAAATAAACTATAAAATATAAATATTTAATCTTCATGTTTATTAGTTTCACCAAATTTATTGAGTCGATTGAGCTCAACTGCATCCTCCTAATGCGTGGGACTCTCCCAGTCTCTTTCGCGGAAGTCTTGGTCGTTCTTCTGTTTTCAAATAATAAAAAAAAAAGCCACGGTCGAGGACAATAATGGAGGATCACATCAAATAAACCAGGGAAAAGTGCACAAATAAAAGGCTTTCGACCAAAATCTCTGGCACTTCAACGGTGATTCGACCGTCTAATGTTTTTCTAAAGTTGCTTTGTCAAAAGTTGGAGTACGATAATAAATAATGCATCTAACTTTTTTTCTTTAAATTATCTTTGGAATGGAATCATATACGTATAATATATACTCTTTTTATCTTAAAATTATTATTTTTTATTTTTTTTCAAATTAATCTATTATTTTTAATAAAATAATAAAATAAAAATAAAATTTGTAAACTTTGTGTTTCAAATTTTTTAAAATTTAACTAATATTATATTTCAAAAAATAAGATTAAAGTAAAATTACTTTGACAAAAAAATTAATAGAGAACAGTTATTTTGAAACGAAAAAATAATAATAAATAAATAATTATTAGATAAAATTTATCGGACATGTACATAGTAGTCTCTCCTCACAAGATATATTGAGTAAAAATATTTCACTTACCAATTTTAAATAATAGATCAAATCTTGATATTTAAAATTTTAAAATATGTAAAAAATACACTTTAGGAAAGTTAAGGTAGTTAAATTTAATTTATTATTATTTTATTTTCAAATATTTTTAAATTCAAAACTATATGTATATTTTTATATAACAAATTATTTCATTTATTATTAATAAATTTTTTATATTTTACAAATAAAATTAGTAAGATGGCAATAACATCCATTTTTTGAACTATATTAGTTCTTAAATTAAAAACCCACCAATTATCCCATGATTTCATTTATAGTATTTAGAATTGTTAGAGAAATTTTTTTTCTTCCAAAGTTTTAAGTTCCTATTAATTAGTCTATTTGAACCCAACATGAGACATGTTTTTTTATTTTCAAATGATTTTTTAAATTTATAACTTAATATTCAATTTAATATACATACTTAATTATGTTAATTTTATACTAAGAAAATTTTAAACCAATGCATTATAATAAACTTACTAAAGTTTGAGTTACTCATAAAATACAAAATTTAAAATAATTGATAGGCATTAATAGTTACCAAAATATTCATACCCAATTAAATACACAAATAATATATATTGATAAAAAATTAAAAAAATAATTACATTAATAAGCACATGAATTCATCCAATTACAAAAAAGTATAATTTAGATAAAATTACCATACTTTGATGTTTAACTAGTACCTCATTTAGTAAAAATATGACAATTACATCAAATAAAAATTTTGAAAGTTCTTAACCACTTATGAATTATAATGTTTAAAGTATATCATGTAATATGGTGAGTATTTTTTTTTTCAAAAAAATAAAGGACATGCAACTTCGTGAGTAATTTTTATTATATAGTTTTTGTTAATTCACCCATTGAAATAGTGTTAGATTAACTCGTTGTATAGATAATAAATTAAGCTAAAACTAAAAAATAAAAACATAATAAATTATGCCTACAAGTAATTTCCCTCCTTTTTCATAAATGATTATGAATTTTATTTTACTTAACCCAATCAGTAAAACTTAATTCGATTAAAGGATCGGGATTAAGAGTACATTAATAAAAATTAATGTAATTAAGAGACCGAGATTAATAATAAGAATAATTATTTGATGTAATATTAGTATAAAATTTTAATTATAAGCAAAATTAAAAATGTTACACATATCTCAATTTTTAATTAAAATTTTATTTTTTTTAAATATATCTTATATATGTTATACTTTTAATTTCACTTGTGTAATCAAATATGTACACTGATAATATATCAAGTACTAACACTAAAAATATATAAAAAAATTAAAAAAATAAAAAAATAATTTGGATGGCAAAATTGACAAGTAAAGATGATTACGGTTAAGATCAAATTTGATTGAATTCAATTTTTTTCAATAAAGCATAATATTATGATTTTTTAAAATTTGATATAAATCTAAGCCGATATTATTTTAAAACTAATATGATCTAAACCAAATTATATTAGTTTGGTTCGGTTTATCAATTTTGAAATTTTAATGTTTTTTATATTTTAGATATTAGTTCAATAAAAATTTTAATATATTTAAATAAATTTATATATAAAATAATTATTTTATTTTATAAAAATTTTAAAAATATATAAAAATTGATAAAAATATATAATTAAATTCGATTTAATTTTTTTTATTTTTTACATCTCAATTTAAAATTTAATCAAAAACTCAATATATATTTAATATTTAAATTTAACCCAAATTAAATAAAAAATTTTGATCATAATCAAATCAAATACTATCGAATCGATTTTCGATTTTTTTCTTTTTTTTGTTTTTTTCTCAGCCCTATTGGCAAGGCGGGAAGACTATTTGGTACTATTACACTACAACTGCCCCGTCGACCGTGGCCATTGGCTCGATTGCCGTCGTGTACCCTTTTGTTTTCTGATTTTCTCTCATTCGCCGTCGTTTTCACTTCATCCTTTCATATCGCGGAAACAGCCAATCCTCATTGTCCAGGTAGATCTTCTAAATCTTACTTGCGTCCAGATTTCGTTTATAAATCATCTCCTTTCAAAAATCTCAAATCTGTCATCTTAGCACTTGGTATTATCAAATTTTTGCCGATCCACTCCGTTCGCTTCCTCCACGAAACCATGCCGATTCATTTTCTTTGCTCATTTGTTTTTCATGTAATTTTTTATCAAAGACGAAGAGGAAATGTTGGCGATTATTAGACAAACAGTCAGCAATGGAGCTTCGGTATGAATTAATTTTTCCTTTTTTCTCAAAATTAAATATAATATTTTTTCAATGCCGATCTATAATTGCTTTTTTTTTTCCTGTAGAGAAATCGTCCTGCATTTTACGCATCTAGAAGTTACTCCGCCGCCGTGAAAGAGGTAAATTTTGCAATTAAATTAAAAAAAAAATTAACTGTTTAAATCAATGCAAATGGTTCATTTTTCAGGCATGTGAATATATTTGGAAGTGGAAATTTATTTTAAATTCTGTGAATTTTTATCCAATAATCCTATTCGTGGCTGCAAAACTTTACCAGTTTGATGTCTGAATACAATATTATGCATTTTTACGTTTGGCCATTTTATCTCCTTTTACTACCTTTGATGTTGCAAATGTTGTTCTTGTTCCAGATGACAGTCCGAGAAGCTCTCAATTCTGCACTTGATGAAGAAATGTCTGCAGATCCCAAGGTTTTTTTAATAGGTGAAGAGGTATTGATTATGGAAACACCATCTCTTTTGCTTTTTGAATGTAACACACACACACACACACACACACAAACATACACACACGCACGCGCATATATATTTCCTTTATGTTTATGTATGTTTGTTTGTGTTTCAGGTTGGTGAATATCAGGGTGCTTACAAGGTTGGTTTGTTTATTCTGATGAAGAAAAGTCTCCATTTGCTTTGTTCTCGCAATTCTATTATTTTTGTGTAACAAAATTAATCTCGGTTATCTTAACTCCTCATCTTGGACTAGATTTCCAAGGGCCTGTTGGAGAAGTATGGCCTTGAGAGAGTTCGTGATACCCCAATCACAGAGGTTGCTCATTTGTTCAGCTGACAAAGCCTTCTTCATTTTTTTTTAACATTTCCCAGTTGCTTTTTAGTTGCTTTGATTTTGCACTTGATCACAAAACAATGCTTGAAGATTATTGTTTTGTAGGCTGGTTTTGCTGGGATTGGAGTTGGTGCCGCTTACTATGGCCTTAGACCTGTTGTCGAATTTATGACCTTTAACTTCTCTATGCAGGTCAAATGAACTACTGACAATATATAACTTAGGAACAACCCTGCTTGCAAATGTCTTCCAACTCTTTGGTAGGAATTAATTTTCTGGTATCTTTGGAATTGCAGGCAATTGACCATATCATCAATTCTGCTGCAAAATCGAATTATATGTCTGCTGGTCAACTCTCTGTACCAATTGTTTTTAGGGGACCAAATGGTGCTGCTGCTGGAGTTGGTGCTCAACATTCCCAGGTCCTCTCCATAGTTCACCATGTTTAATCTTGTTATTTCCTTTGAAAGTATGGTTTAACCTCTTTGTCTACTTTGAAATGCCTTAGGTTATTACTCTTCAATAACAACTCAATATTGTTCTGAGGGTTTGGCTGTAGAAAGATAGTTAAATTATCTCACCTTTAACCTTATATAGAATTTGAATTTTTTTGTTTTTGTTTTTGTAAAATTTGTGTGATGTTATTTACTAAGCCTTTTACTATAAGGTCAATGTTGATTTCAAATATGGATATAGATATTTCTACATAGGTTTTGAGCAACAAGAATGAGAAATTAAATAATGATTCGAAGCCAGAGTCTGGCCTTTGTTCCATACAGTCAGAGAAGGAGATTAACTATGCTGGAACTTAGTAGCTGCAAATTTCAGAGAGTGTAATTCATATTCACTCTTACCTGATTGCAGTTTGGTCTAGTTAACAGCCTAAAAGGACTAAAAGTAGACAAATGAGAACAGAAGCTTCTTCTCCCCTCATTTTTTTGTTCAAGTTATTTTATCTTTTTGTGAAGAGCTGATTATGAAACACAAATCTGCATGCTCGGGTGTTTGTCCATGAATGCATGCTTGTGAATCATCTTGCCTAGGAGCCAGGATGTGCATACATGTGTATCTATATTTCTGCATTTGAATAGCTCATTCTGGTATTTTGTGCAGTGTTATGCTTCATGGTATGGAAGCTGCCCTGGTTTGAAGGTGCTTGTTCCATATTCATCAGAAGATGCCCGGGGTCTGCTAAAAGCTGCTATAAGGGACCCTGATCCTGTTGTTTTCCTTGAAAATGAGTTGCTGTAAGTAGTTCTATGGATGATGATGTTATTACTGAGCTTTAGCAAAGAGGTTTTGTGCTTGATTAATGTTCATTTTGCCATACTTAACGTTTATGCATACTGTAGATATGGTGAGTCTTTTCCTGTTTCAGAAGAAGCTCTTGATTCTGAATTCTGCCTTCCAATAGGAAAAGCTAAGGTACTCTTACTTGAACATTGTCTTTGATGTTAAGTTTCATGATCAGTAATAGTTATAATTGTGGCTTTTTGCTGTGACAGATAGAACGAGAAGGAAAGGATGTAACCATTATTGCCTTCTCCAAGATGGTTGGTTATGCTCTCAAGGTTTGTCGCTTGCTACTTTTTCTGTGAAAGATGTTTAGACATGAAATTGTAGATCATTTTGAATTTATTATGCTAATTATTTTTTCATTTGTGTTATCCATGTGAATGCCTATGCCTTTTTTCTTCTTGAACTAACTTTAATAAATGGTTTTTTAGGCTGCCGATATGCTTGCCAAGGAAGCAATAAGTGTTGAGGTAAATAGGAACTAGATTCTTTGACGTAACAATGATTTACTTGACTAGTTGAGGAAGCTTAGATCAATGTATCTGAGTATATCTATATATAAATACTGTGATCACAATGCAGGTTATAAATTTGCGCTCAATTCGTCCCCTTGATAGAGCAACAATCAATGCTTCTGTGAGGAAAACTAACAGACTAGTAACTGTGGAAGAAGGGTTTCCTCAAAATGGTGTTGGTGCTGAGATCTGGTAACTAACCTCCTTTGTGCAATACATACATGTCTTAGGTTCTATCTCCTCCTTTTTTTCTGGGTTGTCTCTTGCAAGAGATGTTTTGTTCTCACAGTTCTGCATTGGTACTTAAATGAAAAACATTTGTTTTCTGCAGTGCATCTGTTGTTGAGGAGAGTTTCGGGTTTCTAGATGCACCTGTTGAGAGAATAGCTGCTGCTGATGTTCCCATGCCTTATGCTGCTAATCTTGAGAGGATGGCTGTTCCACAGGTAATGTTAACTTCAACTCTCCTTCAATAATTCCTTAAACTGTTTGTACTGCAAGGTCCTGTGTTGCCTTTAGATGTTGCTCAAGATTTCACATCATTGAGTTTTTCAAATTATGAACTATTACAGAATTAAAAACACAGTTCATGTTGGAGATTGGAACTTGTCCTTTGGATGCCTAATTCTAAATTTTCTGGTTGATATTTTGGCACATTTTCGTCTATAATTCTCATATTCCAGTTTTTGCAACAAACTGAATTGTTAAGAATGTTAACAAATAACATAAAGAAATTTTAACTCTAATAAATTCCCTGTTGAAAGTAGCCTTCAAAAAAATTTGCTCTAATGGGTATGTCTGTTCAGAGGAACCATAACAGGAATTCAAATGTGACAATAAAAGTAACCTAGGAAAGGAATTGTTTAGCCGGAGTTATCTTAGATAATATATTCCTTTTAGGTTCAATGACAAGACCTGTTTCTGCCAAGTGATGTCTCTATTTCTTGGTGGCCTTAGCCACACAAATTGAAACAAATGTAATCAGTCAAAATTCCTCAATATCTCTCTTTATTGCCTTATACAGGTTGAGGATATGGTTCGTGCTGCGAAGAGAACTTGCTACAGATCAGTTTGAATAGCAGCAACTTGATTTGGGAATTTAACAGTCTTCTTTATAAACCGCTGTGAGTCTAGGTTTATTAGACCCTTAAAAACATTTTCTTTGAAGAAAAATTTGGGTAATTCTGGTTGCTGGGTTAGCAAATTCGTTTTAACGAGTGAGCTGAGCAGCAATTCAGGAAAATAAAACAATGTAACCACGGTTCTTAACAACAAATTCAGGAGAGAATAACTGTAACTCGAGGGAACAAAACAATATTGCTGAATCCTGAAAAAACTTCTAATTGGTGTTCCTGTTCTTTACATCAGAAGCGTGGCATTTGATGTTGTTGTAATCTCCATTAAGAGGATCAGTTTCTTCCTCCAATAGGCATTCTGTGATTGGTAGTTTCATCAGATTATATATCACTTTCAATCAAAAGAACTTGCAATGTCCAAAAACCATACGACAAAAAGTGGAATTGCATTAGCAGATTATACACCAAATCATTGGGGATCGTGGCATGGATTATACACCAGATATTTATATGATCAGATACAAATAAATGAGGGAAAATAAATGGGAAAAATGCATTTTAAGTCCCAGGAGGAGAATAAACACCTCCAGGAAAGAAAAGAAAAAAGAAAAAGGGATTTATAAACTATTAATACTATTCTAATTCTGGCTACGAAAGACCTCAGATTTACCCCTAAATAGCAAGTCCATGGATAGGCCTAACGAGGATGGTTTGAAACCAGGGATGAACTTTCGAGACGGCGCCCTCTGGGGGTCTTTACTCGTTTTCCTTCTTCTGGAAGGACCGCCGGTGGGTCCGGAACTTTTAGCAGACCCTGATGACTTGGGGAAAACTGATGAGCTGAAAGAAGTGTCAGTCCCACCAAAAGATACAGGCCCTTTATGTGATGCATCTACTGGATGCCCAACTGCTCCATCTTGATGGGGAGGTGGGAATTTTTCACTCTTGCTCTTAGCATTTGTTTGTGTCATGACTCTCCATTTCTGGAAACAGATATAGCATCAAAATCAAAGTGACTAAAGCTCATAAGAAAACCATGGGCAGAACAGAACAATCGCAATTAAAGAGACATAATACCTGAGAAAGTTGCTGAAGTTTTAACTAATGGTTATAGGTTAGTGCTAAGCAACTAATACTTTATAGGTTTAGTTACAATTGACACAAAGATCACGTTCAGCACTTAAAAACCGATGCAACTAATAAAACTAATTTCCATGGCAAGAAAAATGCAGTTGGGATTTGGGAAACATCATTTGTGAGAAAATCAAGTTGAAACATAACATGCGACTTTGAACTTAATAAGGTGCAATTTGGCAAATAGAAAAGTGGTCATTCGATGTTGGATTAGAGTGTTTTTATGATCCAACCAAATTTTAAAGTAAGTGAAATAAAAATAAAACAAAAAGAATAAGAGATTAGAAGAAGACGAAGAAGAAGAGCAAAGTCTCCCACTCACATCTAAGTTTGCTTGAATCTCTGCATTTGCTTCAGGGGCTGGAACTGCCCGACTAAAACGTTCCCGACCTTTAGTTCTCCTGGCACCATCAACTGCATTAACTTTGCTGGCTAGACCTCTTTGCCTATGCAGGAAAAATGTATATCAGCTACCAGCACATAGCCAAACTGGGCAAATAAAACAAAAGGTGGAAAAAAAAAAAAAAAAAAGACAGCCAACCTTCTCGCTTCTTCATCTCGCAATTTTACATCCATTTCTTTACTAGGAGGATACCTTGGTAAACTTGATGGCTCACATGCAAATGGTTCAGTGGTAAAGAACTGCAAATAGGAAACCAAATATTTCACAATCGGCTCCTAGCTATGAAGCAAGCCAACGGTGAGAATATAATATCAAGTATTCCACATTAGATATATGATAATGCAAAGTATAAACATCATGTAAGTTGCTGGAATCCCCAACATATTCTTAATCCAGCAATCTAGCAATGTAAATCCATAAAGCTATCTTTGAATATATAAATAAAGATTACAGGTACAACACAAATATTTGATTTGCTTGAAAAATGCATTAAATAAGCTGATATAACTCACTTCACTATTCAGAGCTGCAGTGGCAGTACTTCGCTCTTCAGGATCTATTGAAAGAAGAGTTTCAATTAGAGGTAAAGAAGAAGATGGAAAATCCTTGAAAGTTTCAGCTATACAGCGTTTGTATGGCTGCTGTGGCTTAAAGAGTGTTGCATTTGGCAATTTGGATTTCTTCCAATACTCCTCAGAAGGGGATCCACATAACTTGAATATCTTATGCAGTTGTTCAACCTAAGCCAGAGACAAGATCTGATGTTAGCCAAAAAAATGAAAGGGAAAATTTTTATCATGCGATAGAAAATAATACACTACATAATTAAACCAACTAGAAGCAATACTAGTTATGAAATTACCATACTATTTGGATTTTAGACTTCCCAAGATTGATGCACTATTAATTGATCAGACATCATAACCACAGAATATATTCATTTGGCTTGACAATGGCAGTTTCTGAATGATGTTTGACAAGAAATTCAGAAAGGGATCTCAGCTAGAATTATCTTAAAAATTACTTCTGTTGTCAATTGGCACTAGTTACTGAAGAACAAGGCAAGACCATTCAGAATTAGTTATTAAGAGCATAATGTATTTCTAAACATCTAAAACTTAACCCATACTGGCCAATGAATGACTATATCCATTAATATACCATACACTGAAATCAAAAACAGTAAGCAACACAAAAGAAGACTGAATATTTCTAAGCATAATTACATGAGGGCTTGCACCACGGGTACCAACTCATTTTCCATCAGATTCACAGAAATGAAAGATCTGATGGATTCAAAAATAATACTTTAAGAGCAGATGAGCAAAAGATAAAGGGAAATTTAATACCTCTGTCCTTCCAGGCATTATTGGCTTTCCAGAGAGTAGCTCCGCCAAAATGCAGCCAGCACTCCATAGATCAACCCCAACACCATAATAAGTTGCCCCAAGAAGCAGTTCAGGTGGACGATACCAGAGAGTGACTACTCGACTAGTCAGGGGCTTCTTCTGCTCAGGATCACAAAAGCTAGCCAGTCCAAAATCAGCAATTTTTAGAATCCCTTCATTGTCAATGAGCAGATTAGAACCCTTGATATCACGATGCAAAACACCATGTTTGTGGCAATGCTCTAGCCCAGAAAGCAACTGCTTCATATAGCACTTTACCTGCCAGAGGAATGATACATCAAAACAAATCAATCATATAAATTTCATATCTTCAGCCTTGTAAGCCAAAACCAGTCCTTTTGCAAGATGCTAATTAAACTCAATTCTCTCTTGAAATTAAGCATTTAATTTGAGATGATCATTCCAAGGCTTAATTGTTTCTAATTCACTCCTAGAAATACCTTCATATACAGTATTACAATTAGAAACTAATGCCATCTCTCAGCACTTTTCTACATTGAGCCACAAAAACCTAATTTCAGTAATTAACCAACCTTCTAAAGCAAACAACCAAACATTACAAATATATATGCTTCTAAATTTCACTAAATAGAATTTGTTTCCAAGGAATTTAGCTTCAAAAAGGTGGCAAATCACCATGTTGGAGGAACATCAGTCACAATTGTAGCCTTGTTTGATGTGAATGAAAAACCTAGATGTTCATCTTCAAAATCACTTATAAGAAACAATTATCATTTCAAGTTTGCTGCCGAGGGAATGGAGGATAAGAGGAGTAAACTGGTAAGGAATCATCAGTTACAATTTACCAGCTTGTTCTGTTTTCAGAAACCAAAAGATAGATAAGTAAATATACTGTTAACTAACTTTTTTTTTAAAAAAAGGAGTGAGTGGAGGTTTAGAGGTTTTAGTTTCATAGGTATCTAAAAAAGTGGCCTCTTTTCTTTTGTTGTTACTTCTCATTCATTCCATCTAGAAACTGTCCAAATAAAGGCATAATTTAAAAGAACTGGATATCCAACTCCATAAATTGATGTGAAACACGAAATTTCCATGAATGTGCATACCAAAAATAGTACAAAATAAAGATACTTAAAAAGCTCAAAAGATAGAAATTTGGATTTCAAAACCGCTAGGTATGGGACCCAATTAACAAGAGAAATACTTAAGAATAAAATCAAAAGCCCACAACAAGCAAAACAAAAATGTATAAGAACCATATAGCCCCAAAATCTCAGTTAGACAAGCAAGAGCAAAATATGGAACGAATCTAAACCGCCAAAAAACAACAACCCTGAAAAAGAACACACCTAACATTAACTCCAAAATCCAACACAAATCAATATTAACAGTAAAAACAAGCAGTATTCAGCAAGAACTAACAACCCATTTGAAGAAAATGTTACCTGAGGCTCAGTGAACTTGATTCCTTGGCAGGCAGCGAGGCCAGCAAGATCATGCTCCATGTATTCAAAAACCAAGTAAAGACTACAAGACATTCTTGAAGTAACTAAACCTTCAAGCTTGATTACATTGGGATGGTCAAGCTTTCTTAATACAAGAATCTCTCTAGCCATAAACTTTACACTCTCTAGCTCCAAATTGTCAAACCTAACCTTCTTTAATGCTACTATTTTCCCTGTTAGTAGATCCCTGGCTTTGTACACATTGCTATAAGTCCCTTGCCCAATCTTTGAAACCCAAAAAGAAAAAAAAAAAAAAAAAACCCAAGATTGTTAAAATGAAAATGATTATAAAAAGGAAACTTTTTAATGAAGTTGTAGAAAAGTTGATACCTTTTCAAGTTTCTCAAAGGTATTGGCACGTCTCGGGGTCCAGTCACGGATGGCTTCGCCAGCGACGGCCATAAGCCACGAAGGCCACCCTTTCTGGTTCAAGTCCGGTGGAGTTCGCCGTCTCTCCGGCGCCGGGATGCTCACCGAGAAATCACCCGTATGTCGAGCTTTTTGCGGCTGTTGCCTCGGTCCCTCCGGCTCTTTGACATCCACGACCCCGTCAACGGCGTCAGTGACTGAAACTATCGTGGACGACTCGTCAGAGCTCCGACGACGACTAGCACGTGGGGGATGTGATGGAGCTGAAGTGTTGCTACGCTGGCGGGGATCCGATGACGGTGACTTCGATTGCTTTCCACAGACGCAGCCCATTTTCTCTCAAGGCAAATGCATGGGGGATAATGTACTCCGATAAACGGAAAACCACTAGCGGTTTTCAGCTTAAAAAAGCCTGACAGTTAACGTTTCAGTTTCAAGGAGTGAGAAAAACAATGATATTTTCCGGTTTCAATTTTCCGGCGAGTTTTGAAGAAGAAGAAGAAAGAGAGGCCCGCGCGAAGAAGGCAAAGGTAGCTTAGCTTAGCCGAGACACTGAGAGGCAATTGACAGAGAGAGTCCTGGTTTATTTATTTAATTTATTTTTTTCCCTTTTTTTTTTGGGTTTCGTAATAGGGCGCTGACTTCAGAAGAAACTACGGAATTGCCACGCATCAGTAAAAAATGTGACGTCACGGAGTGAGAAAGTCAAAACAAATTATGGAAATGAAAAAAGCAAACTTTTTGGGTTCAAAGTAAAAAAAAAAAATTATAATTGATTTATAGAAATATTTTAACGTTAAATATAATAAGTTACTGTTAATTTTATGAATTACAATGCATTAAGAAAATATATTTATTAACTCATTATCACTGATTTAATATTTATTAATTAATTTTTTACATAAATTAGGTCACTTTTATAATAGATGTAGGTATTTGAATTTGCCTCAAATTCATTAAATCCCAAGTGAGATTCATTAATTATATTCTTAATACCAATATTAAAATTGAAATAAATCTAGTGAACGTAAAGAAACAGTTTCTTTTTACATTTCTTCCTCTTAATTTTTTTCATATTTTTGCTTTACTTATAAATATACTAAAAATTAAAAAAAAAAAAGAAAAAGAAAATGGGGGTTAGGAAAATCTAATGAAGGAAATGTTAAAAATTTTTTTTTTTTAAATGAGTTGCTATCAAGATGGTTGGTTTAAAGACTAAATTGTGGCTGAATTGGTTAGAGTGAGAGTTCATTTAATTAATAGGGTTTCATCATCTTTAATAAAAGGTAACTAATGATTATTAGTATATAGTATAGTGAATTATGGATTTTTCATTTTAAATTGAAAATATGAAAAAAAAAAACATTATCCTCATATTAAAAAAAACATTTTATAATTAAAATGTCATGAATTCAACACTACTTTTTCAAACTTGCAAAATTTATTAAAGAAAAAAGACCCAAACTTAGACTTTTAAAGTCGTCTAACTATATACAAAATTAAAATAATCATCAATTTTCTTGCATCTATTTCAAACCTATGATGTTCCACGTCTAGAAAATCAGAGAATAAACATATTGGCTTATGGAAGATAAGTAGGGATATAAAGGAATAAAGTTTTTCACGAATTATTTATAAACATTTGATTTTTGTTCATTCATATTTGTTTATTAAGTTTAATAAATAATTTTGAATAATATTTTTTATATTTATTTATTAAACGAATTGAATACAAATAGAAGTTTATGTGATTTATTTATGTTCATAAATAAATTTATTTTAAATTCGTTTAAAGTTTATTCATTTATTATTTATTTATTATTTGTTTGTTGTTCGTTTGTAATAATACTAACAAAATTATATTTTTATCTTTTATCATAATCCTATTTTAAGGTTTGTTTGTTTAAATTTGTTGGATTATTATTTGTTTATTGTTCATAAATATATTCATTTATATATATATATTCATGAATATGTTCATTTCATATTTACGAACGAGTACATTTAACTTAATTGAATGAATATAAACAATTAATTATTTAAATGAATGAATATGAACGAGTGTAGACATTCTGTTTTGTTCAGAGTTAATTTATATTTTAAGATTAGGCGTTAAATTTTTTGTATTGTATTTAGTTTAGAATTATTATTATATTTAAAAAGGAAAAATATTTGTTTTGTTAAAATTTGAAGAGTGTTTAATTCTAATAAGGTTGTTAAACTAAAAGTCCTCTAATTGAAAAAACAATGTAAAAAAAAATTAATTTGAGAAGTGGTTTAGATTAAAAATCTAATATTGAAGTTGATTATGAGATTCAAACCAAAAAAACTCATTTTCATATTGTAATTGGGATTAAAAGTCTATAAAAAGACCCTATTAAGATTTATGAGAAACAATAAAAAATCAATAAAAAAATCAAAAGAGAAATAGTAAAAAAAGAAAAAAAATTAAAAGTTTTTTTATAATTTTTTTTTGGTGTTTTGAGTTTAAATAATTAAGATTTTCTTTTTAGAGTTACATGTTAAAGAAATGAGTTAGGAAAAAATATAAAATAGACATTCAATAAAAAGTTTTGGCAATAAAATTTTTTAAAGTTTTAAGTATATATGTTTTAGGCTTCAATTTAAGTTTTGTTTAAACCATAAATAAAGGCAATCACCACGGGCGATGGGCATTAGCAAAGCTATAGGCTATTTTGTAAAGAAACAATAAATAAGACAAAATGGGTGAAAAAGCAAGAAAAGTAAAATGAGACTAACACAGTTTGAGGATCCAATCCAATAAGAAATTTAAATCGTTAACTGGTTCAACAACCAACAAATTGAAATGGACAAGTGCAATTACAAAGACTAACGTGCTTTAGAATCAATTGTAGTCTAAATTATTTGGTAATTTATATTTTTTTTATTTGTATATTTATTTATGTTACTTAGTTGTTTTTATTTCTTCATTTATGCATATTTAAAATAAATTTTTATAATAAATTCATGATTTCTATCAAACTATTTAAGGATTTTCATAAATTTAAAAAATTTAAATTAAGTTCTACTAAAAGATTGGAGAAATTTATAATGAAAATAAATTATCTTTAATATTATCAAATGATTTGAGGATTCAAATCTTAATTAAGTTTTATCAAACGATTTGAGCATTTAATAAATTTTTGAAAAAATAAATTTTTAATCCTACAAAATGATTGAATGATTCAAAATTTTGTTAGATCTTACCAAACTATGAAAAAATTTAATGATCTTTATTTTTAAAATTTTTATGAAAATATTTTCAACAAAAATCTCACCAAATGATTAGAAAATATGCATTGATATAAAATACTATCAAACGATTAGAGAATTTTATTGTTCAATTTCAAAAAAATGATTTCTTAAAAAATATGTTAATGAATTCAACAATAAAACCTCTTCAGAGTAGGATACGAGTATCTATAAATACTCTTAAGATAAGGAAATTGTCTTAAATAACTACAAAACAATTAGAATAATTTTAAAATTAATTTTTAATAATTAAATTGACTTCGAAAAAATTTAAAAATATTTTAAGGTTTGAATAACATGAAATCAAATTAGTATCTCATTCGATGGGTGTTGTAAGAGAATTATAATTTTTCTTACACGTAATTGTATTTCAAGACTTAAATATGATTTTATGAATTAAAATATACTATTTAAAGATACATAAGTCAATGTTAATATATCTCTTTAGAATAAAATAAATTCGGTTAGGTAACCAATCGTATTTAGACAAAAAAATTTAATGGCAACTATTTAAAGTAAGATCTAGTGATAATTTTACGGATCTATATATTATAATAACGAATAAAATAATTTTTTTAACGAACATAAACTAAATACAAATATTTCTAAAAATAAATGAATAAATCACGAATAAAAATTTATTCATTCATGTGTAATTTGTTTACAACCTTAAATATATAAGCTATAAAAGCTCAAATTTGTATTGAATATTTAATTCAATAATTAGCACATAATCAATATTTAAAAATTACAATTTAAAATTTGAGTCTGCCTTTAATTCTAATATATTTTATACCGTCTTAACAATTAAAATTTTGAGCATTTTGACAAATTTGATTTCTTTTTCTTCAGAATTGGTGATTGATTTTCCCAATTCAAAGTGAAAATGACGTACAATATTATATTGGAGTGTCGAAAAATGGAATGGCTGTGGGTGTGGCTACACCTACCTCACTGAGCCTCTTTAAAAATGCTCTAATTTGCATTTGTTGTGAAAATCACACTGTCAGCCATAGGATGGCAGCTTCAGCATCATTTGTTTTTATTATGTGACAAATTCACAGTTATACTTGTTCACCTATAAATTTTTTTATGTTTTTATTATTCTATAATTCTCATTGGTTCTTCAAAATAATGCATTTTCTCTTCCCAATTCCCAACTCTATGCTTTGGTTGCAATAGCCTTTAGCTATACCTAATTACCAGAGTTGATAGTCCCAAACATTCTTTTGGTAGCCTTTGGCTAACTTGGATTCGAGGATTTTCCTCCTGTAATTGGGAAAATTATTATGTTTTTGGTTTGAAAATCGAGATGTATAAGTTGTTACATATTGATTTGATAATTTATGCATTTATATCATATAAAATATTAAAATTTATATAATTTTTTATATAAAAATTACACATTATAATTCATATTAATATAAAATATAAAATATATATTTTTAAATTTATTAAACATGAATATAATTATCATTAAAATTTTAAATTAAATTATTTTATGTTTTTTTTTAATTATATTCGTATTATATTATCATATTATATTTTAAATTATTATATCTAATCATGCAATAGAATATGTGCTTCAAAAAATTTTATTGATTGCGTGAAAAAATCATCTAAAATTTTTGCTCAATAAATATGGAGTGCTTATTCAGATTTCGTAGTTTCTTCTTTCAAATCCAGCATTCGTAACATTAACCAATTCAAGTTCGGGAAACAAGAGCTGTTCCTGAGAGTAATTTGGACTATTCTTGTTCTGATCATGGTCCCAGCAGCTTGCTTCCTGCAATAAATAATGGTATTGAATGCAGTAAATAATGAAGAACAACGGGCGTCTAAAGTACTCGACCCTGGCAATAATTTTAACAGGATGGAACGAAGAACTCTCTGCCTGGCTGCTTCCAAAATGAAATGATAGCTGACCCCAAAAAAAATCAGAGACAGTAAAAACTCAGCCTATCATTCAGATTCTTGGCAGGAAATTTGTCTCCCATGAATGCTTTGAAAGACAAAGAAGCAAAAAAGATAAGAACAAAATGTACCTTCAAATTACTGCAACCTTCTTCTAGAAAATGCAAATTCATTGCTTTACTCTGCTTCCTTCATGGCTAGAAAAATTAGCAACTTCTGTCTCAAATTACAAATATAAAATCAACCAAACGTTACTCAAGTGGTAAAAAACATGTGTTTTCCTTTTAATTGTTTGAGTTTGAATTTACAGAAAGATAACAAAAATTTTTTCTTATGATTTACCAATCGACGTAAATAAATTTACTTAAATTAATAGTAAATTATGAAATATAAAATTTTAATGAGTTAGGTGGGATGGGAGACTATCTTCCCTTGCTTCCAAACTTGAGTTCGTATAAAGCAAACTCAAACTTAGGCTTTCCCCATTTTATATTTTGATCATTACAAAATAAAGCAATCACAAATCATAAAAAAACTTATCTTTTTTTGTGAAAAACCTTAAGGTTCTAAACTTCCCTTCTTATTATAAGAATCAGATATAGACTTGAATTTCTAAAATTAATGAAGATTATGACATAAAAGCAATGTACTTTGGAATATATATAATTCTGAGCAGAATTTAATGAAGAAGGGGTCAAGAATTTAACATTGTGGTTTGAACAAAACCATATCCTGGTGGCATATGTGTGGTTTATACAAAATCCAAGGCTAATAATAGAATCACATTTTCGGACAACATTTGTTAAAGAAGAATCCAAGGTCCATTTGCAGGATAATTAACTAAAATAATAATGCCGTGATCATGTGGAAATTGAGGGTAATTGTGGTCAACAGTATGGTTGATCAAGTGTAAAATTTTTAATTTTAATAATGAAAGTTTAATTTTTTTTCAATCTTGATAATAATAAAAAAATAATTCAAGTTTCATTTGCAGAATAATTGATTAATTAAAAAATAACAAGTAATCAAAAGAAAATGAGAGTGATTGTGGTAAATAATTGTGTGTTGAAATTTTAATTTTAATGGTTAAAATTTAATATTTAATTATATGAACTACAAAGGGTAAGAGAGAATTGGCATTGACAATGCCATGGATGATTAATAATCAAAGGCTTGATTTTTTCTGGAAAGCTAATCTAACAAACATTGGTCAATGCGTCAAAACTCAAAAGCACGTTAGTTTGACAATATTGAATTGAATCTGAATTGTCAAACCTGAAAATCTTTTTCAAATCAAATCAAATATAAATAAAATAAAGCTATTTTCATATTAAACGAACTGATCTTTCAAGTTGTAATTGTATGATTTATTGATAAAATTATATAATAAAATTTAATTTATGATGATTTTAATTATAAAAAGAATATTGCATTTCTCTTTATAATTGTAAATTCAATGGTCCTCTAAATTTAAATACTACTAAAAAAGCCTTTTTTTTTTGTATCAAAACAATTATAGAAGTGGAGATGTGACTCTATTTTCAAGATTAAAATAAATTATCAATTTAATTAAAATTTACAGATTTATTAAATTTTTACTTACGAATTTTTTAAACTTACATATAGTTTATCAACAAAAAAAATCATAAAAATTCGAATATAAATACTAATAAACTCAACATTCATCCTTTTAGCATTTCTGCCGGTCCTCGTAGGCACTAAAAATGTTTTTTATTTTTAATTGAATTCAACATTTGTTGTACGACCACAACTGAATTTTGTACTGGGCAATGCATTAGAATATGCATACATTAGACAATGAGAATGAGTCTCAAATTTGGGACATGTCAAAAAATGGTTGGTGTGAACTGAAAAGTATTCTGAAGACCAAAATCAAGGCACAGTGACTTTGATTGCCTACATTTCTACATGTTAATCCTTTCTTATACAAGTGGTCCATTTCAAATGGCTTGAGCGAGCAAGAGGAGTTATAGCTTTTGACCATTCTTTCTTTGGTTGGTGAAGACTGAAGTGATCGTGATAAAGACGTAGAAATCCTAGCTGGGCCTCTTTATTGAGCTCTGCACATGCGACGTGGTTGGAAACAAAGAAAAGGAAGAACAAGAAAGAAAAAAAGGGGGGCAAGTTTTGATGTATCATGTGGCTAATCATGCCCATTTTGTTGTCTTTGACTCCTGTCATCAGGTCTAGAGGATGATAAAAGACAAAGTCACAAGCATCTAAATGAACCCAAGAGTTGGAGAAGCCACCATTGGCTGTTATCATGAACCCAAAATGTTCAAATTTTCCATTTCCGAAGTCTATGAAATAGTGAAGAGCATAAGCCTTTGCAATGGTTTAGTAGCATCCGATTATTGATGAACATTCGTGAATTATGGACTTGAAAATCTCTTTCAGAGTAATGAGATTCATATCCTAATTTACGGTCAATATTACACCACCCATCTGCTTTTGATGTTCATATATTGATTTCTGAGCTTATGGGGTGTCCAAGAATTATTGATGGGGCTACATTATTTTGTATCACTCATCCTTGTCAGGGGGGCAGTGACTTACAGATACGCAGCTTTGTGGGGGCCATTTTCCATGTCTCTCTCTCTCTCTCTCTCCTGTTAGGGTGTTTTCTACCCCGTCTCTCTGAGCCTTGGTGCCACTGATGTTGCTTTTCTGATGACAAGCAAGGTTCATGTTTGTGCCGTGCTTCGACTTCAAGTCATTTTTGAAAGACAGAAGGGAAGATAAAAGGCGATTAGAGATAAAAGCAAAGAGTGCTCTTTATATTTGCGTTTAGATGCGCAAATTAAAAAGAATGAAGTCGAAAAAGAAGTACAAAGAGAGACGAAGACATACTAACTTGACATATCAAGTTTGCACAAATAACAAAAATATTTCTGATTATCTCCTAAGGCTTCTAAGAGGAAAAAAAGCCGCTATATCTTTTTTATTGTCAAATATCCCTAACAGTTCATTCACAGGTTTCTGGTACACCTCATTCAACAGCTTATCATGCAGTAAAAATGACTGCTACAGGCAACATTCCTTCAGGGTTGTTGATCACAGACAAATTTGGCGATAACATTTTGAAGCTCCGGGTGAGCTAACGCGTGCAATTTTAGCTGTTGGAACCTGAATGGTATAGCAGAGCATATGTTAGACAACATGCACATTTTCCTTGCATTTTGCACATGGCGCCATACCCGTCAACCTCAATTCTACATCCTTCAGATAGATAATAGATCAACGCTACAAAAGAAAAGGTAAAAATAGTCTTGAATCCCTCGGAAATATTTTTATTTACTATGGTTTCCGTTGCCACTTATCGATATTTGGACTCATGTTCTCACACTCCCTCACAAAATTTCTTTGGTTTTCGACAAAAATATCGATGGCAAATGGCGGTTCGGCAACAGCAAGCATTTAGCAGCCATTCAGCACTCTCTCTCATGCATCCTCCTATCTCTGCCACTCTGATAATCCTACATAACTTCCCAGCTCAATTTCTATCATATATAGATTAAAGAAGCATGTATAGACTAAGAGAAAAATAATTAATCCCACAGAACCTCCCAACTCACTCTTCTGATTGAACTTCAATCAGCGTCATTTTTTCCATAGTTCAGTAGTTAATTGATCAGAAAGAGGACTTAGCATACAAATAATCTTCAAGAACGCCGGTATTGGCAGCACCGCAGCAGAAGGAAGCTGCTGATCAACAAAATGCAAGTAACAACATATCATCCAGTAAAAAGTTGTTCATAAGCACAGTCCATAAAACAGCTAATATTCAGATATAATCCTTTGTGTCATTGTATACTAAAGTATAGTGTTCAGATTCACCAGGTAGGTGAAATTAACTTAAGTAGAACAAATTGGCAGCTCTGGCACAGATCAGCTGGATAAAAGCTTTTCAAGAGCTAGGTTTTCATCACCGCCAACAGCTTCTAGAGTACTTCTCACCAAACCATCAGCAAAGCCCATTTCCACAAGTCGTTGCACCTGTAAATTTAGCTCAGTAAAAATAGGATTGTCGACATTGGCGCATTACCAAAAATAATTCAAAGAATGTGTCTGCTACAAGGCAAATGTCTATTGTTAAAAAGGATGCCACCTCTTAGGAATTTACTCAGAACATACTTCTCAAGAAAGCATTTACTTACTTTTATGATTAACTAGATACATAAAGAACACAAACCTTTCCATCAACCCTTAAAGAAGAGGCCTTGGCAAAACTTTCTGTCCAGTAACGAGCTGTACCAACAAATGTCTGATACTCTCTAAGATACTGCATTAGAAAGGGGGAAAAAAGGGTCAATGGCAAGCTCGAGTCATAAAAACTTTAATGGAAATTATTAAAAAAGAGGCATTATAGCTGGACTGACAGCATACATAGGTTTAATAACCTACAAACTATTGCATATTCAAATAAGGCCAATAAAAAGAAACAAAGAAGTTTTTGGCTAAGACTCATGAGAAAACACATTGGGCAAACCAAACCTGTTGTGCTACTACAGCATCTTGAGGATCATCAGGTTCAGGAGCAGAGAGCAAAGCTTGGACAGAAAGAAGAGCCGTCTTAAGAGTGAGTGCAGGGCTCCACTGGTCCTTCAATATATCCAGGCATATCGCACCACTTTGACTGCTAATGTTTGGGTGCCTTTGGTGGGTAACAGAACAGAAGGAAGTTTCAAATATTAATCATCGTCATAACTTAAGTGATCATTTGTCATGTCATGTTTATGCATCAAGCACAATAGACATAACTTACCAATAATTGACTCCTAAATGCAAATGCATCTTGCTTATGGTATCACATTCAACAAAGTTTTGCATCTGAAATTCACATGCAAAAAGTATTCAAGGGGAATACAAAGTGATTTGTACTAACTCAAGCTAGTTGCAACAGCTTGCAATTAGCAACATTATACATTTCTCTTTTTCTTTTCTCCTTTCAACATCCTCAAAAAACAAGAATGCTTATACATGGTGCTGCATATCCATCAGGCGGTAAAAGAGAGGAAATTGTTTATACATGTTATTTAGAGTATTTGCTCCAGAAATGAGGAAAAAAAGAGAAAAGAAATATCTTTAATGCAAACCTAACCTATTACTACAACACAAAACCATGATTTTGATAAAGAGCTCACTCAGTTTCAGCTATGCAGCCAGTGAGAGAAAGAGCAAAGCAAACAGTTGTGTACAGTCAGGATTAGATACCCAAATCAGGTTTAATCAAATTATTTCATCAGCACAAAAAGATAAAAAAAATGTGCAAGATTACTGATTATTTCATCCAGCCAAATCATAAGAGGAATAATGCACAACAAGACTAACAGAAAAAAAAAACCCTACAAACTAGGATTAGGACCACAACATATGCAAGTAAGAGCAATTAACCAAGTCTTTTGCACTCTCCTTAGGCAATTTTTAAGTACAGCCTTTATTAGCCCATCATTTACACCCACATTGTACTACATTAACAGAAAACCAATTCAAATAGCCTGTACTATTAACAAATGAAAAATAAATATGCAGATGATGCAAATTTTTCCTACCAAACTTTGGTCACAAACTTCATTTTGGGAGGCTCAAACGGATACCCATCTGCAAAATAGAAACCAATAACTAACAAATATCAGTAATCAATGATCCATTCCATTTCAAACAAGGTTAATTATACTTAAACTACCAGCCAATCGATAGTAATTCCATTAAAAAAAAGTCCTTTATCACTTTATAGACAAGCTCAATGTCTCAACTTTATAATATAAACTCACTTGAAATCAAAACCTGTATAAAAATTTCATCTTTTCTTTTTTTTTTTTCCTGAAAAGTTGAACAAGAAAAACCTACCCATTAGAAACACCCTTTTTCCTCAGCCAATTCTCAACTCAAAGGAAAAAAAAAGTTTTCACCTTTAAACCAGAAATAAGTTATCTAACCGGAAAACCAAAACAAACCCATGAAAGTAAATGTAAAGAAAAAGAAGAGATTGAATGGCGGATTACCAGGCAATGTGATATCGATCTCAAAGGAGCCTCCTTCATAGGGAGTACCAAGGGGACCAGGGATGATGCCAGTCAAGCGAGCAAGATTGTCTGATTTTGGAGAGACCCTAATGCCCGAAGAGTCTTTTTCTCTGCTACACTCTTGTAGCTCCTTCTGCACACGAGTGAAGTCTATCATCTTCTCAGTTCTCTCGTTCTCGATCAAACCCTATACCCAGTAACAGTAGGGAAACGGAAGAACCCAAAAATAAGTAAAGCTTATATGACTTTTATCCCCACTAATCAAAATATCTGTGGACAATTTTTATATGATTTTTCCTATGACTTTGTCGTTGTCAGCTGCCTTTAATTTAAAGTAATTAAAAACGACTTCTGTTAGAAGCAAATTATAGTTTGTTCTCCGTCAACCTTAATATTTTCATGAAATGGTTTTAAAACGTAATTTTCATATCAACGGATATACGTATCAAATCTTGATAGATGAGAGAGTGATTAAGGCAACTCGTTTTGGCATTACCATGGAGGTGAAACTAGAGGGTTAACTAATTGATTGAGTTGATAAATAATTTTCACTCGATTTTTTTTAGGAAAGAAATGTAGAGGCCTAGATAGGGTGGCTATGGCCAAACGGGGCCGTCCAAAGCTAACGTGTCGACATGTAGTGACATTAAAACCAACACTCCTAACACGAAGAAAACAAAGTAGACAACGACATGTAATGCAATGTAACGTAAGGGAAGAAAAACGAGAGCCTCTAGCTTGCAATTTGAACCAAGGGAGAGGACCATCGACCATGTGAGGTTTGGCATGATTTGGTTTTAAAGAAAACAACAAAACCAATAGATGACACACATTTCTATTCTGTTTTCTCTCTCTTTCGTCAATTTTGGGAGGCTCATAACAATTCACCAACACAGTATACAGGAAAAAGAGAAAAGATTAAGATAGAGATAGATCATATAGAACCAGATAGGTAATTGACAGGTATAGAAAGACAGGTGAGAGAGAGTCTTTAGATGGAAATGCGAAGAACCGCAAAGAGAGCTGAAGAGAGTAGAAAGAGAAGGAAGAAGAAGAAAAGTTTATTGTAATAAAGATAAAAAGGAGATTTGGGTTTTTGATTCTTTTGCTGTTTCTGTGTGTTTTAGATTGGCTGGTTTGAGTTTTGAGTTGGGTTTTGCTCCATTTTGGTGTTTGATGATCAGGAAGTTTACTGGTGCGTTGTTTTGATTATCTTTTGGTTATGTATTTTTCATTTGTTTTAGATGGGAATTTTCAAGGTTTGGCATTTATGCTATTCGAAATCATGTCTTCTTCAAAGTTGGATTTTTGAAGCTGTGTAGTGATCTTAATGGTCATTTGTTTGATTGGTCTAGAAGATGGAGAGGAAGAAAGAACTGAAAGTTTCTGACTTCCACAAAATCTCTTCATAACCAACGTAATCCAAGCCAACAATATGATTGGGTTTTGTTGTGGTTTCATAGAGATACTCACGAGAGGAATCCACGCTTTCAAGGAATGCTCTTTCTGATTGTTTATAGGGTAGAGGAACTGATTTGGGGTTTAGCTTTTTTTCCTGTTAATTAGTATTTCTTTGAACATGGTTGCTGGTGATTGCATTGTTGTTGAATTATTTGTTATGTTAGAGTTGTGTAAGGAATGGTTGAGGCTTTTCAGTTCTAACTGGATTTGTTAGTTTCACAATTATAATTGATCAAGTTCCTCTTCTTGTCAATTAAAAAAAACATTTTCGGGGAGGGGAGGGGAGGAGGGGGATCTACTTTTCTAATGTTCCTAATCGTAAAAAACTTCAATCTGAGCATTTCCAATTTGTTCTTAGCTTCTTGTCTGTAAAAATGCTTGAGATCAAGATAGGAGGTCTTAGGTGACAATTTTTGTGTGTTCGGGGAAGATAATAAAGCAGAAATACTGACGTTTTCCAGTATATATAACTTAATGTCTCTGTTCTTACATTTTCTTCCATCATTGGCTAATTGTTGGCTCTTTATTGTAGGATGGTTTATTAGAGTCTAGCAAAACATGAGCTACCGATTTCTCTTTCCTTGCCAGGCTGCCAGGATGGAAGTAGATATGATGTTCTACTTTGTTCAGATATGGATTTTGGCTGCTGAATTTGGTGAAATAACTGCTGCTGAAATGGGGGTGGATTTAGTTGATAGTTGATGATACTTATGCCGTGTACTTAGAATTGCAGTTGCTAACACTGCTTTTGTTTTCATATGTGAAAAGTTATTGGTTTGGTAACACCGAGCAACTTGAATTCCATTGTTGCTTTATTAAGTTAAGCATTAATCCACATAAGGAATACAGTGCACAAGAGTTGATAATAAAGTAAATAAAAGGGGCTCTCTTTTAAATTTTGAAGGAGGACATTTAAAATGGGCTTGCCTCAAGTTTCCTCCACTGGTATTGCTGAGGAAGTGGCTGCATCGCTGTGTACATTTGTGCAGACACCACACAGAATTGTTGGTGTGAGTGGCTGTGATTTAATAAGGATGCACAGAGGAAATCTAGGAAATCAAGTTCAGGTGGATTTGCCACGCTCTTCTTTTGGAGATTTGCAAAGAAAAACCAATGGGGAGTATCCCGTACCTGTTCCTAGAATTCTCAGTTTTGGAACAAGGGCATTGAATTATCCAGTTGATGTGTTCAATGGAGTCCAAACTTCATCCTCTGTTGTTAGCATCACCAGTAATGCAGCTGAGTCTAATGGCTCACTAGCAAGGAAGCGCTTATTGTCTCCTTTGAGTGGAATGCTCTGCCCTGATCAATTTAATGGTGATGCTCTGGATATTGGTAGTGGTATCAGCCAAAGTGGTTTTGGCATTGGAGTTTATGTGACACAAGAGCATAAAAAGGCTCATATTAGCAACTCTAATTCTTTAGACCCTGCAATCTGTTCTACATCTTGTTTTCCAGAATGGAAGAATTCACCAGATGATAATTCTGGAGCAAACTCAATGTTCCTCTCTGATGGTCCTCTAATAAAGAATAAGGGGCTGCAATCTGACAGTTATTCGGTACCTACTTCCCAAGGGCTCAATTATTCTGGAGAAACAAATAAAAGAAGGAACCAGACACTGGCTATAGCTATACCTGTTAAGAAGGCAGCCTCACCCCCCTTGTACTTGTCTCCTCTTGGTCCAAAATCTCTTGAAAGACTAAAACATGCTGAAGGATGCAGGGATATGGCAGAAAAGTTAGATGATGATTATATGACCTTCAAGGATTTGGAGCAGTCTCTTAATGGAATGGTATCAGTCCAGACAGATAAAAATTTTAGGTTGTCAAATAAATCATTTCATCTTTTTGATGATTTGCAGAATAAGTTCGATCCATATTCTCCTGAGCTTACCTCTGGAATTGCTCAAAAATCGGGTCAGGATTTGCATCTTGCTCCTAAAAGTGGCAAATTGTTTAGAAGTCTTAGTGGACTGTCTGTCAGAAGGTCCTTGGTTGGTTCATTTGAGGAGTCACTGCTATCAGGGCGGCTGTTATCTGGAAAAGTCGGTCAGGTTAGCAACTTTTTTGTAATGTATGGTTCTATTCATGTTTGATCCAAAGACTTCTCCTAGACCTGCAATGTATTTTAACTTCATTTTTATTGTTACTTGTATGCAGAGAATTGATGGTTTCCTTGCTGTTCTCAGTATCACTGGGGGGAATTTCTCTCCACAATCACAGAAACTTCCATTTGCAGTAACTAGTGTTGATGGAGATAACTACTTGCTCTATTATTCGTCAATAGATCTTGCTAGGCAAGCCTCAACAAACAAGTCTAGAGGCCTAAAAATGAAAAGGAGCCTGAGCATTGATGATTCGCAAGCTGAAAAGAGCCGCCTTCGAGTACCCATGAAGGGGCGGATACAGTTGGTAATGTTAGCTTAGCAGCAAAACCTTCCTGATCAATCATTCACCACATCTATCATTCTATTGCAAAGTGCTATCAGTTAATGGCCGTTTGATGATGCATCAATGATTTGATCTCACAGTTTGATGCTTTAAGTTTCTAGGTGTTGATTAAGTTTACTATATATGCTCATATTTACAATATTATAACATTGGGTTGTGTAGCCTGACGGTCATGAGTAACTGCAGACTGTATTGATATTCACAGGTGTTAAGCAATCCAGAAAAGACACCCATTCACACCTTCCTTTGTAACTATGATCTGACTGATATGCCTGCTGGTACAAAGGTAAGTTTGGATTAGAAATACATAACCTTGTAACTGTCAGTGTCCGGAATTATTAAAGCTTTTACTATTATGAACTGATATTGTACAATGACCCTTCTCTCTTTCTGGCACTTGTTACATGTTACAACAGACATTTATGCGCCAAAAGATTACTTTGGCACCTGCTGCTGCAACCAATATACCAGGAAAAGAAAGGTATAAAAGCTCTGAGACAAAAAATGATATCAAAGCACCTACCGTCCAGAATATTAATAATTCTTCTCCAATTAGCAGAATTTTACATACTACGCGATATTCTGACCAGAATATGAAAGATATAGGAAGTGAAACTGCTGGATGTGTTGGGGTATTAGACAATGATTCCAGTAGTTTGAACATTAGTGAATGTATACAAACCGATGGAGACAACAGCCTGTTAAATGCTAGCAGTGTAAATTTAACCAAACTTGTACATAGCTCATCAAGGGTCAATGAGAGTACTATGGGTGCTGGTGTTCTGCGCTATGCTCTTCATCTTCGTTTTTTATGCCCTTCCCCCAAGAAATGTTCTAAGACTGTCCGAAGGTGCAAATCTGATCCTCTGTCTGCACCAGCAAAAAACATGAACATTGAAGGGGAGAGATGCTTCTACTTGTATAGTGATATGAGGGTGGTTTTCCCGCAACGCCATTCTGATGCTGATGAGGGTCAGGTATATTGAGTGCGTGGGTATACAGTCCTAGTATTTATAAGTGCTTCAAGCTTCTTTTTATTTTCTGGAATTTATTTTTTTCACTTCATTTTTCTCAGCATGTGTAACAGTACCTTTTTTGATATCACACAAATTTAGAAGGTTTAGAAGGTTTTGACATTTTCCTTTTCAGTTTTTACATTCTGTGGAAATAGCTTAGAGTTGGCTTATACTGATTTTGCTAATAGTAATCCAGCTAAACATTTAAGCACATAGGATCAACTTGTTACACAGAAAGAAACTAAATGACTGATGGTTGAGGTTTGGTGATGCCACAATCTTATCCTAACAATGATAAAAGCAGAAGGACTCCGAAGGAAGCATGTTGTACTTGCTTCCCACGCTCAATAAAAAACCTTCACTTATTTCTTGAAATTTAAGGTATAATTTTTTGTGAAAACATCTGTTTCTGCTGCTACATGAGAGTTTGAGTAATCCTAATGCTTCTATATTTGTTGCTGAACATGAATTTTACTGATGGATGATGAGATCTGTAGCCTAAATTCTACTCTCACTGTGCCTAATCCAGATAACACTTACATTGCAGTTACATGTGGAGTATGATTTTCCATCAAATCCAAAGTACTTCGACATCAGCAGCTAAAATGCCCCATAGGTTCTCTTCTCTTCCCAGAAATGCCCGTTAACATTTCTGTACATCTCTGTAAATGTAGTCTCTTATTGATCCTTTGATGGGGGCAAGAAGCCCATTTATTTGTACATAATTTTTTTAAATGATTCAATAATTAGACCATTTCATTTATTGATCATCATGTTCTTTCTTCCCCCTCTTTTTACTCTTCTGAATAGATCAAGGCCAAAAAGGTGACAGCATCATTTAATACTGCCAAGCTTTTTCCCTTCAAAAGAACATTCTTTCTTATAGGAGAAAAGCAAGACCATCATGATTTCACAATTATCAATGACTGTCTATTCTTGACAAAAACTGATCACCATGGCTCCTAGTAGCAGCAAAACATCAGTTCCGGACAAGTGCATGCTGATTCTTACCATTTGACAGCCGCCTTAACCACCATTCATTAGTTGTCAGGAACAGCTGTTTGAAACGAAAACGACATTATCTTTGGTGCATATGGGGGGAGGGTAGAAGGGGATGTGATGATTCCAATCTTTGATCTAAAAACTTTCAAAAAAGGTAACAACCGCTTGGCCAAATTAACTTGCACGGTTCAAAACGACTTTCTACTTAAAGGAGTCCTACAATTTAGGAGGATGGCTGTTTCAAATTCATAGACCAAGATTAATGAGTATAGTGAGATTTTTCTCCGTATCTTGTCCCGCAGATAGCAGGTTCCTCCAGGACCCGTGTATGGAGTTGAAAAACCAACTTTTCCACCCTTCAAGCTAAGGTCAAAACAGTTTCCTACTCAACAAAAAAGTGATTCCCCTTCCATGCACATGGCATTTAATTTCCATGTAAATTTTGGACACTTTCGAGCAAAGGTTTGGTAGCAAAAGCCATGCAGTACATGGCAATGGCAACTCTTTCCAAACTCCATATCTGAGACTTAAAATAAATTTAAAACAGAGATGATGGAGTCTGTCAGAACTGGTACATATGCCCCTTGCCTCTGGGAAAAGGAATCCCTAACCACCATACACATCTATCGTTAGCAAATGTCCTTTTGTAACTAAAACTTTTCATTTACTCCTCGTGGGGTCTTGGGAAATTCGGAAACTCGGCTGAGCTCGAGCATCTTTCATTACGAGGTTGTATGTTTGGAATCTAATTTTCTGCTGCAATCCAAAAGGGTGAAGCCGTGAAGGCTTCCCTCGTTGTATCTGTTTGTTTATGGATGAACAGGTTCTTGGGGATCAAAATGTCGTGCGAACAATGGAGTATGGAACTGTTTGAGATTGAATTAGGATACTGCTAAGTGCTAACACTTCTTTTTCAACCTTCCCTTTTCCCTCGTCATTGTCCTATATCTATCAACGTTCAAGGTCCATTCATCAACATAATCATGATAATTTTATGGAAAGTTGGCCTAGTTAATTAGAGATGGTTATGCATGATAGCAAATGTGATTGCTATAAATCCAAAGCATAATCTATTAAGTTTATACTATTACTTAAATGTTTTATCGTTGAAATTTAAATTTCAGCAGCTTGCAATTCCTTTTTCTATCCTCTTGTTACAATCTTTTGTACTAAAAATGTGAACCTCTACTTTTCAGGTTCTTCGCCTCTGCAAATGCCTTTTCATGTAGCTTCACTTTGCTCTCCCTATTCTTTGTGTTCTTCTTTGGCCGCCATGGCTTGACTCCTACTAACTACATTTTATTGTTCCTACACGATTTGGTAATGTTGGTTTTTATACGAATCCATAGTATTCAAAGACGTACATAAAAAAAAACAACAGCTTTTATTCACTGAAAATGTTTCTGGGCCGTTGCAGTTTATGACATCGCTGGCAATTTCTGTGATTTATAGTAATAAACAAAAAAAATTACGATGATCCTATGAGATGTACATGTTTATTTAGAGGATAAATTCTTTAATAAGATCAGAGATTGAATTGGACAATATGATTCATGACAAATTTTAAACGACTATCAAACTCATTTATCAGGATTTTTTTTTCTCGGAAGTGGGCAGGCTTCTGTAATGACTTAGAAAGGCCCAGACATGGGTTGGAAAGGTTAAAGATACCAAACATAGGATTCAGTCCACGGTCCGCAGTTGGTTTTTTAGCCTACTTAAGAACATTCAGGTTGATTTTGCTATTCAAAATGCAATGTTTTTTGCATATCCGGCAACCAGAGTGACAACTGTTTCCATTTTCAATATAGAAATTACATAATACTACTATATATTGTTGAAGGGTCGGACTACTCACTCAAGTTCGAAGGATGTCTAAGTTTCGAAAGAATTTAGATAAAAAATTAAAGTACGTTCAATAAGGTTGAACATAATTTTATATATGTTTAAATTTTAAATTAAACTTTGGATGAAAGATTTAAAATTCGAATCCAGCTCAATCCAATCCAAATTTATGTATATATAAATTTTTTTTTATATACATGTGAATTATATATAAATTAAAAATAAAAATTATACATATTTTATTAAATTTAATTTTTATTTTTAATATTTACATATATATTTATATATATATATGTAAATTTAAACATAATCCTATTAAATTTAATTTAATCATACTTTTTAAAATTTTTTATTATATAAATTAAATTTAACGAGTGAATTTAAAATTTATTTTTTTTAATTTAGATCAAATTTAAAAAAATATTTAGACTCAAAATTTTGGATCGATCTAAAGCTGAACAAACATTTAAGTTTTTAATAATAAGCATGTACATGACCTAAATCCAAGCCATAAACACCTTTACCATATAGGTAACTATTTCCATTTTTAATAAGACCATAGTCTGAATTTGTTCTTTGTACCATCTCAATTGTGGCATTTTGATGTCAATAATAGGATAAAGTATCGAATTAAGTATAAAAAGAAATCATGATGTTTTTTATCCCTGTATATCTTTGTTTCCTTTTCCTATTCTGTTCGTACACAAGACCCACAACTATGGCTTAAAACAAGAAATGCTTCCCTGGACACTTTTTTCCCGCCAACCATATCGTACAATCCTCTTAGACCGTTTCCACATGGGGTAGATGGCATCGGCGGCCCTCTCTTTCACATGCCTCTTATCCGATAATAAAAGTACCAAATCGACAAACCCAAATGGGAATTGCTCCATCCTTCATCTCTAAGTTTGAACAACTAAGCATGCTTGGGCATTTTCTTCCCCCACTGTTTTGATGATTCTACTTATTTATTCTTTCTTTCCTTAAAGTCGGGATTGATATATTATTTAGTGTTTCTTTTCCAACAAGATTTCAATATAGAAAATGGTATAATCCTCTATGTAAAGAGACAAACTATTGTAGAAATGGATCATCAAATTCTAAGGTTCACCTGACACAGCTGTCTTATTTCCGCCCCTTTGCCATAGGCAGGAAGGTTCCAACCAAGCAGGTTCCACAACCTCTCCCGAGCCCTTTTCTTTTTCTCCAATAAGAATACATCAATACATGAGCTAAGGCTAAGTCAATTTGTAAACAAGTTTAGGTAGGACCTTCCCTGTTAAGGTAACAGCCAGCAGAAGATTAACATAGAACAAATGCACCTGGTCAAGAACAAAAGCACGTGGTTTAGACCCACTGGTATATGGATATATCATCTACCAGACATCCATAGAACTAAACAAAACTATTTCAGACAATAATGGTGATAATCTAGATATACAGGAACCGAATGAGAAAGATCGATAATGATCGACCAGATCCTTCTGGGACCCCAGAATTAGGATAGCCGAAGGAGGATTAGAAGAGCTGGAAAGAAGAAGTGCTTGCCTGTTTAGGCAAGGATCAGCAGAAGTTTGCAGTGGTTGGAGAACATGGATAGAGACTAAACTTGGAACAAATGAAGAAAGATTTGTTGCACTTGAGACACAATCATAACTCAGCATCATCACTGTTACCAAACTACCAAAACAATCAACGGCTCATGTTTTTGCTACTTAAGGTTTAGGAGGAGTTATAGGAAAGCTAATGGTTCACTGTGTAGCTAATGCTTAGATTTGAAAGTTGAGGTAAAAAACGGAACTAAGTTATCTGATCAACATAGAGTGGTAGAATTGAATGCTGTAAGGTCTCAACCAACTCTCCCTAAAACAAAGAAATTGCCCTGCAATGATTAGCACTTATTAAGGTCTATTCCTAACAGTAAAAACAAGCTACCCAATATGGAATGAAAAAAAATATTTTCCGTTCCCTTGATTCCAATTCTTAATGAAATTTCCGAGCATCCAACTCAGGCAGAAAATGGTTAATCTGTGCATCGAACGCCTGAGAAATGAGAAAAGAAAGTGACCTAAGCTAGCAGAGTCAATATAATATAACTTGATTCCGTTAGGACTTAGCATCAGCAACAACTCCTTTGTGAAGTCAATAAGAGCTCAAGGAAAATGATAAAAAAAAACTTGAGTTCATACAAGAAACAGCTATGAAATCATTGAATTTTGGGTAATAAAAATTTAACACCAGTCAAATTAGGTCACCAAACCAAGATCGTCTCTACAAACTACAAAGAAAGTTTTTCCATGAGCAATTACACTAAACATATAATCTAACTCTAAGCAAATAAACATCCACTATGAACAAGAAAAGGGAAAGGAAAATAAAGAAATCAAAGTAAAAACAGAACTATTAACATACAGTTCAATGACCCCATTTTGAAGATATCTTCCATTGCTACGGTCTGGCAAAAACACCCCAGATCTTACCACGACCAAGACTCTCCAACAGCTTCTTAGCCCCTTCACCATTCATCTCAACAAGTTTCTGCAAGTACACACAAGCACCAGCAGCAACCATTTGCTTCCTACATTTCTTAGAATGTACAAGCTCTGACAAGATCAAAACAGGGTATTTTTTATCCAGATTCAGTATTGAAGGATCCAATAACTGCACAGCATTTACTATCCCTCTCTCATCCTTTCCAAAAACCTTTCTGTTACCTGCGTACAACATAAGCGTCGACAATGCCATTGCAGCTGCTTCTTTTTCTTCAACAGCCTTCCCATCCAACATTTTAATCAATGCCACAATACATCCAGATTGACCCATTTCTTTCCTTGTTTTCGAGTTAAAACCAAGCACGTAAACAGCTCTAGCAGCAGCAATTCTTACTCCTAAAACCCCACAGTTCAAAACAGCCACGAGCCGGGCAACGAAATCATCAGCAACCAGAGCTTCTGCAATAGGGGGACAAGAAGCTAAATGCCTAACTAACTCAACAGCAACTTCAAGACTTTTCGGATTGGGAGATGAATCCCAGAAATTCTTCAAACATTCAATCCCACCTTCCTTAACTGTCAAAAGCTTCAAATTTTCATCATCAAAAACCAAATTACATAAACAAGAAATCGAATTTTCTTGTGCTAAGGCAGTCCCAGAAGAAGCAAGCCCGATTAAAACAAAAACAGCGTTTTCTTCAATGAAATTCTCTTTAATTTCATAAAAAGAAGCTAAATTTTTCAAAACACCGGCTGCAAAAGCTTGGGAACCAGGCGTTCCAGCTTGGCAAATCTCTAGAAGAGACGAAACCCCACCTCTGGAACCAATTGCTCTGGCGTTTTCTTTTGAACAACTTAAAGCTTGTAAAGCCATGCAAGCTTTTTCTTTTCCGAAACCGCTTCCTGATTCAAGAACTCGAAGCAAATGGTTCAAAAGCAACAACCCTTCAGCGATCAACACGTGTTTGCTTGATTCCACCGTTGATACCCTCGAAATGGCGGCAACCGTCTTTTCTTTCAATTCTAAAGAGCTCGAATCCAGTAAGCGCACGAGCACTGGAACCACCCCCTGCGCCACGGCTATCATCACGTTTTTGTCGTCCTCTTGGAGTAAGCCTAAAAGGGAGTCCATCGCTGAGTTCTTCGACTCGGTGGTTCCAATTTGCAAACGAGTTATCAAGTTCCTCGACTCGACTCGTACTGCTTCTTTCTTCGATGAAGAAGTTGAGACAGCGCCGTCTTGGAGTACTCCACTTTGAATCAAAATCTCGCTATCTTTGATATACCGATCTAATTTAGCCAAAACGGCGTCGATATCGCTCTGGGTCTTGAGTTTTCCCTCGGTCAAATCGGCGCGTTGACATTTCTGGGAAAGCGACACGGCATCATTCAAGGTTTGGGAGATGGAATGAAGGAGGTCGACGGCGAGAGGGTTAGAGGAAGAAGCGGGAAAATCGAAGAAGTCGGCGAGTTGGGTCTGGAGACCAGAAAGCTTGGATTTGATCAAAGCCCATTTCCCTTTGAAATGGCTGATATTTTGGATTTGCTCCGAAAGCGAAACCAAAAGATTATTCGAAAGAGAAAATGGGTCATCGCTTTCTGGTACTTTCATGGCGGCTCAGACCGGTTTTTCCCTCTCTTTTCCCCTTTCCTATCTCTGTTCTGAAGATTCGAAAGTTTGTGCAGTGACAGAGTGAAAAAGGAAAGAAAAAGATTCAAAGGATTTGGAGTCTACGACTCAACAGAGAGAGTGAAGAGTGTTGGGAAACGACCGAGCAGCATTGTACTGGCTTTGCCTGGAGATATACTGTGAGAGATTGGTGACGCTGTTGAGTATCAGACGCAACTCTGGAGCTTCAAATCACGCGCATTTGACTTAAATACGGAATTTGGAATAATTGCTGTTAACGCTGGGCATTAAATTAAATTCCCTATACTTTCATTATTGTGGCAGGCTATTAAAATAAGTTTAGATATTTAATTAAAGATTTTAAATTTAAAAATCTTTTAAAATAAACATATGAAACTTATAAAATAAAAAAATTTTAAAATAAATTTTAAATTTTAAAATATGTTCATTCTAAACATTTATAGAGTTTTTTTTTATATGTTTTCATTATGATAGTAATATATTAGGTCAAGATAAATTTTTGTTCATTTTAAATTTGATCAGATTTTATATTTATAATATTCAAACTTAATTTATTTTAAGGATTTTTTTATTTTTTTATACCCAAATCTAATATGATTTGATATTGTATAAAATTGTATCTGATTTGATTCAAAATTAATAAAATATTATTTTTAATATAAATATAAAATTAAATATATATAATTAATTAATTAAAAATTAATTTTTAATACATATTAGATCAGGTTGAGGTGGGTTTGTCTAAAACCTGAACTCAATTTTTTTTTATTATTATCCAACTCGACCTGACTTAAAACTTAAATTAAAAAAAAAAAAACTTTAAGTGGTCGGGTCTAATCGAAACCTATAAAAAAATGGATTAGATTATCATCCCTAATTATCATTGACATTTTTTAATTTAAAAAACATAATTAAGAAATTGACATGTATTATTTAAAAATTCATATTTTTTAATATGTTTTAATGAGTATGCATCATTTTATTAATTTAATATGTAAAATCTAAATACTATATCAACACCGAATGAATTAATTTCTTAAATTTATAATATTTAATTTCAAGTTTTAAATTTTTTAAAATTATTCATTAATAAATTAATAATTTTTTATTTCATTAATAATGTATAAAATTTATACATTACTATATACATAAAATATAAAAATCATTTTTTAAATATATTACGACTACTATTTATTGAAACATGGAGTAATAATATGTGGGCATATCTATATCTTAATTGTCTATCTCAAAATGTTTTCAACCATGCAAATACACCACATTATGCCGTCCCTCCATTTCATAAGATCGAAAAAAAAAAGTGTTTTCCTTTTGTTTAATAGTACTTAGAAATAGGTTAAATAAAAAAAAAAAGCTAGCTATTAACAAAATAAAATATACTTTATTTTATGAGTTCTTATTTTTAAATTTCACATAAGATGTATCATATGTTTTATTATTTTTTATGAAATAAAAACATAGAAAATAAATTATAATGATATATGTAAGTATTATACATAAATATAAAAATAGTAAATACATTTTTTTGAAAATAACATATAAAAAAATGAAATTTAAATTATAATAATTGTAATTTTTTATTACCTTAAAATTACAACATTGTTTGAAAAACAACCTCGGTCAAATAGGAATATTAATCTTATTTAAAATTGATAGAAAATCGATATTTTACTCTTATGAAAATGGGAATGAATTTTAAAATTTAAAAATAAAGACAGAGATTAAGTATGAGTATGAAAATGAGTAATATAACACTTACTGAATATCCGTACTTTATATATTTAAAATTTTAATTTTTTATTTAATAATATAAAATTTTATCTTTTATCAAAACTAATATATTTATTTAAAAAATATTTATAAAAAAATTATTTAAACATATAAAATAAAAAATATTTTTTATTTTTAAAAAAAGTTATGAATATAAAAATTATTTATATTTATTAAATACTTAAAAAATAAAAATATAGATAAATTTAAATATTTATTAAATATGAATTCGATTATAAATTATAATATAAAATAAAAAATATTTTATCCCTCCATAACATAGTCACAGTCAAAATAGACAGAGACCATAGATAGAGTGTGAGATACACGCACAATAAAAGGTGGTAAAAAAGGGTGGGGGTAGTCTGATGATCGGAAATTGAGCCAAAAAACACGAGGAGGACAGAGTAACAGAATCAGAGGGCTGAGAGGGAAAGTTGAAGTCATTTTCTACTCTCACCGCACAACTTTCATCATCACCATTCACACCCGATATATGATCGTCAGATTCTCCTACCAACCTTTATCTTCATTCATATGTACTTTCTCATATATTGGGCCTTAACCAAGTCACAACTGGATTGGCCCATTCATTTTTGTTGATAGGCTTGAGCGCCCTTTATAGCAATATCCCTTGTGCCCCGTTTGGATGCTCACCAAGCCTTGAGTGCCGCCGACTGGATCGTTAGAAGTTTCGTCAATGAAAAAGCATCCACGATGCGGTGTTCAAAGGTAACATATCGTTTATAAATTGTTTTTTGCTATAATTTTATAATTATTTAATTATAATAAAATTTATGTAAAATTTTATTACCTTTTTTTTGTTGGTTATAGCTTTTTATATATCAAAAGTTGAAAATTAGGTTTTTATGCAACAAAAGAAAAAATAAGGATTAGTAAGGGTAATTCTTTTTAAAAAAATTTCATCAAATCTTGGAGATTTCTTTTATGCAACTCGTGAAATAAAAATTGTTTATTAAAATAAAATTAATAATTTAAAATATGATATTATGATATGATATGAATAAAATATTTAAAAATAATATGATTTAAAATTTTAATAAAAATTATATATGAGTATAATAAAATTATAAAATATATATTTTATGTTTTATAATCGAATAAAATATACAAATTATTATATATATATATTTATAAACAAAGATGACTTGGTCAAACTGCTAACTAACTAGCTAGTAGACATTTTCAATAGCAGATAATTTATATTGTATTTTTTAATCAGTGTTAAATTCTCATGAAATATTAAAATTGAATTCAACTTGAAGAGCATACTAAATTATGATCTAGAGGCCTCTTGAAGTCCATACTTTACCTACTATTTTTGAATAACTACCTTAAAGCATTCTTTTTTAAGTTATTAATAAATTTATTCATGAGCCGAGTGATCAAACATTTTCGTGGATTTGATGTAGCTTGGCCCGAGCTTAGGCACAACTTTATACATCTAACTTAATATTAATCTTGTAAGAATATTTTAGTTATTAAAATTATTTTATTTGATCTTAAATGTATATTTAAAAATTTAAAATATTAATAAATATATTTTTATATTTTAATAATTAATTTAAATAAATAAATCAAATCAAATCTTAAATAAAATTTAAAATATAAATAAAATTTGTCTAGATTTAATCCGACTTATAAATAATTTTAAAATTTTTGATATTATTTGTATGTATGTACATAAAAGCATTAATTGACCAATTGATACAGAATTTGGTTGACTACTACCTTTTAATTTAAATTCCGTAGTTAATTTTTAAGCATGTGACATAAAAAATAATGGCAGTTCGTGGTGCATTATTCGCTTTTCATTTCATATTTTATAAGTATCTTTAGGCTATGGAGGGTGGAGAGGTTGGGAGTTAGGTTTTTTTTTTGTCATATCAAGTCAATTAATTGTTTTATAAAAGAGATTATATTTTAAAAAAGAGAAATTGGTGTGAGATTTAAATTTTAAAATTTTTAAATGTTATTTTATAAAAAATAATCTTATGAATTCATTAAATTAAAATTAAAATTTAATTATATTTTTATCATAAATTAAAGTTTAAAGTAAATATATATTAAAAAATAGAGAAACCTGTCGGCAAAAGGTGCGGAGGTACAATGATTAAGCAATGATAATGGTATAATATGCCTAAGTGCTGGGCTATAACCTTTTTTTTTTTTTCTTCGGGGGGGGGGGGGGGAGGGAGGAATGGCCTATTTCTTACATGGCAGTCTTTGCACCCAAAAAATAATAATATAATAAAAATGAAAGGACCAATTTGAAGAGCCCTAGGTTTCAAAATTGGGGCCAGAGAGAGCCCAATTTTATTGAGGTGACGACCTCGTTGTTCCCATCAACTGACTTCCACCCAAGCAATCAGATCCATGATTATATGAACTCCTCTTCTCATTCTTTAGGCCCAAAGTAAAAAAAAAAAAAAAACTGTAATCTTAAGCTCTTATAATTAAGAAAAGTCCTGAGAATTTTGAAATTTAAGTAAAAAAATAATTTATAGTTTAATTTAATTAATTTATATAACTATCAATTCTATTTAATCGGTTTAAGATTTAAATTTTTATATTTACAATTAGATTCGATAATTTAAAATACGATACAATAACATGATATAAATACAATATAAAAATAAAACAAGAACGTGATATAGATTAAAATTTTAATAATAATTATATATCAATTTAATAAAATTAAAAAAATATATTTTATATTTTTGTTAACACAAATTATGACATAATTTTTATGTAAAATATAATATAAATACATAAATAATCAACAATCTTTTCTCTTGCTTTCAAGTTATACCTTCTTTAAAAAAAAAATTCTCAGTTTTCAATTTACAACAATACTTTCTTATTCCACACGAGAACCCAAATGGTATAAAGTAGTAAGCAAGTGAAGGGGTTGATAAGTCACGTGGGGGACCTTTTGAACCCAAGAAGCTTGGAATAATGGCAAAGAAATTGTTAAAAATGATACCAAAATGCCATTTGATTTTTGAAATCCAACCAATTAAAATTTGTCAAATGATGCGACATTGACACGCATTTAAGTCAAGAAGGAACAAATTACCAAAGCTTTATTGATTGTGAAAATGGACATTGAAGGCATTTGACAGTTATCAAGGATCATTGATATTGGAATATTACTATTAACACACAAAAGCCTTTAATAAGGGAGGTCAAGAGCTGACTATAAACCCTCCCCTGTTTTATTCATAGATAAACATCGTTCAGACACTGACTTCAGATAGTTGAGGTCAAAAAGCATTATTCTGGTTAAATAGGAAGGGAATGTCAAACGTAGCTTGGTGAACTTGGAGCCAAGCAAATATATCTTTCGGTCATGAGGGCATTCTTTTAGGTTTTGCCAATGTTTAAGTCTAAAACACGAAAAATTTTGTAACTTAATTTATTTGATTAATATAATCACTTTTAAAAAATAACATTCAATAAGTTTGAATTCGAGTATTACTAATAATTTCATTCATGCTAATGTTGAATTTACCTACAAAATCTTTGAAAATTTTTGAAAATCAAATGAACCGATTCGATACAAATTGCTTAATTAATTTGTTCCATTAATACAGGCAGAGGGATTGGCTTTTTTCCATTTTTTGCTCATTTCCTTTCTTTTTTAATAATATTAATTTGTTAGCTGGTACAATATTTGACCACAAATAAAGAATGATTTTGAATGATGGTCGACAGTAGTGAAAACAACAGATACAGCAAAATGGAACGTTATCATAGATAGGTTGGACCTTTAAATTCACTGGAATATATTCAGTCATGGCCACGTTGATGGTTGAATGTTGGCGATGTGTTGACAAATAAAGCTATAAGAATAAGGGAAATACAGACACATAGCTCAAGGAATTAGCCAAATTTGCAGCAATTGGAATCCGATTTCTTTTTTTTTTTTTTTTTTTTCCTTTTTGAATTTGTCTATGGCTATAAATAGAGCATTCTCAATGCTTGATTGTGTAAATCCAACACCTCAAGTAGCAAATGGTGAGGGAGGAAGAGCGGTCTTGTATGGAGATGAAGAGTCTTGTTTGGTAGCCAAGGATGACTTGCCTAAATCCAAACAGGATTTTGAGGTAAAGGAAGGTGAATTTCATCAGAGTCCTTTTAATGGTTTCTGGGCAGTCTCCTTTGGCTATCCTGACTGGCTCTTATCTTTCATGCATGACCTATATCTCTTCCATGCATTAAAATCTCAATGCCATTTCCTTACAAGTTCCAAATGTGTTACAATTTTGCACTTGAGACACATAACGAGAGTACATGATGCCAATGAATGTTTGATTCACCAGCATGTACTGTGCCCTATCAGGAATAAACAATTGAGTTTCAGGTTCAAATTCTGCTCTTTTTTTTTTTTTTTAAATCTTTTAAATCACTTATTTATGCATTCTTTGATTTTAATTGGGTGAAGGGGTACTCAATACTTTTAAGCCTATTTTTTTTTCGAGTGATTTTAAAGATGCATTCATCCCTATTTGATTTGTCATGTTCAAGATTTTGCTTGTTATTGATTAGTAACATGAATGGTAAAGTTGTGGAGGAATAATGCCAACTTCTCACCAGCATTATACTCTTGATTGCATAGTAGTATGATTTAACCAAGGGATAATACTCTCGTTTTCCAAGCAAAAATTTGCATAAATAGTAGTAAACAGCATTAGCTGCTTCGCATAGTAGTATGATTTAACCAAGGGGTAATACTCTTGTTGATGTGATTCCTTCCTCCTAAGCTGCCTCCATGCCTCGGGTCTATAAACTCAAAATAGGAAAACTTTGAATATTTTAAGTCTTCAGGTAACCCTAGTAATTGTTTCATTGTCGTGGGATTTTCCTTTTGGGGATGTTGGATATGTCTAATCCTGATGAACGTGTTCTTACTAGTGATTTTTCAATCCATGCAAGTCATTTATCAAGGTGACCCGAGTGTCAGAGATAACGATTGTTCTTGCCATTTTTTTGGTATTTTTTCTGCTTCATGTATTTGGAAATCCTCTTTAAATGCATCTTGTCCACGACCGGAAAAGGACATCTGGCATACATGTTCGGTGTAACTGGTAAAAAATTACTAGCATTTCCCTCTTCTCTGAGTAAAAGTGGTTTGTTCGTCAGTGGTTTTTGATGCTATTAACAAGAGCAATAAACTGAAACACTTCATCCCCAAAGAGAGCTACTTGTTGAAAAATGGTCGATTGAAAAAGCTGAAAAGACAGAAAAAAAAACCTTTCAGATTCTATCAAATTCCCAACCTGCAACGAACCTGAGGTGCATAATATATATATATATATATGTATGTATGTATGTATGTATGTATATTCAAACATTAGGCGCTATCACACAGTTTCATTCCTGTAGAAATATTTTTTACACGAGTATCAGTTTCTTGCCATTGGCAGGCTGTCCAAAAGAATATATTAAAAAGTCATCACCTAACAGAGAATAATTTAGACGATTATTATAGGCTTACTAACAAATTTGCAGCAAATTTCATCGCACGCAGAAGCACGTCAAGAAGGAAATTAATTTCCTTTTGAGGTAAGTGAACAAGAGCCACGGTATTGTTTAGACTAGGGAGATGTTGATGCGTGGCCTCTCCTCTGTTTTGATGAGTGCAGGTTTTGGCCAACCTCAATCTACTCCATTCATTGGTTACACCATTGATAATTGGGGTAGAATTGGAGCTATAATGCTTCATCAAGCCAAGCCACTATGCAGGAACCTGGTTTTAACACTGTCCTCACCAGGATGGAGATTTATGGACAAGTTCCTGTCAGCATATAATCCTTATTCATTCATTCATTCATGTTTTTAACATATGCTACAAAAAATGCCGTCTTTATTCATCCCTACATCTCATTCCCAGTTCTAGATGAACAATTGGCCATCAAGAAGATATGAAAGATCCTAAAAGTAATATAATAAAACACATTCATGCATATAATCCTAAAACAGATACACCAATCTGGATTTGGCTTTAAATAAAGGTCAAATAGTTAGCTCTATGTTTGACAAATTCCACAGTAGGACCATGTAGGTCCACTGCCAAACAAATCAGCACAGAACAATTACTAGAGTAGTTGGGAGTTGACAGAAAGAGGCAAAGTCCAGGAATAATTCATACAAATATACACATTAAATCACCAATAATCTAGCAGGAAAGAAGTTTCAGAAAACAAAACTTTGATTTTCCTTGAGTTTCTACATTTTTTTCTTACCCGAGGGGTAGTTTAAAACCCGATTTCTTAATGTTTGGCACATATTCACAAAACAACATAGATTAAGTTTTTCAAGGTTACTCTTCTCTTCGGTAACACCTATCATCAATTCAAAAAAAAAAAAAAATTATGTCAAAGAAACACTTAGAAGTGTAATCCTTTATGCACCAACTCCTATTTTGTTTGTTTTTTTTTTTTTTTTTTTCTTTCTTTCGGTCTTCGTGGAGCCAAGTTTTTTACAAACAAGAATGTACTTGACAAAATCATAACCTACCATAACTAATGTAGGGGACTCTAAGGAATGCAAAAAATATGTTAGGACCAATTCAAGTAGCATATGAAATTGCTCCAATCTTTTTTCCTACCATCAATGTTTCACAAGCACATTACTACCAAGGTATGCCACGAAAAGAGAAAAAAAAATTATAAAGGTTAAATTAGAATCACATATCCATATCATAGAATTTTAGGCTATAGAAAGCTATGATGTCTTATGGGATTTTAGGCTATAGAAAGTTTTGATGTCTTATACATATTCAACACAAGAAAATATCTGATAAAAGCCTAAACCTTTAAGAATGCTCAAACAAGGAAATGTATGCCTGAGGGGAAGAACATTAGTTGTCTACTTGCCAACTAAAGATTTACTTAGCCATGATAAAACAAGGCAATACAGGCAAACAGAAATTCAAACCTAGATGTTGATCCTAAACCACAATTTGCATGGTGAGAGGGAGTTCTAGATTAGGTTAAAGTACCTGAGATGGGAATACATATATCCACAAAGAGATGCCCAAGGAGGACAAAATCTACAGATGTTGTTCAAAAATCAATAGCCAGTCTATAGTAAATTCAAACTAAACAGTCTCAAGAGGAAACGACTAAAATACAGAATCTTCAACAGCCAGAGTAAATAAACACCTATGGAGTGATTGCTTCATTCTTTGATATCAACCTTCAATCAGACTACAACGCAATAATCAAGTATTCTAATATCTTAATTGTAAAAATATATTCCATTCCGTAACAAAAAGGAATGAGAAAACCATAAGAATATGATTGAAATTGCCTTATTTTGTCAAGAACCTTCCTTTAACCAAAAGAAAAGCTAATATTCCCTCATTGTTTTCGGTTAAAGTTTTTAACAATAGTTAGCACTACCCTAACAAGAGCATCATAAGCACAATGCACTGCAAAAGACTTGCACCAGATTAAAATTCATATAGTGCAACAAAAAACAAAAACCCTACCGATTATCCTACTTTCGCTACACCAAAAATAAGGTAAACATAAAAATGCTAAATGCTAATAAGGCTTATTCTCAAACTCTTACATTGCCATGGCTGTTAAATTTCTCCCTCCAAAAACCGATAACCATAATGAAACATGTCACGAAAAGCCTTTACCGAGCATCTGGATTGCACGAAACATTTTCCTTCTAGAACCAACTGCATTTATTCCCATATCCTTCAAATCTTCCAATGTCAACAAAGGCAAAACCTCATCATCCACTTCATGGATCTCAAAAACAGGGGCATATCTTCCTAACCCCAAACTATTCAACCATATCCTAACCCCATCTTCCTCACACCGCCTCAAGTTGGTATCTGATGGCCCAGATAACTCTACCCCATCCGAAACCCTAGTCCGAATTGGCCTCCTTTGGTTTTTCCCGTGATAAAGAACTTCCCTTTCATTATCACCGACACCCAAATTATCCAAAGAATGAATCGGATTCTGTTCTTTCATGGGGCTTTCCGAGTTCTCCATGTCGAAATCATCGCTATATTCGCTGCCACTGTATCTGTCCTCTGTTTCCACATTACTGTTGTTAGTGTTGTTATTGTTGCCGTTGAGGCTGATGTTTCCGCCACTGGAATCGTCGATTTTGGAAACCCAATTGGATCGGACCCGTTTCGCGGCGAGGCCCCGTTTCTTGAAATCTTTGACTCTCCAGCTACCGATAGCGACGCCATCTAAATTGTTATTATTGTTGTTAGGTTCTCTTTCGCCATCGAGGGTTTCGTTGTTGGCGTTGAAGTCAGTGCTGAGATTGGTTAGGGCGCGAGTTTTGGACGATTTAGAACTCGCAACGGCAACTGATGGATTTAAGGACAGGTGGGATTGGTGTTTCCATTGCTTGGAAAAGGCAGCGGCGGCGGAAGAAGAGGAGGGTCTTCGGATATGAGAATCGGGTTGGTCACCGCCGATATCGCCTAATCGAACGCTGGGACGTCTCTGGCGTTTCGATCCAACGGTCTCAGATGAAGCCACCGCAACGGGTCCTCCGACGCCGTTTACCGGGCCGTCCGATTGCTGTACATCCGCCATGTTTATTTTACTCCTGTTTTATATTCTGGGTTTGCTTTATTTAGTGAAGACAGCGAGAAAGGAAAAGTGGAAGGAAAAAAAGAATGACTTTGGGTTTGATGTTTGGGTGGAAAGAAAGCGAGAGAGTGAAATAAATGGAAGTGGAGAGACTGAATTGTGATGTTGGGTTAGTGACACGTGTCCTCTTTTCCTACCGAAAGGGAACCAAAGGTATTCTTTTTCTCAGATTTGCTTCATTTATTGCCCTCAAAATTTTCTTGTTTTTTTGGAATGATAGAAAATCAACGTTTGCTATTGAACACGAGGATTAACATATGATTAGAAGAAAGTTTAATTCAAAATGTCAACTAAAAGGGACCTACTAACCAGAAATCAACAGACTTTGCCAAACAAAAGATCGCTTGTCCCCAATGATATTTCAGCAAAATCCCATCATGACGGTCTTCCATGGCAAGAAACACCGAGCTACAACCAAAATGTCTTTTAACACCATGGTTTATAGAGGCCCCATGGGCAAGACAATGATAGACATGCTACAAAGTAAAAAAGTAGGAAGAATTTGGTGACATTTTTGCATGACATTCTCATGAATTCATGAATACAGGTTAGACCCTATTAGCAATGAAAACTAACAAAGAATCTACAAATGAAATTTTGACCTTTATAATCTACACTTGCCTTAAAAAGGCAATGCAGCCTGAGAAATTCTCTCTCCCCAAAAGAATCTTTTAGGATGGGTATGATGGTTGTAGCTGCTTCAAGAGTAACTCAGATTGGCCTCTTTTTTTCATCCTTTAATTTGTGTGTGAACTATATCAAGCAATGATTTCACAGATTTTGCCAATTACCTCCATGGCAAGGATGAGCAATCGTGCTTATCGAAGATTCAATCAACTGGTACTGTGCAAAGCTGACCATGTCCGGAACTGTGCTCCACAGGGTACATAGTTGTGCCTTTTACAAATTTTTGATGGTCAACAGCAGCCTTTCTGAGCCTAGAGACTGACATATATTTCCTTTTAACTTGCTTCTTTATTATTGAGCACGATGCAAGTAGGTCTTCAGATCCTGCTCCAACCCTCCTACAGAAATAAGAAAATGAAATTTTTACATCTTCAGGAACACAACTTTAAGTTTAAGCTGGAAGAGAGTAGTTGTTATAATATCAAATTTTATCTAATTGCACTGCACTGAGAACTCTGTTAACACCATACAAGATTCTTCAGCACCAATACGTAAATACAGACAGGACTAAAGTTTTAACACATTAAAGCCTTTTTGTGCAGCTCCTAAGCAGTTTCTCTACTCCAAAAAGCTATTGATGAGCCAAATAGGTGTTTCAAAATAACAACATCTAGCCTTTACGAAAGCTGAAAATGAAATTTTAGAAGCAACTTGCATGATGGACAACTGAATTAAGCAGCAAATAAACAATAACCCTGAACAGATATTTTAAAACATTCTCTGAGTGCCAAGATTGATTATCACCAAAAGCAATCCAGAACCATTAGCATGTCATATGTATTATGAGACTCTGTGAAAACCTAGTCATTCAGTTAAGTTCCAGATCAAACCGTGCAAGAATTGTGCATGTGATTATTGGTGTGATGCAACATATGTTTTACAACACAGCCTCTGACTTATCACCCATTATAAATTCTAATATGAAACAAAGGAAACATTAAAAGATTGTTACCTCAACCATTTCTCTGATGCAATTCTGGCAGCTCTTATAGTGCTACGACTTGGCACCCACTTCACAACTCGGTTTGCATCAGATCGCATAGGAGAATGGATTTTGATAAGCTTAACAAGACCAGATACAAATTTGTCAAAGATATTAATTTCCCTACACTAATTAAGAGAGGACTGTAGCAGCATCATGAAGAAAAGAGAATTTGCATGTCCTTTCCTATTAATGGTTACACAAAGGAGAACTTCACCCAAGTAAAGATTTCAACATGAAAGGGAAAGAGAGCATACACCCAAACACTCCATCATCTGGTAATAAGCCCTGCCATGCAAAGGTGTATGGCCCTTCCGAGATTCTGAGAAATATCGAGTCCTGGTAGGATATCGTGAAGGTTTTATTTGTAAGGTAAAAATAATTTAATTGTTGCAGAGAAAAATAGTTAAAATGAACCATACCATTCTTTATAACCTGGATCTACAGTGAAACCATACATATCCACCGAATCACATACAGAGAGAGCAAATTCAAGAGCCTTGAGCCCAGTCCCTTTTGCAGCTGAACCAAAGGATGCATCTAGCATGAGATATACTGGATTGCTTATTGGAATTTCCTGCATTGAAAAAAACAACAAAAAGTCTTTGAAGTTTATGTCAAAAGAAAGTGGTGGCAAAGGTGAAAAGAGGACGTTGCCAAAAATTCCCATCGGCCAGTTTTCATCCATCAACATCTTAGAGAACAGTTAGGTGTAGGATTTCAAAAATCATGAATGTGATTGAGCAGTCAATTTGCATAAGAAACTTCACAAATTTTAACAGGATAAAGGACACATTCTTTGATATAATTTAGGGCAGAAAATAATAATAATGACAGGCAATCTGCCCACAGACATAAGGAAAAATAATTTCAGAACCAACAACAAATTAAATCACAGGTAGATAGACATATATTAAGAGAAACTACTGTTTCTGTATACAGCAGCTGTTTCTACACAAAGTACTAGTTTGGAGAAATATCAAAATCATAGAAAGAAACTAGATGGAAACTATATACTAACCCGAATCATCTGGCTCATAATGTCATGAATTGTAGTTTTGATTATCAACACCTCCTGCCTAGTCTCTGTAAAATCCAAATATTTAGCATTCATTTAGAATTATGAAAGTGTAATAAGTAAACAACAAGTGTAAAAATGTCAATACCATCTAACTCTACAATTTTATCAAGAGCTTTGGCAGATCCTCTGTTAAGAAGCCGAAATGAACTTTTCTTGCCCACATATTCTGTATAGTTCTGCGATAGAACATTTAACATTTGAAAAAATTATAAGAAAAATTATTAGAAAAAAAAAAAAAAAAAAACAAGAGGGGAAAAAAAAGCCAAAGCTTTATGACAGCAGCTTAACCTCAATGGGGGCACCATTCTCTCTAAGGACAACATCATAGCTATCTATCTCCTTCCCAAACCTTGTTTTCAGAAGATCTCCTGAGTTGCCTATAACAGCACACCGACCAAACTGCCTAGGAACATAAGGTGGTGTTTCAGGGAGGACAAGTGAAAGCTTTTCCATGCATAAAGCTTTATTTTTACAGTGGTTCCTGCAATACAGAAAGAAATTCCATAAAACTTTACCCAGCTATTAAGCATCTAAGCAGCACATGCTAATAATCTGGCACATCAAATATCTCTTCTTTTAGGCATGTTGCTAAAATAGGCAGTAATGTCACTATATTCCATTCTCAACCTTATTTACATTATTGATGCATAAACTACATAAAACCAACTAATCATGTATTTCAGTCACCAAAAACAGTACTCACAGAAGCACTCCTTTATTAATCCTGCGCCATGCATACTCCTCCCACCCATTTGGTAAAGCATCAATGAACTCCCTAGTGAGAATTGTAGTACTATTCCTCACCTGAGCAACCACAACTCACTAAATAACAAATCAACAGCAAAGAAATAAAACAAATCTTAAACAAACGACATTATAAGCAAACTCACCTGTTCCCATGTGGCCACCGCTTCACAAAGATTAAACACAAAGGATAAACCTTCAAGTTCTCCAGTATTAGGATCCCTCTGTTCACATATATGAATTTTTCAAACAATTCTATGACAGAACTTAAAAAATAAATTCATAGAATTGTTAAAACAGAAACCTACCCATTTGGAGTCAGTGTCACTAGGATAGGTTAGTGTTACTTGGCAATAATCTTTACCACTTATAGCTTGTAAACCTAATCCATTTGCACTCTGTATGAATTATAATGAACCAAATTAAACCATTAAAAAATAGGAAAAACAAAACACACTCGAACTAGATTTTTCATTAGAAAAAGTCATAATTCAACAATAAGTCACCACAGCAACACATTTCTCAAAAAAATGGAAGTGCCCAAGTTAAGATTATTGAAGTTAACAAATAATAACAATACAAACAAGAGAAAAAAAATTAAAGAAGACTGACCACACACTTCTGAAAATCACTTTGCAGAGATTGCAATGCTTCCCAATCTTCATCTGACAGCTGATAATTGTCATCTACAAAAAATACCAATGGAGAAGCAAACCCAAAAAAGTTAGAAAATTTATTTATAAAAGAAACACAACTAAAGAAGTATATATGACAAATACGTACAATGAGTGGAGAGTCCAGTGATGTATATGAGAATGACTGTGAACCCAGAGGCTAAAGCTACTAAAAAACCCAACCGCAAAATCTTCATTTAAATGGGTTTTTTGGGAGGAATAATGGGAAAAAAAGTTGGATTTACCAAGTTTATTTGATGAAAAAACAAAGATTCTGTATGGATCTGAATAAGCAAACCTGATCGATTTTCTTAAGCTAACAAAGGATGAGAAAAAGAAAAAAAAAAATGAGGCGGTGTTGCGTTCATGGGCCACTGGGCCCTGTGGGCTGTGGCAAATACGTGCACCAGACCTAATCAATGATCTGGTTGCCAGGCCTGCGGGTTCGGCCTAACCGGGGCCGAGTTGGGAGAGGAATTTTAGGTTCAAATCTTAAATTCGAATTGAAATATTAATTTATTAATAAAAATAACTTTTATTTATATTTAATTTTAAAACGTATTAAAATATTAATATAAAAAATCATTGTTTAGAATTATGTTAAATAGTATTGGACTTATTCATGCCTGGATGATCTAATTGAACCTTAAACAATGCTTTGAAAATGTTAATTAAGCTTACTTCAATTTGATTTTTAAATATCTTTAACGTGCATAAAATTAGTAATACATTTTTTTATGTGGATTTTAAAAATTAATAACTTACATTACATCATATGATCATATAAATCCGAATATTTGACTCAATGATATATACATTTTATCTCTCTATTCTAAAGTTTTTATTAGAATTCATTTTCATCTCAAATTAAAAATAAAAAAGATACTTGGTAATATAGTTAGGTTAATAGGGTATTAGATAAACTTCTAAAATTTATGCGTATAGATTTAGTCAAAAAAATTTTTTTTCCTCCATAAGATAAGAAACATAAATGAGATGATATTCATTTTTATTAGCCTGATAATTTAAAATATGATACGTTGACATAATATAAAAATGATACGAATAAAAAATATAGAGATAATGTGACTTAAAATTTTTTAAAAAATTATAAGTAAGTTTAATAAAACAAAAAAAAATTGTATTTTATGTTTTTGTATTGATATAAATTGAAACACATAATTTTCATATAAAATATGATACAAATATAATATTTTACATGACACGATAATATGAATTATTAGATTTAATTTTTATAGGTATGGATGCAAAGCTTCGCTGTTTCATCTGTTAACAATTGTAGTATAGTCTTTATCATGGAGGGATGGGCACCGGCAAGAGCATAAGCCTAGGAAGCAACTTCTATGCTTTCATTGCTCTCAGTCTTAAGTCCCCTTCGCAATTAATCTGATATATACCAGCCAAAGCCTAATTTCATCCGAATTGAAAACTGAACATTTTATCAACGGATCATATAAGTATTAATATAGTTAATGAATTTCTCTATTTGAACATGTAATATCGATTGGAAGTGTTACATTTTACCTAACTTATTCATTAATATTAAAGTCACTCAAATAAAAATTTTGCATGATATTTATTATGTTTAAACTATTCTATGTAAAATTTACATGTGAGTCAATCTCCTTTCCATGCATGACATAGGAATAAATTGAGATTGCTTAATCACCTGTCAAATATTTGACTGCAATGTCGTATTCACCGATTTCATGTGCTTGCATGTGCAGTCTCCGGGAGGAATGCGCGTCGGGCAGCATGGACCACAACCGACTCCTAACGACCAAATGAGTCTGGTTTCTGTGGTTCAACAACCAACTGCAGCCCCAGCCTAGCCCAGCCAAGCCAAGACGGCATATTGAACCAAGACGCACACCTCGGCAGAGCCATTTGCAATTCTAAGTTAGCCCTTAGTAGCCCAGCTGCTCCTGGAAGGCTGGAGCTAAAGCCTAAAGGCCTAAGTTCAAGTAATCCTGTTGGAATTGTACCGTTTGAACGGGACCCCCTGCTGTTGTTCTCCAGGAAGCTTGCAGATGAATTTTTTTTCTTGAAGTAATTTCAATGGTTTCACATTAAACACTCCATGATATCCATATGCTAAATATGTTTCTTCTGGTCAGAATCAAACATCCCATGAGACTCCAAGGCAGACAGTTGCTCAGATTATGGTCCCAGTTCGCTTGTTGTATTGTTTCAAGTAGATATAGCAAAAGAGAGCAACTGGTTAATGCTTTTTATTTCCCCATTCAATGTTGGGTATAGAGATGTTTATTAGTTGGATAAGATTTCGATCGGATCGAGTTTATATTTAATATTAATAGTTTATATGTTTATTTAAATTCGATAAAGTTTGAAATTTCAAACTTCAAAATTTTTTTAAATTCGATCAAAATAAAAAAAATAAATCTTAAATCTAATTATTAAACTTTATTTATATAATAAAAAAATTAAAAAAGTGTGATTAAATTAAGTTTAATAGAATTATATTTAATTTACATATATATAAATTAAAAATAAAAATTATATATGTAAAAAATAAAAATAAAAATTATATGAAAATAAAATTTTAGTTTAATAAAACATATATAATTTTTATTTTTAATTTATATATATATAAATTAATTTATATATAATTCACATATATATAAAAATAAAAAAAATTATATATATATAAATTCGAATCGGATTAAGTTTTAAATTTTTTATTTAAGACTCGATCCAAAATTTAAATAGATCTAAAAATTATATTCACTCGTTTAACGAGTTTTAATTTTTTATTTAAATCATCTCAAAATTTCGATGAATTTTTTAATTTAAATGAATAATTCGACTCTTAAACAAGTATAGTTAAGTACCTGAAAGTAGCTCTAAAGATAAAAGTATAAAAGGAAGCTGATATTGCTAATTGGTTTTGCTTCAATTCAATCCAAATACATTCACGAAATCAAAATAAGAGCAAAAAATCTGCAGATATGTGCTTAATTACTAGGAATTGGGCTTCGAATCCCCTACTTTTGCTTGGACAAATTGGCAAGTCAGACAAATTAAGATGCATGTATGAACTGTATAATTAAGGCAAAACATTGTCAATTTCTTGACGCGTTAGAAACTAGGTTTTTGATAAGATTCTTGACTTCATGAACTCAATATGTTTTTTTCTTCTTTCTTTTACGTTGACCTTCATTTTCATGTCGTGGATAAGGTCTCTGTTAATTATATTTTTTCATAAATTCCATATTCATGAAATTATCACATTTTATTTAAAGGATGTGAGATCCTTTACATACTAAGTATATATTTAGCATTTCTTAAAATTTTTCATAATTGTGGATTTTTTTTATTGAAATTTTGGTTTATGAAGCCGGCTAATTAGTTTATATAATTTTAAATGAAAATACGGGTTCAAATTTAATTCAATTTGATTCAATTCATGAATAAATCTAATTATAAAAAATACATGGCCGACATGTAAGCATTATATGTATATGAATATTGTTAAGAAAGTTAAGAACTAGAGAATAGAAACAAAGAGCAATGGAGAATAGTCCTTTGTGTTGTGTCAAATAGAATAAAAGATTATTGCAAGGTGATCGGTTTTATTTTGGTATTAGATTTGTTTTCTAAATTATGATAAAAAATTTAGAGACTTACACTAAACTTATGAAATATTATTCATTTTAATTTAAAAATCTCATAATTTTATCTTATAAAAAACGTCTCATAAATTTTAATTTTAAATCTCTACATATATATATATATATCATATTATATCTATATATTCTTTCAATGTGATATTGAGAGCGTTACAAAAAAATCTTATGCATATAAATTTTGAAATTATATTTATGTAAAATATTATGACAGGTTCTATTTAAATAATTGTTATGTTCATTATAACTTTTATTAATGGCATTTTTTTCAAAAATTACTGAATAAAGTTAATGCAAGTAATAAAAAGTGAACTCATATTTATTTAATTAAAAATAGTTTAAGGTTGAAATTATTATATAAAATAGCTCTATCATATAATATATATATATATATATATCATGCATTCAAATATTTAGCTTAATAATTGATGAATGATTCTTTATTTGAAGAGAATTGAAGTTAGATTTAAATTCGAGATTTAACCCAAACATTAATTAACTTAACTTTTTTTAAAAGTATATTTCAACAACGGTTCGATTCCAATAGTTGTAATTTTTTTTAATTCTGCCTTAAGCCTATAAATATTTTACAAAATTTTTCAAAATTAATTTTCATGGTTAAAGTGCGTATGGATAGCAGATTGTACGTTTATAACAGAAGAACATGAAACCAATCCATTTATTAGGACAGCCCATGCCTTCCCATCTACTTCTTCACTATTAACAAGTGAGGCCACCAGCTGGGGGACCCCTGGCCCCATTTGGCCGTAACCAGAGGCTGCACCGTCCCAAACTCCCAACCACCGATCGCTACCCTAGGCTGGTCCCCTCCAAAGGTGGGTCACCCGTACTGCTACTGCCCATAGGGGTTGATGCTACGAATACGATGATAATCCCAGCCCATTCTTATCTTCAAGCTCTAATAATAAAAGACAGACTCGAAATGGAGAAGATTTTGATTAACTCTCTTTCGTTAGGCACTTATAGTTTCTTTTTTACCGTGAATTCGGCCAAAACAGCCGGAGACACGCCTCCGAAGTGTTTTCTGTCGTATTTATGATGTTTCCGGGAAGGGCAGGTTGATTTTCAACGTCATATACTAGTAATAGTAGCCGTTTGTAAAAATATATATTATCTCAATTACGAAGTGTTATATATTCTATTAGGATATATTTTAAGAATTATTTTTTTTTATATACAATCTCGAAAATTTTAGATTCTACAAATGATATTAGAATATTTTTAAGTATTTTTTTATTTATCATATTAATTTAAATTGAAATTTAAAAATTTCACCTATGATGTATTAAATAAATTTTCATATTTAAAATTATTAATATATGATAAATTATCCAATCCATTGCTGTGGTGAGATTTTTAAACTCCATCACTAGAATTAAAAAGTTTGATATATTTATATTAGTGTAAAAATTATATATTCTTATTTTTAAATCAAAATAATTAAATGTAACTGTTATATATATAAGTATTTAACAGTAGAAGAAGAATAATATTTTACATTATTATGTAGGAATCATAAAATATCTCAAAGTTTCTCAATTCTTTATACATGATTTGAGTGAATTATTTTTTTATTATTTTCTATAAAAAAAATTTTTGATATTCATATTCTGGTTCATATCTTGCTTTTATGCCCTAAGGCTTTTTTTTTTTTTTTTTCATAAATCAACTTGTTATTTGATCCCATATTGATTTTGGATCTGTCTTTCTCATAAATTTAATGGATGTACATGTACTATCCAAACATGAAAAGAAAATTTTCTCGAGAAAATTTTTCTTACTGATTTGTCACCAGCACTAATATGATGTATAGTTAATTCACTGCTACGTTCAAGTAGGCATGATTTAACAGGAGAGATGACAATAATATGGTCTGATTTGTATGATTGTAGGAATAGTACTTTTTCTTACATAAAGACGGATTATAATCAATTGGAAAAGCCAAAAGGGTGGTCCAAATAAATATATAATTAAGTCAAGCTTACAAATTTAATTTCAAGTGGCCACACATTGTTGTCTGTTAGCCAACATTAATGTACACATGCAATTATAATTAAGCTTAAACAGATTCCAAATTTATGTATGCATCCCATTGACATGTCATGTACTAGCAGTCCATATAAATCACACGCAATGGGACAATGTAAAACCAACATTGAAAAGAGTTTTAGCATGGCCATACCCATAATGTATCATATCACCCATAAAGGGCTCCACAGTACTAGACATCAAAAAGAGAGAAAGGAAAGATGATGGGTTACTGTTTTACTAGCAGTCCTGTCCATTTCATGGTGTTGATGGGTCATGCATGTACGACGTCGTCTCATCATCATCATCACCGTGAAGTGAATGAAGGAACACACATGGAGAGAATTACTTGGCTTAATCATTCGACTTTGTTTCATCACAAACAAAGGCAAAGTATATTTTTCTGTTATACCTAACATAAAGTACATTTCGTTTGGTGAAAATTTAACAAGTGTCGAAGATGGTAACCTTGTGCTTTCTTGCTTCACCATGCAAAGTTTCCCCATTATGCAGTTTCCATGCATTTCCTCCCTCCATCTGTCATCTTGATGTCGGCAGAGGCAAGCTTCATGTAAACCGGCATTGATTGTTCTCTATTGTTTGGATTAAGACTTGTCATAGGAAGGATCGAAGATTGAAGAAGTTAGGGAGGCATTCCAAAGTGTTCCACTAAGCTTCAACCAGTTTTCGAAATTACATTCCAATTATATACCAATTTAGAGGAGTATTGGAAACAAATTAACTTTAATTAGAATCAAATTATACGTGGAATCTAACTTTTCATTCGAGCAATAATGCATTAATAGGGCAATGGCTGGAATCAGAAGAAATCAGTTACTTAAAGCATATGAAAACTTAATTAATGGCGACAATTCCAGTATTTTACTGACGGGAAAAGGACATTGCCAGGGTTTTTATTATGACTATTCAGCAAAAGGGACCCAAAAATTAATATTTAACTGAGAAATAAAAGAAAAAAATGGAAAAACATGAGGGGCCCTGAAAACAAAACTGATCAGTAGGTGAGCTTACAAAATGTGATGAGTATTTGCTGGAGTTTGTATGCTAATAAAACACCTCTTTATCCAGATGTCAACACAGCTTTCCAGGAGACAGTTAACAGCTTTGATTTGAGAAAACATTTGATTTTACTTCAAATAAAAAACAATGACAGCAGCCAGGATATGAAACATATATAAAGTTTATGTTCGGCGAACAACAAGCTTGATGTATATGAAAGAAAGGAAAAAAGAAAGATTTTCACATGCCTTGCTTTGCTTTCTTTTATGTGCAATGAAAGACTAGAAATTAAGGTGTCATTAGAGGGATAAATACAGAAGAAAATAAAATTTAAAGTGTTAAAAATAAAAGAGATGAAACAAGCTGGTTCTAGAGCAGAGAATTTTCATTTACTTTTTGCAGATGGGACTTGAAATGTTGAAGAAAGGTCGAATTTTGTTCTTTGTTCCCTGGCAGCATTTAGAAAAGTTGCTTAAGCCACTCATGCAAGAAATAAGGTATGTGGGTCGGTGTTAAAAACAGCTGGAACACTTGAACCACATGGACTGTCTGCATCTACAACAGCTGAAAAAGTTAAAGGCAAATTAACTCATACATTGCAGTGAAGATTTGAGATTTTATTAATTGGATTGGTGGTTGTCATATATTAATGTGTTTTTTATTTATCGTTTGTGAAATTTAAAAATTTTCGTATAAAAATGACTGTTTAATTATAACTAGGAACAATTGTTCCTGTAGTAAGTTTGATTTTCAATCAAATTTCGCATCCAATCAGGATGTTCTATACCAAATATGGGGCCTGGAAAATAATTGCCAAACTCTCACCCCTTTTTAAAGGGTCCCCTAAATCTCTATCTTATTTGGGTGCTTTAATCATCACTTTTTAGTAGTCATTTTTATGCTTATTTGTGGCTTAATTGCCTGCTTAGTTAATCAAATCATAATCCAATCATTAATGTAATTCCATGACCAATATTATAGTTTGACTGTCTAGCTTTCTTTGCTTCTTAATATTCGGTGTTTCATCAACCCTAAAAAATAAAATAAAATTCTTTTGATCATCTAAATTTCCAATATTCCAATACAAACAAATTTGCAAGCCTGAAAATTTGACACTCCATCCCGGGGAATCAAAGCAGTTAACAAAAATCACCAAAATCAAGATATGATTATAAAAAATTAGAACAAAAAAAGATTGTTTAGATAATCATTCTGATCTATGATCATCACTCAATGAAAAGAAATTCTGGGGTTTTTGATCCATATCCAGACATGCTAAAAATGGCTGACATATATCTTTTTACATGTATAAATCATATATATATATATATATATATATATAATTTTGTTTCAGAGCAATTATTACTGGCACGTAGGTTCAACTTGTAAGAGAAAAATGCCAAGCAAGTGGCTGAGAGTTGGATCAGATTTGCACTAGGAAAAAGAAGCCTCTGCATATTTAGATGCTCTACGTATAGCAGTTACAAAAAGTAGGTAAGCGGGAAATCATCTCATAAATAAACCTCAGCCCCCATAAAAACTAAAACACAAGAAGATTCCACCTTGAATTTAAGCCAACAATTGCAGAAATGGTCATATCAACCACAGCAGCAGCAGGACACATGTCCAGTTTATTTCTCAAGGATATAAGTTTTCACCTTCCTCTTGGGGTCAATAAATTTTTTACTGTAAATGCGTGAAAGAAGAGCAATGAAATACCCCAACACCATTTCATAATTTATTTAATTTTAATCAAAGTTTTAATTCATAATAGGTACTGGAGGAAATATGACAGCGGTAAAATAACTGTGGCAACAGGAAAGGGACTTTATAAGGTGGATTTTTATATTACAATACTTTTACTACATAAAAAATTAAGGCTGCCTTTTTTCTAAGCTGAAACAGCGTAGGGTCTAGGCATTTGTGCGTGGGAGACATAGGGGGATCAGTCAAAATGGACAGGAACAAGGGATATGCAAAAAGATATGGTCTTATTTGGTCGATTATATCTGTCCTTTGTGTTCTTCCTCCATTGATGTTGCTGCCCTTTATTCATGTTCAGATGCTACTTGACTTCTCGGTTGGACTTGGAACTCCAGGAAGAAGCCTCTCCTCCACTCGAGTTGATATTTGAAAAAAAGAAGCCTTATTTTGATGCTTCCTTTTTTTCCCTACAACAAGAAGAGCAAAAGTCAGGAAAAAGAATGCATACAGAAAACAAATGTGAATGTAGTAAATTTCTTGTTGATAAACCATTTTTTTAATATTTTATTGCATGAAAGACAGGACATGAGAGGTTCCTACCAGATGTTTATAGGGCAGCTCTCTGCATCAACATTAATGGAAAGAACAAAAGTTGTTGAGCCCAGATGAACTGAGAAATTTTTGGCTTTGGTCCTCTACATCCCACAATAGACCACCATTACCCTGAAAAAGATGTGTGGTCAAATAGTTAGAATATTATTTATGTTTTTCTTATCAACTATTTTCAAACGTATATATGAATATACCTGAGGCTGAGAGAAGGGGCGTTGCCCCTGGTGAAGAAAAAGTGCAGCCGAAGCATCCATAAGAGGATAGTTATGAGCTGGGGTAAAGGTGGTGGTGGTTGTATCAACAAAAGCTGTAGGCTGAGTGGGGTTGCATTGTTGCAGACATGGCACTGATGATGCTATACTGTTCACTCTCTAAAATGATTATGTCAGACAGATTTCATCAGCTTTTGAAATGAATTATGGCTATAATTAGAACATTATAAATAACTTATTTTCCTTTTTATCTCATGTTTTTTACCTCTGGTCTCACCATCAATTCTTCCAGGTCCACTCCAAAGTCATAGAACATGGGATTCACAAAAGCAAGCTTCATTGACAGAAACTAAAAAAAAAAAGACAAAAAAAAAGCATTAATTACAGGAATGAATTAATCTAGTTGGATAATTAGAAATGTAAACAGTTTGTTAATTGTACCTCTACTCGATTTTGTAGGGTCTGAACGTAATTGATAATTTCATCCAACATAAGGGCCTTTCCAGTTACCTATTTTCATGCATTACCACATGAAAGATGTTAGAAAATGTACTTTCTATATCACGCAAAATGAAGTGAAAGAACTACATTACTTTTCCTGTGAAAGACAAAGTCAAGACAAATGAAAGCTGAACTCCACCTTGTCACACCCTGGAACAAGACGTTGCAATGTCTTCATCCTCTCACTGATTTTCTCTCTTCTTACCTGCAATCCATTTGGAGACATAACCAATAAGAAACTAATAAATAATAGGTTGGCATGATTAAAAAAATAAATACTCAGTAGCAATTAGGTGGGGATTTCAGTCCAAGGGCTTTTAATGTCAAATGATGATGGTAGCCGAAGGAGTTGGTCCCATGCACGTTCAGCCACTACCCTTAGGCCATGGAAATTGACCCAGCGAAGGCTGAGGGATGAGCCCAGCTCCTGGAAAAGCGTGGGATTCTAACCCTTAAAAATTGATTAGCTAGAAAAAGAACAAGAGGGGTGTAGTAGAGTACCCTTTCTGCCAGACTGTGGCTGTCTGTTGCTTGACCCCTCCTGGCTCTTACATGAATGTAGCCTGTTGAAGGCTCTTCGGGAGATTTCTTTTGATCTTTCTTATCAGCTTTAGACTCTTTCATTTCATTTTTCAGGGCATCATTGCACTTCTTTTGCTTCTTGCTTTTTCCTTCTTTTGCATCCTAATGGAAACCAAGAATGAAAATTCGATACATATCCGGATTAATTGAAAAACATTTGGGACGGAACCCATCACTGAAAAGCTGAAGAATTTTAACTGAATTAAAGCCGACATTCACATAATTTGTTTGTTGTTTACCTTAGATTGAGCAGAATTCAAGGTAGTCCCATTTCTTGTCTTCCTTTTCCTGTCTGCGAGAGTCACATTCTGAGTGACTTGCTCACCACTTTCAAGCTTATCCACCGCAGTTGACTCATCAGTACTCTGTTTTTTAGTCGCCGAAGGCTCATTATCACTAAAACCAACCTTTGAGCTGTGATCAAGACAATTGCTTTCATGGAACTTATGGTGAAGAGTGGACTCCTGAACAGGCTCAGGTGGGTAAAATTGAGAGAAACAATTGGAGTTCATGTTTCCTTCCTCCATAAAGCCAGAAACTTTGGTGGGATTCATGTTAGGCAAGAAAATGGAGTCAAGAAGAAGAGGCTGAGGCTGGTATGAAAAGGCTGCCATATGGGGAAGTGGTTTTGAAATTGAGAAAGAGAAAAAATGCAAGGTTTTTCAAGGAAAGTGATGGTGAAGACAGAGGCTGAGAGAGAACTGATGATATTACTTTAAGGCAACCAGAAGTAGCAGTTAAGTGGGTCTATGGCAACCAAAGACGCCAAGCTTTTTATAACCATCGGGAGAGAAAGAGGACAGGCTCATTAAAATTCAAGTAAAATCTTTGTTCACACATTTCCATGCAAAAAAGTTTCTGTATATTTGACTGGTCTTATCTCTCTCAAGACCTCTATCTCTCTCCTTCATACTTGGATAAAACTCAACGGCAACACAAACGCCAAAAAAAGTGAGATGGTAGAGTTATTGCATATTGAAAATGAAATTTCCTCTCTATTATATACCATGATTACATCTTTTAAGTTGTAAAACTTCCAGGTTCATCATTCAGGATAGTAAAACCTGGTTTATATTATATACCACGAAAGTATAACCAACAAAGATTTTGTTTTTTTATTCTTTTTCTTGTGATTTGCAGTAGTAGTAATTTATGTATTTTAGGTTAACATGTCAGTGATTCAGAATTTCAGACATGCTATCCCTATACTTTCTGCTGTATAATCATAGTCCATGACATGACAATTTTTTTTTTCACAGAAATTTAATGTTTATCCTGTTGAGAAATCAACAATGTCAAGCTAAAATAAAATTAAAAATGGGTGGTTTGGATTGAGGCTTTCTTTTTTGTTGACAAGTTGAAAATGATGTTTGAAATATATGTTGGAACTGTGATTTCAATTTCTGGGTACAACTGTAAAGCCAGGTTGTTAACTTAAAAGCTATACTGTCAGACAAAGCCAGTCATTTTCAGTGGAATAGGACAGATGGACGGCCAGGATTGATTGAGCAAATCAAAGGATCTAAATCTAACCTTCCTTGCCCCTTAATTGCCACCTTCAGCCTTATCCTGACCCTAATTGGTTTTTCTAAGTTCGTAGAACAAGCCCAAAAAAAACAAAACTCCCGGAGGGCATGAAATCATCTCCGGCCCATTTTTTTATTAAAAAATATTTTTTTCGTCTCAAAATATTTATTATATATTAATTTTTATTAAATTAAAAATTTTTAATTTTAATATATTTAATATTTAATTTTTATAATTAAAATTTTATAATTTTTAATATCAAAAAATAAAAAAAAAATTTAAAATATAAAAAATAAGAGTTATAAATATTAAAAAAAATAGACATAATTTTAAGACATTTAAAAAAAAGATAAAGAAAATGAGACAGAAATTACTATACATTGCGTATTTTGTATGAGTTGTTTATTTAATTTATTGTAATTTTATATCTATATTATTATAACATTTTTTTTATTGAATTGGTGTCACCAGTCCATTGACATCAACTCAACTGAAAAACTGACAAAAAATAAATAAAATTATTTTAATAAATAAAAAATATATATATATGTATCTTTTTATTTAAATTAAAAAAAACTACCCATTTTATAAAAAATATTCACCTTTTTACTTTAAAAAACTACCTACCTTTTATCCATATATTATTTCTTTTAAATCATAATTTTTTTAAAAAAATATATTTTTTCTCCCACATCGTGAATGTGTCAAATTTTAGCAGAGAAAAGTTCATGATTTGCTATCCAAGAGAAATTTTTAGCATCTTTATTAATAAATGTTTGCGGCTTTAATAAAATGATGAATTATTATTCGTTAGTAGGACATAGAATGAAATATCTTAATATAAAGATGTAGTAATTCATGTATTTATGTCGTATAAAATATTAAAATTTATATATTTATATTATGTTTTATATGAAAATAGCGTCTAACAATTTAAGTAAATATGAAAATATGAAATATATATTTTTATTTTATTAAATACATATATAATTATTATTAAAATTTTAAATTATGTACCATTTGTATTTTTTTTATATCACATTCGTAACATATTAGTGTGTTATATTTTAAATTACCATATTAATAACATATAGTACATAAAAAATTTACATTTTACATTGCCATTTATATAGCTTAATTGTATATATACTTGTAGGGTCAAGTTAAAAGTTTAAATAACAATAACTTTACCAATTTGATTCAAACTTTGACAATATTTTAGAGCTAAGATTTAAAGTTTACTATTCTATTGGAGGTAATAAATTGAATTAACTATTCATCTTTAATTAAGTAATCATTCAGATTCTGACAATCTCAAATAAAAATATTTATATTTTCCCATTTTATTCGGTTTTAAATTGAGGTTTAATACCAGCGAGCAAAAAGGATAGGTAGGCGCTAGCTGTAAATTGGCATGCATGCACGAATTTGTCATCATGAAGATAATAAAGAAAAAGAAAAAATATGGATAAGAATGTTTTTTTTTTTTGTACAATTTGCATTCATCCCATGCTAGATCATACATATAAAAGCACCTGAAAACTGGAAAGAAGACAAATGGACGAGATAAAGGTGATTAGCTTATCGATCCCTTCTTTTTTAGGCACCGACCCACTAGCTAGCTGCATGCAATTATACATGCTTGAATGTTTTCCGGATAGATTGTAGTACAATTACTCAAGAAATTCGAAGCCCATGTTTATGGCATGCATTTTCTGATTGGATGGCTGAAGAATTCAGTTAAATAAGAACTCAAATCATTTACTCAAAAGTTTAGTTCATTAAAATTTGAAATTTATTTTAGTTGATTTATGCAATTAATCTTTAAAAAATAATGTTAAAATTGAAATCTTAACACTTATAACAATGACATGAAAAAGCAAGATAAAAATACGGAAGAAGGGGAATGGAACAGTTCTCTACTCCTGGGGTTATCACTGGCAGATAGCTTTGTCGAGATCAAAACCCTTTTTTTACTTACAAAGAGGTGAAGCTGTTAAATGTTTCTGCACCCAAACTGCAAAAGCAACTTAACTAGGATCAATCATTTCAGTGTAAAAAAATGAAGTAGGACGTACCGATACCATTACAGTCAAGCTATCACCTCAAATTCAGATCCTAATGCTGACAAAATTGAAGCTTGGGAGTGGTCAGTTTCTGTATCAAATACAAAGCACCTTAGCAAAACCCCTTTTTCAGAACATTTAAGAGCCCTGAATGCTCTAAGTACCACAGGTTTCTTTACCTGTTTAACTAACATGCGTGCCTAAAGAATTAATGCATGGACTGAAATAAACGTGAAAAATTTTTGTTGCCAGTTGCAACCAAGCCATATCAAATCTGTCCTTACCCATTTCTTTTTTGCAATATTCCAAAGATTAATTTACACTCATATATATGCTGGGGGGATGTAAATGATACGATGGAGTGTTTATGAAAAATAAAGAAATTTAAAGGAGAATTTCTTTTCTCTTCTGATAATATAAAATAGAATAGAGTGATATTTCATGTCTTAACATATAATTTTTATAAAAAATTATATAAATATACGAATTATTAATATTTTATATAATATAAATATACAAATTATCAAATTTAATTTGATATTTAGTGCCTGGATACGTTGTACCAATCAAAAACTTTCAGTTTACACCATGGAAAGGAAAAATGGAAAAGAAAGAGGGTTAAAAGAGAAAGCAGCTGCAGAAAATTAAAGCATCATAACAGAATTAATTTAATGTAGGTCTTGAGCAACGGTTTTTTGTTTGGTAAGGGATCATTTCAGTTTCAGGGTTTTTCAGCTTTGAGTAAATTTATGTCCTGTGGATTGAAAAGTATCACTGATCACTCAGGTTCTACACTTTGCAATGCTTTTTTATTTTGTTATCCGACGGGGTTTATATTTGCAAATATCATAATTTAAATTTTCATAATTAAAATTAAAAATTAAAAATCCGTATTTTTTGCAGTGATCATATTGCACCCTTTTAGCAAATACCAATATAAAAATAAAATTTTATATTTGATACATTGTCAATATATATATCCTATACAAATATCAACCATTAAAATAAATGTATAAAAATTATTAAAAACTTACTTATTAATAAAATAGTATTATCTGATTCATTTCATTAATGAGATGATATTATCTTATTTACTGATAGTGCATAAAATTTATACACTGATAATGTATCGAATGTAAATCCTAAAAACAAATAAATAAATAAATGTACAGGCTGACAATAACAAATTAACATCAATTAAAACATGATATAGCTTATGTGTTAAAAAAAAATTATATATAGCTCATGTTTTGAACTTATTATTTGTTACATTGTTTGGTATTTTAGGCATCAAAAACTATCTTTAATAATGCCTTTAATTAAGTTAAATCCAAGATATATTATTTGTACATGCACATTATTTGACTTCACAGCTTACCTTAATTTATGTGTGTGAAAGATATAAATATATATTCCTTCCAATTCACATAATTTTTCTTATGCAATAGGAAGAGAATACAATGAAAACATTGAACCTAACCACCATACTTTCGTTTTACAGATTTATCGAGTGGACTAGGCAGTCCATATGAATTTTGTGATATTTTTGTTCAATATAATATGAATTGCACAAGTACGGAGGTTGCTATATATAGGTAAGCACATATACATCTTTATTTCCATAGAGCATTTACATTTCATGCACTATAAATGTAAATGCTATACATGACATCCCTTAAAAAAGTCATTTTAAATATATTTTTATTTTTTTTTATAAAATATTATTACTTGATTCATTGACTATATATAATAAATACAAACTCTATGATTACATTGCTATACATGAACTGCATTATTTTGTCAAATGAGACTTCAAGGTAACATGTGATAGATGGTACCGGCCACTGTCGTAGTCATTTTGTATATATATATGTGTCCACAAAATGACTACGGATTCGACTATATAATATAGCATTGAAGAGGCCTATGCGTCCTACATATATCTACGGCATAAGGTAATACTTGAAAAGGAAAAAGGAAAATCAACTACGTACTACTGCCACAATCTGACGAAATTGTAACCTTCCCATCAAACTCTATAGCATATTGCATTGCAAATTATCTTCCCTTGTTTATATCAACTGAGAAAAATATTGCTACAAATTAGGAGAGATTAATTAAGCATCAAAACTGAGTCCCATTTCAAACCTTATAGTCAATGGTCAACACAATTATCGGTCAGAACTATGTTCCCTCATCAATCTTACAGCCTGTCTGGTTGTTAAAAAGCATAAGAAATTTTCCACCCTGCTGGCATTTATGAATGTACTGTAAATATATAACAATTAATAGAATCTTAAATCCGAGATTAAGTCTAATTAGTTCACTCAGTCACTCGTGTGATCCGACGAATATAAAGTTTAAATTTCAATTCCTATAATTCATTTCTTTATTTTTAAACTACAACTTTCTTTGTAAAATGAAAATTAATGAAATTCATGCATAACTAGCAATTAATGATGTTTGTATTTATAGACACTCTAATTAGTTCAGGCTCAAACTTATTGGGTTTAGTCCAACATGGTCTGAACTTAAGTTCAAATTAATTGGACTTAGTTTAATAGGACCCAGGTTATCAAGTCCAATTGATTATTTATTTATTTATTTATTATTTATTATTATTATTATTATTATTATTATTTGGTTTTATTTATTTATTTATTTAGGCTAATT